AATTCTCCGACTCCAGGTGGTCTTACCTCTGCAGCGGCTCATCGGCGCTCAATGCATGAACCACGTACAATGTGGGCATGCGCCAAGTCATGATTCTCTGCAGATGGACTGGCAAAGTGACAAGCTGATTAAAACCAGTTGTTTTTGATGGGAAATTGGAAGGCTTGCTGATGAGATCCCTAAGCTCTTGTATCGCAAATTTTTGTCGCTTCAAAGGTAGAGAGCCAGAGATAACCATATCTGGCACGGGGGGGAATAGACATCTTTGCAATAACATTGAATAGAGTTTGCTGACGTTTGTAATAGTCTTCAAATTTCATTGGATTGTTGTACCATTATCAATATGTATTATACTGCGTAAACAATAGGCTGGGACTACTTGGTGTTTTAGCTCTCATTTTGGGGTCAAAATAGAAACTAGGATGTTGATAATCGTAATGCACGATAAGCAAATCTGTATACTCATCTGAATTTTCAAAGACCTGCATAGCCAAGTTGCAATACTCTGTAGGTCTCGAGTCTGCAATAAGCAACCTACTGCAATGATTGTTGATTTTGGGCTAGTGTGCAGTGATCTATTCATCATGATGGCTTGAGTGATGCGATGATGGCCTCGTTGCTTGCAGGGAATGCCTGGTTTCATAACGCCACCCGGACTATATGTATGATTCACCGCGAGAGTTTCAATGCGTCGTCGCGGAGCAAAGAAGATAGGGCCGACCTATGCTTCACAGGGCTCTACTTTGTCTTCAGGCGTTGACGTCTTCTCCCTGCCGATGAACATGTCAATGATGCGTTATTTTGTATCTGACTTGTATAGACAATGTAAGGGATTTGAGTCATCCTAGTTTTGGAGCCCTCGAGACGTTGGACTTTCATGATAGTGTCCAGTTTCCGTCCCTCCTATAAGCTGCACAGACTAGCATTAGGGCAACTGAATGGGTGCGTGGAACGAGTAGCAAACCATTGATGCAGCACGACTCGCAAATTGTAGTCTCGGTCGCCAGATTAAGCGTTCGGTTGCTGCAAGATGCCCAAAAAGGACGGAAGCTCTACACTTGCACACAAAAATGCGGAGAAAAACTCTAGAATATTTTTTCCCCTCTCCCCTCCCTCCCCTTTAAAAAGTTTTGTGTGAGACGGCAGGAGTATATCCACCGGAAAGGTGTCATGACTCTCGAATCCCCTCAATATTGGCCTCTCTTGGGGGCAGTGAGGAGAAGCTCTAAAAAAGAGTTCAAAGTTGGAACTAATCGGAAATCTGCCTCTCCCCCATCCATCCCACGCCTGGTCCCCGTCCGAGATCTGCCGGTGGATTCCTTCCCACGTGCAGCTTTGTCCCAATGAATACATGCATTGGTCAATCCCCCCAGCTTGGCAAAGCCTAGAATTGGTGCATTTTGTCTCTATGAAATACCCGATTAAGAATGATCACCGAAGAGGGTTTTCTGGACTTTTTCTTTCTTTCTTTAGCGCAATGCATCACCTGTCGGCGGGCACCGCGTCGTGGTGATCTACGTAGGGTATACTAGGTATACCTACATACCTACCTACTCCCAGATGAGTAGGATTCTGTCATTGTTCGCCCAATCAATGAATGGCAATGCCAAAAGTGTCAACGTGATCAGCAATCGGCCGAGTCGGTCAGTGCAGTGCAGTGCTCTGCTCTATGCCAGCAAATCACAATCGTGCGTATCGCGAATACGCTTGTTTTATGCTTGCCGCGCTCGAGCACTCAAAAGATCGGGTGGTATGTATGTAGTAGACGACACGGCCAGTGGGGTTTCAAGGAACACAGAGGACGTCTACTACCTACCTACCTTTTACTCACAAGACCGACGGCTGCAGCATTGTGCATATGTATACGCTTTTGCAGGATGATTCTGTGCGATTGATTGGATCCTGAAGGAGTGCTCGGTGGGCGGCCGGAATGCTCAAGTGACATAGATCCAAGCTGCACATTGTCCAATCCCAATCAATTATACACCAGATGCGAGGATTAGACGTCAGAAATTGATGCACATTCCGGCATTCCTTCACTCAGGGCGTGGAATGATGCACCATGGGCAATGACCAGAGCTTGAATATGCGGTGGTCCTCGAACCCGTGCCGTTGCTGTTTACTTTGTCGCATTGGCAATTTAGAGCTCGTCCTGTGCTAGATTTTCTAAGCAATGCCCAGCCGAGCGGTGGTGCGGGTATGAAGATCGTCGTAACAGGATATTGTAGCAAAAATGTCAAAGCGATAGGGTCTTTGAATTTGCCGGCTGGTCACCACGGGTTGGTGTAATTTATTACTGACCCTCATAGATTGCTAGTAGCATTGTATTTGTAGCTCTATGTTTTACGCACAAATTTTGACTGGATGAAGGCTTCTGATGACTGATCCATTGAGATCTCCAGAGCACCCAAACATCCCACCTCGCTTTCTGCCTAAGGTCGCTGCGCGCAGGGGATAGATGGTCATTGAGCGAGAAGAGAACGACGGGAAAAGGCCCTTGAAAATACCACAGACACTCTCAATGTACAAAATTACCAAGCAGATAGGAAGTCTCGCATCAATCATTTGTAAGCGACATGAGACCTCGAGTGCGTGCGAGCGAGCGTAATTGTGCTTTGTGTATGCGTGTGTGTGTGCCATTGCAAACTCCTTCCTTCTTGAGTGTTGCAATGAAGCTTCTAAACGTTGCATGCATGGGCACGTTGAGAGGATTCGCCTACACCGCATTTATGCCCACTAGGAGTGTTGGTTTGCACATACATACACGCTGCAGAAGTCAAAGCTGCTCCCTGTGCATCCCTCCCACGGTCAAGCAATGAATGTACCGTTGAATTGGTAGCGAGCGAGGATCGCGCCACCATGGGCAGGAATCGAGACCCAGCAGGCGGGAGGTTGCAGCAAAGGTCGCACGAGTCAGATAAGGGATCGGCCATTGAGTGCGCTTTGGGTACGAAGCAGTAGTTCTGTAGGTCCAATCTAGCTCCCCAAATCTCTTGTCAACTCTACCAGCTACGGGTTGACTTCCGTCATAGGTGTCGAGGAATGAATGAATCAATCAGTCAATCAACGAATGTATCACTTCAGATGAAAAAAAAGACCCATCCATCGGTCCCCAGCCAACCGAGGGTCCAAGTTCAAACGTCCAATGTCTAGCACTAGTCCTTGCCGTCCGTCGCTTGGATGAACCCTCCACTGTGCAATTCTACGTGCGCGAGAGAGATCCATGATTCTTAATGCAGCGCAATAATACCCCGTGCGCCCGGATATGACGATTCGTGGTGGATGGATGGGATCCCTGGTCGTTGGCGGGGGTGTCCGCAACCGCGGCGCGGAAGAAAGCAGCACAGAGACGGGCACATGCTGCAAGATGCTTGTTGTTGTTACCTACAGAGTATATGACTCTGCACTCTATGGAAAACATTGGTGGTAGGGTCGAAAATCTTCGAGAAAAGCTCTTTCATCTCTCTCCCTAGTCAAGCAAGTGAGGAGCTTTCGTGAGATAACCGTGTTGATCTAGATGATAGATAAGTACAAACTCAGACAGCTTGAGCGGGAAATCTGACAACCAGTGCTGGAAGCGGTAATAGTACCTACGTAGTAGTGGGCGGTAGGTACGCGGTACCTAGACTTTGCTGCACTAAATTCGTGCAAAAAGTTCTAGTCACCTTTACCCTTTCCTGTCTCGCCCACCAACCTTGCGGCATCGTCGCCCGTCTCTGCCGTCCCTGGCCCAGCTGGCTGTTATGGCTGTGCCCTAATGTATGTCTACTATGTGCATTATTCGGCCATGCAGTAGAGCATGAGCCGCTCACCAAAGCCCAGCGCGCCCTGGTATTGGCGGCATGGTTGATCTTTCTCATGCTGTCCCCAAAGGGGGTTGGTCTCGGTATGTCTACCTTGAACATGAAGGCAGTAAAACTCATTTTGCACAGCGGCGAGATCGCTGGCACGAGACAGCGCTCAAAGTATGGGGCATCATGACCTGCAAGGTTAAAGGCAGTCCCCAAGAGATCTAGTTGAGCTAGTACTCTAATTTGTTGGTAAATTTACACTCTCACAGTCATCATCAGTACATAGTCGGTCGGGTCCCAAGCACCTGCAGGGCCGGATGCAGCCTCAAGCTTTGAAGCCTGCCAGTTTATCAAAGCAATCAAGGTCCAGCCAGGCCAGGTGCTGCGAGTTCAATTTGTTGCCTCCCCCTTCTCAAGGTCCCCCACCCCGGCTTCCGAGCCACTGCCAAACTGAGCCTTGGGCTCGCCATTAGCGTCGACTCGGCGGTCGTCCCGTCCCTGTCACCCCCCCAATTATTATTATTTTTTCACCTGGTCATGGTCGCCCATCAAATCGACCCCGTTAGTCAAGCATCAAGCTCGTCCGCCCCCCATTAGCAATTGATCCCAGATGCGACCCGGTCCATGCCTGTACCTAGTACACCTACCTACCACTAAAAACTAACAGACCTGCTGTGTGAATCCATCATCCCAGTCGATCCTCTGCCAACTCTACCCACTCCGACGAGGACTTTCACTCTCTTGTCGCCTCCATTTTCCTGTCCAGACCACGATTCCCACGCGACAACAGGCGATATCTCAAGGGGTCCTCTTCCATGTTTTGAGGCCCTGCGCTGCCACGCCGTTGTCGAGTTTCGTCTGTGTGCGCGCTGCCTATTCAAGCGCACCCGGACACCCCCGGACAAGCAGGCCCCTTTCTGCGATCTACGACAACAACGAATACCGATCCGCTAAGGGAAAGAAACAGCAAGGAAGTCGTCCCTCCATGGCATTGACGTCCTGAGAAACGTGCAAGCACATTTTTCGACGGTAGACGAAGCCATTGCCGCCCCACGTCAGTTGGGCGCAAGGAATCCAGCTTGAATCTTCTTCTCTTTTTTTTTTCCCTTGTCCTTCATTATTCCTCACGACGCGCTTTCCCGTCAATGCATTACTGCGATTACCAAGTTCGAAGCAGACTGCGCTCTGCTGCTGCGCCGTAACGAGACCATGGAGGTAAATCCTCTCGCATCCAACCCGCCGGCGCCGGCGCGATTCAATTCGGCCGGCGCACGCCTGCCACCACGGCGAGATCTGTCGACCAAGAGTCGAACCCAGAGGATGCAGAAAGCAGGTGCTTCACGAGATTCAACGACCAAAAGGTCACTACCAGACCTTCTAGGAAGTATGTCAGACAAGAATGCAAAGATGAAGGCAGGGATGTCGCCGAATATTGGCACAAAACCTCTTGTCCCCGCTATTGAAAGAAGAACTATCGGAGAAGACGAGAAGTTGGGAAGACTCAGGAAAGGCTCCGACGCCGAAAAATGGGATCTTACGCCAGACGGAGGCTCTGCTAGTCGCGAAGGCAGGCAGTTCACAGTTGCCAATGTGGGCCACAATGGCAAGATATATCTGAGGTAGGTTGCGCAAGAGCTCCGTACGAGTCCTACGCTTTTTGACGGCTCGGAGATCAACCCAAATCGTTCCTTTTCCAAGCATTTATTTGTTGTGTAATTTGAAAAAGTGCTTACAATGTTACAGGCCAACGATTCGACCCGCTAACCAGCGGTATCCTCAACCTAATTTTGTGTTTCCCCTGACGCCACCAAGCACGGCAGGCTTTGATGCCCTGGCTAGTCCTAAGCAGGAGAAGCAGAAAGAGAAGGAGGAAGCCAGTGAGATTCTCTCCGGTCAATGGGCAACCACACCTCTCAATACGCCCTCGTCGCCATTCACGATCAAGAAGAAAAAGTCGTTCCTGACTCTTGGGAAGCCTACGGGGCGACCCAAACATCGCCGCGCCATGTCTGATTCGACTGTGCAAGATATCAGTATCGCTCACGAATCCGAGGCTGGGGGATTCAAGGTTGTAATCACGAAGCCGAAAGACGAGGTCAAGGCCAAGACTACTGAGGATATCGGCCTCGACGGTGCGCCATTGCTTGATATCAACATTCCATCATGGAAGATTGGCAACCCTCGCTTCACCTTGCGTGGCACAGCCCTCATCCGGGGTTCATCGTATGCGCCCACAGAAGATCCCCGCTCGAGCAATGTCTCGTTTTTTCAGAAATCTCAAAGAGGCGCCAGTGATATCAATTCCTTACACCCAGAGGCCATGAGTTCGAGGAAGCCAAGTCCGATTTCTTTGAGCCATGTGCCATTCTTGTCGCCGCAGCTCTACAGTCCTACATCGCCTAGGTTTCTGGGGCCAGCTCCTACTGTCTACGCCTCTACCTTCGTCGTCATCGAACCGAGCATGTTTGACGCCTTGACCTTCAAGCCCGGCTGCGACGATAAGTTGATTGTACGCTACGCGTCTGGGAATGGCGCAGTGACAGCCGCGACACCTCCTCGTCTGGTCGCAGAAATAACATCACCAAGTTTCTTGGACTATGAACTGATATCAGACTTCTTCCTCACCTTTCGCGCATTCCTCGGGACGGCCGACTTGGTTCAGATGTTGATTGCCAGGCTCAGATGGGCAATTGCTCGGTCAGATGAAGTTGGAATGATTGTCAGAGTGAGGACTTTTGTTGCTATCCGGCATTGGATTCTAAACTATTTTGTCGACGACTTCATGGTTGACTACCAGCTTCGAGTCCTATTCTGCAATCAACTAAACGATTTCGTCGATGAGCTGTCCCAGCAGTCACTTGCACAAAAGGCCCAGATTAAGGTTCTGGCAGAGCTCAAGAAATGTTGGAGGCGCATTTGTGCTCAGTATTGGGACGGACCCGACTTTGATTCCGGCCTAGGACCCGAAGTCCCTATTGCCCCCGGAGGTATTGCTGGTCACCGTGATCCGACCCTCGATCCTAGCGTATGGGAAAACGAAGACAGTGTTTTGCCTCGGCTCCAAGACTTTGACTTTAACCATGAAGAGCCACGTGTGGATTCAAGCTTTGCCCAGGTTATCGACAGGGCTGGCCACATCGACTCCATTCTTCATGGAGACGAAAGACCCGCCTCAGCTCGGCAACGAAACGAGGCCATAGAATCCTTTAGACGCCATGCAGCATCACCAACAAGCATTGGCAGTATGGACGTTATCTCGTGCTCGTTTCCAACTAAGAGCCTGCGGACGCCAGCCGACCCTGCCAAACGACCGCTCGGGGCTCATCCAGTGGACCCCACTTCCATCTACAATAACCCGGATCCAATTGCCTCGACTCCTCGTGCACTCTCTGGGAAGCGCGTAAGAGCTCAACAGCCAAATCACAAGCGCAACAATAGTCTGACGGACTCCATGCGGGATTACGCCACAACAAACAACAAGGTCCTTTCAAAGAACGCCGAGATTCTGCTGACGCTTCCATATGCTGGAAGTTTGGTTCGAGGCAATCTGCTACCTCCGGGCCAGGCTTTCGTTGATGTCATGCCAACAGCCGGCTCATTGACGAGCAGAAATACTGCATACTTTGAACCGCAACATCAACTCGAGGGCATTCATGCCAACAAAGGTGCATCTGCAATGTCTGGCCCGGGCATGAAGAAACTCCTCGGAAGTGTGCGGAGAGCGTTGAGTCACCGAGGCCAGGGGCCGAATGGCGTTGGCCCGCTTGGCCCTCGCGGAGTAACCACCAACCGGATCCCTGGGACAGCCGTTGTACCACAGGCACGTCCACTGCGTCCGAATGGATTTCGGCCGGCTGTCAGGATTGATATACTAGGAGCAGAAATCGCCGAGGACTTCAAGAAGGCTGTGCGCGAAGATGCAACTGCAAATGCGAGTGAAAAAAGTGCGACCGGCAGTGCACACAAGGTCACTGGTACAGATATTGAGTACTCAGCTGCGCACCTGGACTCATCATTCGACCTCCATGCAGCGTTGGACAATCGACCTCTCAGCGATACAGCAATAACCCAGGGAAGCAAGTCCATTGTCATTGTGGACGGCACCGCGCCCCCGGATGTGCCTGCTATGACCGGGGCTCTACCATTGATGCCAGCGCTGAACGCATCAGTAGAAGCATTTGCTGATAGCTTCTTGCCCGGAGGAGGTGCCGACCCTACGCCTCCGACCACTCCACCAAGCCTGTACACGACCGACATTCCAAGAAGGTCGTCTTACATACTAAGTCAGCACGTCGTTGAGCCATCTTTGGAAGCAAATCCGCTGCCACCTTTCATTCCAGATTTGGCCACCTTGAAGACCAGGACACCGTCGGAGTATACTAGCACTCAGCCTTCACTTGGTCATCCATCAATGATATCAATCCAGCAAACCCCTAACCGACCACCACTGTCTGCCTTGCGACACAGGGGACACCTACGTCAACGCTCCAGTCGCAGCTTCCGATCGCAACATTCTTTGTCGCATCGTAGGTGGGCCTCGATCAACAGTGCCTTTCCCCGGTCGACACTTAGGAGTTTCGATGCGACGACGGTATCTGAAGAGTCGAGAGTTTCGGAAATAATGCCTCAACCACTTCGAGTTCTTCGTCGGCGTCCAGGCGGTGACCTTCGAGGTGCACAAAATATTGCAGATCTTGATGCCTTTCCTTTGCATAGATCGCGATCGGCAGGGTCTTTGACGACTTACTCGGAATCCTTGAGGAGTTCCTACCTTCGAAGCCCAGTAAGAGACTCTGAGGGCTACGTTGACGTTTTTGGGAGTGACTATTCGCAACACCGGGCAGATGTCTTTTCCTTGGGCGCCATGGCAGAGAAACCCAAGCATCCTTTGTCACTTTTTAGCACTCACTCCTCCAAGCCTGTCTTGCGACCATCATTTGAAGCTGAAGCGCAAAAGCTTGCGCAAATTCCTGACGACATAGATGATGATGGAGGCATTGAATCAGCACTAGCCAAGCTTGAAGGCAGGAAGCTCTCGATAGAACCGCAAGATGTGCCTGCGCCCCAATTTGCGGAGATCGGTCCTGAGCCACTTGAGGAGAGCCCAATTGAACACAACACCCCCGAGAAGGTCAGACATCGTCATCAGCATGTTGTCAACGATGAGGCGCCACAATCTCCGTCTCTTACAGCGCCGGAATCTCTTGCCACGCTAGAAGTTCCCCGAAATGCTGAAGTCATGTCCTTCCTGTCTGAAGGCTCTCGGGAGTCTTACAACTCTATCCCGCTGCTAGAAAGAGGTTTGACCGACGATGGCCGCAGCAAGACGCCCAATCAACAATGGACTGATCAATCGGTTTTCGACGATGAAGACGAGCAAACACCTGGCGCTGGAGGGGCAGCCAAATCATATTTTGGACCTTCGGCATATGAAATCGTAACTAAGACCGAGAGTCTTGAGAAGATCCCTCCTGGCGAGACCGTTCCAAGGGACATATCCTCGCCGGCAGAGGTCCTATCATTCTTGGACGTTGAGAGTGACAACGAGTCAGACTTGTCATCCGAATTGTCTTTGCAAATCATTCATGCCGAACAGCCAAATCATCATGCCATCGACCAGAACCTTACGGAGATTGACAGCCAAGTACTGTTTGATCTTAGCACTGACGATGTGCCTCCCCCGCCACAAGGCAGACCTCCGTCCCCTCCGATGACTTTGGCTCAAGCTTTGAAGATGTCGCCCCCCGAATCGATGCGCGAACCACAGCTCCAGGATCATCAAATTTGGTCACAGAAACCGCTACCGCCGACACCCGAGGTTACACCGACACTTGCCATGCATCAGCAGAAGATGGGCCATGCAAACGATCTTGCTGATAGTCGAGGTGCCTTGCACAAATCTTGGGGGCCTGAGGATGAACTATCACAGAAATTTTCAGTCCATTTGCCCTTCATTCTGGCTTTTGATTCGGACATCCTCGCACAGCAGTTTACTCTCATCGAGAAGGATGCGCTGAATGAAGTCGACTGGAAGGAGCTCATCGATATGCAGTGGAAGAACTCTCACTCCAACTCCAGATCATGGGTCGATTTTCTGCGTAACAGCGACGCCCGTGGCGTTGAGGTTGTTGTCGCACGATTCAACATCATGGTGAAATGGGCCATCTCGGAGATTGTCCTGACGAAGGACGACACGGAACGCGCTCGTTGCATCGTCAAGTACCTTCACATTGCGGCACATTGCAGGAGATATCGCAATTTCGCCACCATGAGCCAAATCACGATTGCGTTGACATCGAATGAGATTGCTCGATTGACAAGAACATGGAGCCTGATCCCACCTCAAGATATGCGGATCCTGAATGACCTTGAGAGTCTGGTGTCACCAACAAAGAATTTCTACAATCTGCGCATTGAAATGGAAGGCGGTGCTACAGAGACCGAGGTTGGCTGCATTCCCTTTGTGGGCATCTATACCCATGACCTTCTCTTCAATGCTCAGCGGCCCTCTGAGATTGCCAGCTCCCCCACCACGCCACCGTTGGTCAATTTTGAACGATGCCGCATCGCAGCCTCGGTGGTCAAGACGTTGCTTCGACTCCTGGAGGCAAGCACATACTATCAGTTCCAGCCCATTGAAGGCATTACTGAGAGATGTCTGTGGATGAGCGCTCTCGATGACGACGACATCCGCCGACACTCGGAGAGCATTGAACCACAACTCACACAATGATACAGAAAGACGGATCCCGTACTTTCAAATTGACGAATGACGATCGAAGCCTACATCTACAACAGTGTACAATATGTACTAATCGGACCGCCCGCCTACGCGCTATTTTCTACTTGCATTTACACGCATCGTCTGTTAACATAGAACATGCAACAGCTCACGCAGACATTCCTGTATTAGTACGCTTGTGACTATACATGCACAACTTCTTTTCCCCATCTCTTGATACTAGGCAGCGTCCGCTATACTGTGTGACTACTGCGCTGTTCACCACATAATCATCATACCACTATTACTGTTCCTTTCACTTTTCCCCCCGCAGATGATGCATTTGGTCCGACGCATCATCCACACAGAGCTAGATGCAGTTTTGCATTTATTGAGCACAGGAGTCGGGGTGTCTTCGTTCTTAAATTCCATCTCATTTGTTAGGTCGCCAGCTGAGCCTTTTATCAGTGGTCAAGAGATTGAGAATCTCATTGGAACGAGTTGAAGCGCATAACACAGGCGCAATTGATACCCATAGGAAGAAAGAGAATGAATGTGTCACGGGAGGCGATGCCGCGTGAAGTAACTTTGATACCTGAAGAGAGATCCGATTGAAAGGTGGCCAAGAACAAGATAATATAGATTTAGCTCCATAGATTTGTCAATGTAAACACATATGACAGTGCGGCATCTGGTTTGGTCCTTTTTATGTGAATTCAATGATAGTCAAATTCCGTTCAGTTAAAATCAAATGCATACCAGCGATATAATCAAACTGTTATCAAAAACAATGTCATGTTTTATTTTTCTCGTAAAGGGTCAGCACTTGTGTGTAGAGAAAGCTTATGCATTATTTGAATAATCGAAAACAGAACAATAAGGACAAGGCCCAAAAGGAGAGGGAGAAGGAAAGAAGAAAGACACCAGCAAAAAAATAAACTGATCGTGTGATAACTCCGACACGGGGAATCGAACCCCGGGCATGACGGTTCAAAGTTGAGAGCGTCATATGTTAGCCACTACACCATATCGGAATAAAGAGAGGAATGAGATCAGTTTGCAAGCTCCGACACGGGGAATCGAACCCCGGGCATGACGGTTCAGGTTGAGAGCGTCATATGTTAGCCACTACACCATATCGGATTGTTTGTTTAACTGCTTGTTGGAACAGTCGTCGCCTATGGAGGTACTTGACGGTGAGGCTGGCTAGGAGAGGGAAGACAGAAAATTTTTCACACCGACTCCATTTAGTTTATGGGTGGAACTTGAGATTCAAATTACATTTGGGAACCCGTGGGTATGACTCGGTAGTAATGATAGCAGACTAATCATTTGGTCATGTTTCGTAGATTCAGAGGGTGTCGGGATTCAGTTCACGATGTTATCAAGGGAGTCAGTCAGATATACGAGATGATAAAGATAGTCAAATGCGAAATTTTAGAAAAGTCATTGTCCTTTCATTATGTAGCTAGTGAAATGACTCCTGCAAACCAATGGTATGACCGACCAAACCGCCCTTAACGCCATATCCGTGGAGACTGATGAAAGACTCGAGAATGAATTTCAAAACCAAATAACAACGACGGGAGAGACAAGCAAGCTTTTTTTGTACAACCAAAACCAAGAAAATAGAGACAGAGCCGTCATACAAAGATTTACGACTTCTCCTTCTTGGCCTTCTTGCTCTTCTTGCTTTCCTTCTCAGTGCCGTTGATATCGGAGCGCCTCCTCTTCTTGCTGCTCGTGTCCTCGGCAACGGCGGCGTCCTCCTCCTCGGCCTCTTCCTCCTTGCGCTGCTTCTTGAGCTCCTTCTTGCTCACGACCGACGGTGTGCCATCGGCGTCGAGCTTGACGTCGCCGCGCTCGTACTTCCTCTTGAACTTGGAGACGGAGATGCCAGCGTCAATAGCGAGGCGCTCAAAGTCGGCTTCCGTCAGAGTCTTGGGCTGTTGGGGTGTGGGCGGGGCAATCTCGGTGGCTCCGGATTTCCTCTTCTCCTTGGCCGCCTTCTTCTCCTCCTTGGCCTTGCGCTTGGCTTCCTTGGCCGCCTTCTTCTCGGCCTCGGAGTCGTCATCCGACTCGTCCTCGTCGGCATCAGCCATGGGTGTGTCCTCGACCTCTTGGATCAGGGGCTTGGCGACACCGTCGGCATCGGCGTTGTAGTTTCTCGAGGGCTTGACCTCGAACTTGGAGCCAGTGCCGGTGGGGGCAATCTTGGTACCCTTGGTCTGGATGGGCTTACCCTCGAGTCTGCGCAGAGCGTTCTCGAGCTTGATGCGAGATCGGATACCGAGCTCGGCTCTCTCCTCGTCGTCAATGGCAATATCGGCGCCATCGACACCCTCGGCGCTCAGCTCAGAGAGGGCATCAACGCGGAGGGCAAGAGCAGCCTTGGCAGACAGCATACGGGCAATCTTTCCCTTGTTCTTGCCAGTAGCCTGGCCGACAAGCGAGGCGTGGTAGATGAGACCGTACTTGGGAGTGTCGTGCTTGGTCTTGAGAGCGCGGAAAAGCGCCTTCTCGGCACCAAGAATCTGGATGGTGGAACCAGGGGACTTGGCGAGCTTCATGAGGGAGCCGGCGTGGGCAATCAGACGAGCACCAACCAGCTCACCAATGAGCTCGGTCATGTTGGGTGCAATGGCCTTCATACGCGAGGTGAGGTATTGCGACAACTCTTGACGGTACTCGGTGAAGCTAATGACCTGCTCGGCAAGGAGCTTGATGTTCTCGAGGTCGAACTCGCCAATCTCAGTACCCATGGAGACTTCAGCGCCAGACTTAAGTCTCTGCTCAATGTCCTCGGGGAGGATCTCGGACAGGTCGGTGTTGGCGGCATTGTCACGCGTTCCCATGGCCATGATGATGCGGGCGTAGGCCAGGTTGTCGTTGACGATACGGTCCATCTCGGGGAAATGCCATCCGTACCACTCCTTGACTCTCATAGCATAGTTGTTCAATTCCTTGTCCAAGTCATCCAACAGCTTAATGGCCGAAACAATCATGACATCGACCTTGTCGGCGGAGAACTTCAGCTTGTGTCGCGAAATAGAGTGGGAAAGAGCCAGGGCCATGTTGCCCAAGTAATCACCAGACAGGTCGGGGAACAGCTCTGGGAGGTAGGTCTTGATGGCTCGGAACAGGTCGGTCGTCGAGGAGTCGGAGACCGGAGTGATCTGGAGTTGAGGCAGAACGTTGATGGCAGCGCCGAGCTTGGGGTCTGCCACAGCCAGAGATGACTTGCGCTCGTCCTTGATGTCGTCCAAAAGTTGCTGCAACATGGGCGTAACCTTTCCCTCAGTAAGGGAGCTGTATTCGCCCAAAGCCTGAGCCGAATCCTCGAACTTGATCATCTTCTTCAACGACAACCTGTGGCATAGGTGAGCTGGCTACTCTTCGAGATGGGCCATGGCGAGGCGCTCAAGACAATGCTTACATGGAATTGATCGCATCCGGGCTGTTGAGCTGCGAGGCAATGTTGCCATTAGACAAGAGCTTCTTGTCCTTGGCCTTGAAGAGACCATAACTGCCACACAGTCAGTATTTTTTGAAACCGTCGACGCTGAAGCCTCGAGACAAAACTCACCCCGCAGGCGTCTCTGCCAACACGAAGAGACCCATGTTTGCAGGCAAATCGATACTGATCCTAAGACTACAGGTCTAAGTGCTGAAGTCGATAAAAGTATCGTATAGCCTCCTGTGGGTTGGGGGGGTTAGGTCTATAAGGATGTTGAAAGGGAAGAAATGGGCCTTTCGCTGGCTAAAGTCCCAATTGATGCAGGCAGTTTTTTCCGACGATAATTTTTTTTCTGCTTTGGAGCTTGACCAAAGCGGATTGGAAAGTACCAATTTTTCCCAAGGTGGGTATTAGTGGCGCTAGTCTCTGAGGGGTAGGCGGTGACGCACGGTGCAGGGTGAGGCGAGCTCCCAGCCAGAGTGGGTCTCGAGCAACGTCAAGAGGCTCCTCGAAAAGCACCTTGGTCAGGTTGCAGGTGAGCTTGCAGTGCGCGCAGCTGGCACCCTACCTAGTAGTTGGACCATCGGCATCACCATTCATCGCTTGATTCCCTTCCCGCCAGGCAGAGATAACAGTTGACGTCGACAAGGTCATCGGTGCTACAGCAGATATAACCGTCAAAATGGAGGGTCTGCTATTCAACGTGAACAACGGGTGAGAAACCAGCGTCATTCCAGGATTGTCACCTGTGCTAACATGACTTGACTTACGTAGCTACATTGAGGGCATTGTCCGAGGATATCGGAACAGTTTGCTCACCAGCGCCAACTACAACAACCTGACACAATGCGAGACTATTGATGGTATGCGCTGCCAACTTTGCCCCCTGACTTGGTGATGGCCGCTGACTGAAGATGTCAGACCTCAAGCTCCAACTCGGTCCTGCCTATGGCGACTTCCTAGGCTCGTTGCCCCCGAATCCCTCCACATCCAGTCTGGCTTCCAAGACGACAGACAAGCTTGTTTCAGAGTTCCGTTATGTGCGCGCCAATGCTGTAGGCTCGCTCGCGAAATTCATGGACTACTTGACCTATGGCTACATGATCGATAACGTGGCACTACTCATCACTGGTACCCTCCATGAACGCGACACCCGCGAGCTGCTGGAGCGCTGCCACCCACTTGGCTGGTTTGAAACCATGCCCGTTCTTTGCGTGGCTACCAATATCGAAGAGCTTTACAACAGCGTGCTCATCGAAACCCCTCTTGCCCCTTACTTCAAGGGCTCTCTATCACATCAAGATCTGGACGAACTCAACATTGAGATCGTACGGAATACCCTCTACAAGAACTATCTCGAAGACTTCCACAACTTTGTCAACACTGAGCCAGATATGGCCGGTACACCAACCTCCGAGGTCATGAGTGAGATTCTCGAGTTTGAAGCAGATCGCCGAGCCATCAACATCACTCTCAACAGTTTTGGCACCGACCTGGGCAAGGGCGATCGTAAGAAGCTATACCCTTCTTTCGGCCGTCTGTATCCCGAGGGAACATTGATGCTGTCTCGCGCAGACGACTTTGAGGGCGTGAGATTGGCCGTAGACGGAGTGGGCGACTACAAGAACTTTTTCGATGCGGCAGGCCTGGGTGGTGGTCCGTCTGGCCCAGGTAACATGGCCGGAGGTTCTGGGGGCAATGACAGCCGCAGCTTGGAAGATATGTTCTACGAAAAGGAGATGCAGATTAGCAAGAGTGCCTTTACAAGGCAATTCAGCTTTGCAATCGTGTACGCCTGGGTAAAGCTCAGGGAACAGGTATGTCGCAAAATCAAGTCCAGCTGTCGAGTGTTTGAACCAATCCCTAACGTGGAACGCAGGAAATTCGCAACATCACCTGGATTGCTGAATGCATAGCTCAGAACCAGAAGGAGAGAATCGGCAACTACATCAGCGTCTTCTAAACCTCGCTGCTGCCCATTCCTATTCTCCAGTAGCCTTTGCATTTGTAGCATTATTGAGTTTATCCGGAAATACCAAAGATGGATCGTTGTAGCATGAATGGTTTTGTTAGTTATTTCGGCGTAATCGGCACTTCAGAATTGATAGAAAGGTCGTGGTGGAATCGTGGCTCATTCAAAATCGAGCTTCTTCTGTATTGTACATAGCATATTACAATGCCTTCGACCCCCCTTCTCGAAATATGCGATATTGGTATAATACATATGCTGGCCCATGTACACTCGATCGCCGCGAGGTGTTCTACAACGTGATCTGACCCTTGTAAGTAGCAGGGCTCAATCCAAGTTTCTCGATCAGGTGATACCACCTATCGCTTCCTCTCTCCTTGCGCTCCATATACTGCAGGAGCTTTTGCCTCCTGTGCGTAAGCAACCGCAGATCTCGTTTGCCAACCTTGTCCTTGTAACCTCTGCCCGTCTCCAGCTGGTTCGCTAGTGCCCTGATCTTGGCCGTCAGGATGGCGATCTGCACCTCACTGCTACCAGTATCTGGACCGCCTCTCACAGGGCGCTCCTCCGCCTTGACCCCTCTAGCCAGCGCCTTGGGTCTCATGGTGAGATCTGTCTGATGCCGGCCGAACGTGTTAACACAGCGTTTGATATTGGCGTGCATCTTGTCAAAGGCGGAACCATTGTTCAGGTCCATGATACGGTTGATGGCCTCGACAGCAACGGCATGTTTCTTTTCGTGGGCTTCCTCCCTCAGTGCAAGGTCGTCGAAGGCCTCGATGGCGTCCGTGGGCTTGGTAAGGATGTATGCATGCTTGAGGACGTCGTCGAGCTCGGCCCTGCTTACCAGGTGGTTCAGGACCTCTGGGCTCGTTGGGAGCGGGTGCGGCTCCTCAATAGGGTTGTTGTTGTGATCGGTCTTTGGGACGGATAGCGGCGACTGGCCAGCCGAATCGAACGACTCAACAAAAGGCGTCTCGATACCTCGCACCGAATCACCGAGGGCCGCTTGGCGCTCTTGTTGATAACGCTGTTTTATGGTGTCGTGTGCAGCCTTGCGCTGTTGCATTTGTTGCCATCGGTACGGATCCTGCTTGGCAATGCGCTTCTTCTCCTTGGTCGAAAGACTGGCTACCTGGGTCAGGGGCAGGATGGAGGGTGTTGTCTGCGGCGTTGGGCGTAGGCACACTGGGACAGCTGATCAGCGAATTTGCCGGCTTGTTATACATCAAGTCGTTGAAGCTCACCGTTAATGGCGCCACTGAGGCGCTGTACGCCTGTTATCCGGTGCGACATGGCGAGTTTACTGGGCGATGATGCTACTCGTTCACATGGAGATGCCTTCAGACCACGGCCGGATCTACAATGCGACTCGGGGCCGTTCGATAACTTTTTTGCCAAGCTTTGATAGGTACCAGCATGCGCCTCATTTCAATCGGTCTTGGGCTGTAAGCTAAATTCCACCAGCCACAGTTTTCCAATAAATGTGGCTTGCGCTCAGAAAAGCATTAGTTGGAGGGCCACAAGTACCTTTCTTGACATGACATTTGGGAAATTTACCGCCTCAGAAGCCGTAAAAGAGGGATTCAGATTGTATAATAATTTATAATGATATACTCATAGCTATTCTAAAAGATTTAAATGAACATTTAACTAAACTGTAGATATTCAGCAAAATTTCACTGGCATCGTCTCTGGAGCCATAGCAACTACTATACCAAGTACCTCGAGGCACTTTGCTTGCAAAAGGTCAACAGCGGCAGAAATCAGCCCCACTTGTAGCGCTTGGCCCAATCCACGCAAAAAAACCCTGCCCACAAAAGTTGATCGGCCCTCGAAAATAGCTTCAAGGCCAAAGAAAAGTTCGCGACTGCGTCCCGACTTCACTTCTTTGTCTCCCTCAACCCACCACCACAACACCCATCTTGACCGCACACCGTCCTCGCAGTCGCGACCAAATCATCAAGATGGCTCCCTCCAACCTGCCGGCGATCTTCAACGCCACCTCCCAGGACATTGAGATGCTCCTGGCCTCCCAGAGCCACCTCGGTTCCCGCAACCTGCAGGTGCACATGGAGCCCTACCTGTGGAAGACCCGTGCCGACGGTGTCAACGTTATCAACGTTGGCAAGACCTGGTATGAAGACGAGAGACTCCAGCAGCCGCTTCTTTGTGGCGTCGCGCGCGCGCAATTGACTAATTTGATTTTTCGTGCTCAGGGAGAAGATTGTCCTCGCTGCCCGTATCATCGCCGCCATCGACAACCCCGCCGATGTCTGTGTTATCTCTGCCCGTCCCTACGGTCAGCGTGCCGTCCTCAAGTTCGCCGCTCACACCGGTGCCACCGCCATTGCCGGTCGTTTCACCCCCGGTTCCTTCACCAACTACATCACCCGTTCCTTCAAGGAGCCCCGTCTGATCGTCGTCACCGACCCCCGTACCGACGCCCAGGCCATCAAGGAGGCTTCCTACGTCAACATTCCCGTCATTGCCCTTGCTGACACCGACTCTCCCACCGAGTACGTTGACTGCGCCATCCCCACCAACAACAAGGGTCGCCACGCCATTGGTACCGTTTGGTGGATGCTCGCCCGTGAGGTCCTCCGTCTCCGTGGTACCATCTACAACCGCGAGACTCCCTGGGACGTCATGGTTGATCTGTACTTCTGTATGTCTTTCTTGTGGTCTCTATAACTCACATTCCATGATTGTATACTAACAAACTATGCTAGACCGCGACCCCGAGGCTGAGGCCGAGGAGAAGGTCGAGGAGGAGAAGCTCCCCTCCGCTGACGAGGTTGGCCCCGCTGCCATCACCACTGGCTTCACCGAGTCTGGCGGTGACTGGCAGGCTTCCGCCCCTGGCTTCGCTGGTGCCCAGGGCGGTAACTGGGACGGTGCCACCGATGAGTGGGGTGGTGCTGCCGCCGCCGCCGCTGCTGCTCCTACTGGTGAGTGGGGTGCCACTGAGGCCAAGGACAGCCAGTGGTAGAGCCAGGACGCTGCCGAAGGCCAAGATGGCTCCGCTACCGAGGGTACTGGAGATGACGTTGCCAACAATCAGCAGTTCAGTGGAATTGAGTGGTAGATGACTTTTGCTACTCAACCTACAAGAACAAGCCGAGGACATGAAACAAAAAAGTGTGGCGCATGATCGGAGTGCGTGGGAAAATTGGCATGTACTAATGAGGGAAAGATACTCGTAGCCAGTCGCATAATTCGATTCCCGCTGTTTGTGGCAGTGGTTACTCTCATTTGTCCGGCTGGGGAAGAGGGAATGCCCTGTGCAGCCAAAGGAATGGACTTGATCGTTATTCCACCTCGTCTTCCGATAGCGCATCAATGGAAACCAAGAATCGTCCCATGTGCAATGACAACATGAACGGTTCTGATTTGTACTGACAAGAAGATTTATGCCTTTTTAGCTTTCCGTCTCGGTGTAATAGCCGATCCCATGGGCCTTTATCCATCAAAGTCACCTTGCCACACTCTGAGGTTTATCCAGCTCTCCATGGTTCATCTCAATTTTATGTCAAGGAAGAAGAATGCAAACCACTTACTCACCGCGGCCACCAGTCAAATGGTAGTCGAGGTCCATCTTTCATGGTTCACATATCCTAATCTGAGCCGATAATTAATATCAGCAGACTTGTTCTCAGACGCATAGTCGTTGTCAACCGTATGGACCGTCCATACTGATGTAAAATCTTCGCGTGTAGCGACTAGTGTTGTGGACTATCCCTAAACTTGTACTTTAATATACAATACAAATTTGTAGATCAACGCATGCAGAAATCACATCATGTCAAGGGTGTCATCATCGCCGCAACCTTCACTTGTACACTCAGGGATTTCATTTTGGTATGGACGTCGCTTGCACATTTAGTGCGTTTACCGTCTGCGGCAGATGTATTCTCAAGTGCCGCTTATCGCTGGCACATTGAGTTTACCGATGCGCAGAGAGTAGCCCGTTGTGATATGTGGTGTAACCACATTGCATATTGCAGCAAATCGCTACAGATAATCATCACGGGCCCAGCTGTAGACTTCGTGTGCACCTTTGATCAGCCGTACTCCCATCCCAGGAAAGAAATATTTTCTAATCATTCTATTCTTTCAAGTCAAATTGTTTTGCCGTAATTTTCAAGTATTCGTCCTCCAGGTTTTCATACTCTTTCCGAGTATCTCTCAATAATGTCAGCTGAAAAAGTGACCGTCCTCGGCAGGCAAGTGGCGACTGGGAATCATGAATTTATTGAAAAAGAAAATTCCAGTGATACTACGCAGACAGACTTGGAAGAAGAAGGGCATGGCAGCCACTCCTTGGAGGCAAGCATAATTTCTAATCAATATGGTGTCGCAAATCATTGTTCACTAATAGTTGTATCAGAGATATATCAAGTTGCCAACCATTGTTTTGTTTGGCATTGTCCTACTGGCTTCTTGGGAATCATTCTCCTGGACGTTTCAGTTTGCCCTGCTCAACGGCGGCCCGGCCTCGATGTTCTACGGAAGCATTCTAGCTGCTATTGGCACGATATCTATTGGTTTTTCTTTGGCCGAGCTGGCTTCAATGTGAGTCTGTCGACCACATGCATCTCGCCTCTTGTAAATTCTCAAATGTGACAGTGATCCAACCGTGGGCGCCCAGTATCGCTGGAGTGCTAATCTGGCACCTGCAGCTCCGAGATTCTGGGGCTTGAGTAAGTCATATTTCCGTATATAATGGGGTTCTCATACATAGTTGCTAACTTTTGATCAATGTAGTGCAAGGCATGTAGAGGTTGTCACTTGTGGATTTTTACCGTCCATACTAACATGGCTATACAGGATGGATGACGGTTTCCGCTTGGTGCTTTGTCTGCGCGGCACCAACATCGAGCTTGGCCACCATGATAACCTCGCTGATCATGTTCAACAAGGAGACATATGTGCCAGAGCGTTGGCACACCAGTCTGTTGATGATTGGCACAATGGTCCTACCGTTACTGTGCAACCTCTGGTTCCGCAAAGTACTGAGCTCTGTTGAGGCACTTGCAGGAGTCTTGCACATCTGTCTCTTTGTCGTATACATTGCAGTTCTTGCATCCGGAGGCACTAGAAGCGATAATGATTTCGTTTTCAAGACCTTGACACATGATGTCAGCGGATGGTCCAATCCAGGGATCGCCTGGTGTCTAGGCTTGCTCCCGGCTGCATTTTCTCTGTCTGGCATTGACAGCATCATACACATGAGTAACATACCATGCCTGTCCCTTCTTGCCCTCTTTGAAAGGGAACTGACCGTGATCTCACAGGTGACGAGGTCAAAAATGTTCGCATCAATGTACCCCGAAGCATTATTGTCGCCAGCACCACCAACTCTATCATGGTTGCCACCTTTGTGCTCGTCCTGCTCTTCTTCATTGGGCCCGTCGACGACTTGGCTAGCGCACCGCTGCCGCTGGTCTATGTGGTGTACAATGCCACGGGCTCCAAGCCGGCCACCAATATCCTGGTCACCCTCGTGGCCCTGATTTGCTACTGCGCCACCTTCAACTGCTTCGCCTCCGTGTCGCGGCTGGTATGGGCCTTTGCCCGCGACAATGGGCTGCCGTTCTCGGGCTTCTTTGGCTACGTGCACCCGGGACTGCGGGTGCCGACCAATGCGCTTCTGCTCGTGGGCATCATGGTCGTGTTGCTATCGCTCATCTACATTGGCAGTGTCACGGCCTTTAACGCCATCATCTCCCTCCAGACTTTGGGCATATACGCTTCCTACATTCTTCCCATCTCCTTTCTCCTCTGGCGCAAACTTCGAGGTCCCGAGCCGCCATACGGTCCGTTCAAGATGGGCACTTTTGGTATTCCTGTCAATATTTTTGCCTTGTGCTACTTGTTGTTCATGGTAACATGGATGCCGTTCCCTTCCGTTCTGCCTGTCAGCTCGGACAATATGAACTACGCCGGTCCGATATTTGGCGGTATCATAGTGCTGGCTCTTGGTGACTGGTTCCTGAGTGGGCGAAAAAGGTTCCAGATGCCGGTCAAAGTTTATTAGTAGATTAGTTGGTGTGGTTTTAGTATGGTTTTGGTATTTGTTTTTAGGGGATATGTAAGGAGGTTACTCGGTCCTTTTGCTATTTACAGAATCAAGACAATATACTATACCTTTCTCTACATCACCTCTTATCATTTCACTGTGGCCACAATCATCAAGATGGTAGAAAGATTATGACAAGAATTGCATCAATATTTGAACAGTCTTGGACACTTTTTTTCATTTACTTACCTACGGAATCTTTAGAAATAATGAAAAATTTGGAGATCAAACCTGGTTGCCATGAAAACCTCGGCATTTCCAGGGTCCTTCCGATGGAGTTATTTTCAGATACTAGCCACTTGTTCGTAGTACCCGACAAATATTCTCGACATCTTCTCGGGCCCATCCAAATAGAGGTAACATTGCAGCATTTATTGTTCCGCCGCAAGGACGGGCCAAAGGGCGACAAAAGGGAGTCTACTCAAACCTTTTTTACTTTTTGGGAGCGTGCAGAATACAATCGGGCACACTGCCACCCAAGATTATCCCGGAGGGACTGGTCTATGCTCCCGACATACCGCTGTCTGAGTGATCAAGATAATCCATATCTGAAGTGTCATCCTCTTCGCTGGAGGAAGAGCTTTCACCTGAAGTTGATCCGTCACTTGAGTTAGCCTTACCAGACGACGATTTGATGCTCGGGGGCTTATCATTTGAAGGTGGCTCAGGCAGAGTCTCCTGTACACAGTCACAGGGTTCGCAAGGGCAAGTCGGCCTGGTCGGACCGGCATCGGGAACCACGGGCCCACCAGGCATGTTGGGGCCAGCCTCCGGTACGGAAGGACCATGTGAACCAGAGGCGCTCGGAGGGGGTCGCAGACCTCCACATATGCTGGGCCAAACCTCCGGTACGAAAGGACCATGTGAACCAGAGGCGATCGGACGAGGTGTCCCGCTGCTAGGTACCGAAGGTCTACGGGGACGAGAGACGATGCGAGGTGGACCGTCGCCTCGTCCCAGACGTCCTAGACGTCCAACTCCACACCAACCAAAATCAGAGGCAATCGGAGGGGGTCCCCCGCTGCTAGGTACCGAAGGTCCACGGGAGTCAGAGGCAATCGGAGAGCGAATGGGGTTTTCTGGACCGTGGCCTGGTCGCAGACCTCCACCGAGACCAAAATCAATCGCAGGGCGTCTTTCACCAGGAGCGGGTGTTGGCAGACCAGATGGCGTGCTCGGTGGCCCAGTCTCCAAGACGCGAAGACGTCCCTCCAGCTCATCGATCCGCTGAATCATGTCTTGAAACTGTCCAGCTTCGTCGTCCTCATGATCATCGATCCGCCGATGCAAAGTTTCAACCTCTGAAGTCCCGTTCTCCCGAAGATCCCGGACGGCGTTGGCGGGTTCCTCAGCAAGGCTTTGCGTGTGGTCGAGGCGCCCGTGCATATCCTCCAACGCCTCCATTGTATCATCATGAAGATCCCATATGGCATCCGCGACGTCCTCTGCAAGAACATGCGTTTGATTGAGTCGTCTCTTTATCTCATCAATCTCGGCGCGGTCGACACCTCCGGCGTTGTCCTGGTTGCACTTGCAGCCATTGTCTTCATCAGGGCAGCGACACGCAGAATCCAAAATCTTCTGGTCGACCTCAGCCAGGAGGCGCTTGTGCTCAGTCAGCTCAACCTGTTGTAGACGAAGCTGCAGCTCGAGGTGATCCACCCTAGACTCTACAGGAGGATCACCAAATCCAGAGAACGAACCAGAAGACGAGCCGGAAGGCGAACCGGAAGATGAACCGGAAAACGAACCGGAAGATGAACCCGGAGACGAGCCAGTAAAATGACCCGGGTGCGGGCTATCTTCTCGGGTCCTGCCCTTGATGACACGTCCTTTGCCCTTGGTATCTTTGCCCTTGGGTCCCTCAGCGATTTTCACAGTCTTTGTCTTGGGCAACGGCTTGGATATTCTGCCTGCCTTGGTCTTACCAAACCGGCCAGCCCCTGGTCTACGGCGGGTACGACCACGAGCCTCATGACGACGATCCGGTAGGTCGGAACTGTCCGAGCTATCGGAGGAATAGCTGGGGGCACGACAGGAAGCCATGATCCTTAAATTCTGGTGTAGAAGTTTTACTTTGTGCGTTTTGCTGAAGAACGTTTGTTTATTTTTTTTTAAGTCAGATTCCTCAGAGAACTGTGTGTGTAGATTGGAGAAAAGAGAAGAGACCAATGGTCAGCAGCCTGGCCTTTTATATAGACGAGGAGGAGGAGAAGTTCAAGAAATGAATGGCATTGTGTCAATACAAACCTAAAGAGTTGTTCTTGAACAGAAAGCCTCTGTGAGGATGCTCTTGCGGTGGAGCTTCCCAGGAACAAGGAACGGTTTATTGTGCATATAGTCTGGTTTTAGCCACTCTCTTTGTAGCTATCCGTACTATGTACTACAACATAGTTCTTGTTCACCATTATACATGGATCTGTAATGTGACGACAGCCTCGTTTATTCACGAAACGTTTGTCCATACCGGTACACAATACAAGTAATTTGTGCTTTTCCCAGGCACAAAGCTAACAAAACGGACTAGACTGCACGACCATTTGGCACAAGGCCACAATGAGAAGACGAAGAACACAAAGGCTTTGTCCAATTATGCGAAGATTTCTGTTGGCCATGTGATGTCTTACACACCGTATGATAGCCGGTCGGAACGAAAGTGTCATGTTCATACTCAAGCTGTGGCCGTTCAAGACATGGGCAACCAGTGGTTCCAGGTAAAATATCCTTGTACAAATGATATACAAATTAGCTTTCATAATGTACGCCCTTTGCTGAATATTCAATACATATTGACCGGGCCCTGGTACTGCTTCCAAGAATAGTCTTCCACAAGACTCTCATTCCACAGTATTCAACGTGTATATCGAAGACAACCCACCCTACAATCAATTGACTTGAAGTTAGCATACACAAGTGTGTACCAAGACATTCATGGATGCCATTTACATAGTAGTGGGCATGCTGATGATGATAGATACCTAGTTTTTGATATGATTTTGATTTCTCTGTTGAGCTCATATCCATAATTGACAATCTGAACATTGTCTCAAGATGATTCGAGGGAAAAAATATTGACAAGAGTGATTATTCAATATCGTCTAGGTGCCGTCCCAGAGGCATGTCACGGGTACCTGGCACAAGAGTCCAGACTCCAGTAGCTTGGCGGCTCTAGTGTTGAGCGATCCACTAAAAAAGAACAAAAACCCCGGCCACTCCACCAACCCAACTTTGGGCATGCACGTTTAGCAGTGACGTCCCCAAGCTCTTTTTCTGCGGGAGCCAGGCGCAAAAACAAAATACGCCCCGACACCTGAACATTTCTTCCCCCAAGCAATCTAGACTCGACTTTCACTCACACAACGTAAAAGAAAGAAATTCAAGATCAAAAGAGTCGGCAGAGGCCAGCGCGCAAACATGTCAGACGCCGAGGCAGCAGGATCGCGGACACGACCCCCGCGCGACTCTCCACCACCACAGCAGCAGCAGCACAGGCGAAGTCGCAGTCGTTCGCCGCGGAGGCACGAGGACAGAGATCGCAGTGACAGGAGGGAGGATAGGCCGCGGCCCAAGAAGAAGAACTTTGGAGGTTTCGCGTACAAGGACAAGCGCCGCGACGACCAGGACCGAAGCCGGGACGACAGAGACGACGACCGCCGCGGCGGCGGAGGCGGTGGCTCCTTTAGAGGGTACCGGGATCGATCGAGGTCGCCACGGCGCCGACCTAGAGACGATAATGACGATCGTCGTCGGGATGGTGGTAGAGGTGGCAGCAACTACAGAGATGGCGGTCGAAGAGAGGGTGGCGGCGGCGGCTCGAGACGTGACAGGGAGGACACGTCAAAGCCGCCCAAGCGAGCAGCGCCCAAGCAAACGGTGCCCGTCGAGGGCTTCATTGTCGTCTACGTCAATGACAGACTGGGAACTAAAGAGGCGATCCCGTGTCTACCCTCTGATACGGTCGGCCAGTTCAAGATCCTCGTTGCCTCGCGTATTGGCCGCAAGCCCGAGGAGATCAAGCTGCAGAAGCAGGGCGAGCGCCCTCTCAAGGATATGATCACGCTTGCCGACTACGAGATCTCGAATGGCAGGCAGCTGGACCTTGAGGTTGGAACCAACGATTAAAATACTCAGGATGACTTTCAGTTCCGAATATCATGACGCTCAAACAGTTGCGAGACTCTCTACGCGAGACCCCTGGCCACGTCTCAATGAATCCAAGTTGCCCGTATGTCATGTCGCAACTTGGATCATATTGTGCGCAGATCGACTGACTGCTCTAGGTCTTTTACATTGCGCCAAGTGATGAAACATAGAGCCAATATCGTTGGTGATCAGTGACTGGAAGCAGGTACTGAGAGCACCACTCGGAAACACAAATAAGGACATTACTCAGTGTTGTATCAAGAGTCGACATGCGTGCCGTGTTGTATACTCAACAGACCACTCAGGGCGCGCTGTGATGGTTGCAACCCGATACCATCTAGAGCATCATTTGCTGCTAATGGCATCGTCCTAGAATACTCTGAGCTAGAGTGCTTGTGCAGATGCACCTGCATATGATGAATTTAGTGCGTCAACCTGCTATGAGGCGAGCCTACAGTATACTACAGGACGTTTTTGCATGCGTACATCTTTGCCGTTGTCAAAAAATAGAGCCATATTCTCATTGATGACAGACCCGCTGAGGGCCCAAACCATATCGTTTCGTGTATCTGCAACACTGTTTTCATGCACAATGTTTCCATCTCTGCCAAGGGTATCATACTACCATCCACCATCATCGCCTTTAACTGATGTGGTCATCTAAAAACGCCAAACTAGATGCAGTCAAGCTGCATTACCTCTAACAAAAGCTTCTTAGCAAGGTGAGGGTTCTCTGTCACTTGATGCTCATTATAACTCCATTCATGGAACCATCGCACGCCTCGCCGCCGTTTGCCGGCATTAACTTCACTCATCGTCATCGCTCAGATCGATAACTTCGACTCTCCGACCAGATTCCAAGCGAGTCATCTTGCCCTTTCGTTGTTTCTTCGGGGCGGTACTGCCGGTCAGATCGTAGACCTCACCAAGCTCTCGCTTGATGGGTCGACTACTTTCGTTCTTGACTGCCGAGTCCTGCCCAGTGTTAGTACCATCGCAGGTCTGCCTTGCATGTTCATACCTGTAGCTGGTTGAAACGTTCTCTTGCCAAACGGCGCAATTCAGCGTCAGATAGTGCGTTGAAAGTTGGCGGAGACGGTGTAGGTGATCGAGGAATGATCATCTCCCGCTTCAACGCATCTGTCCGAATACTTAAGTACGTCAATCGTAATACTCGAAACGTTTCGAAGACATACCTCGCGATCTATAGAGAAATCGGAATCTGGCGATGGGCTGCTTATTATCTTCAGGAAGATGACGAAAGTCAACCCAGTACGGTTTGGTGATTTGCTCCTTCGAACGAAGACTAATTAGCAGTAAGCATGCTGATCACAAGCAGGTAAGACCACCATGTTGCTTTACGTGGTTCCATGTGAGATTGCCTTTCCCTTTAGAGACTTCTCTGCAAACTCGAACCTATCGCGTTTGGGAGATCGTTCTGCCTGGTGTGCAATAGCACCATGTTCAGTTCCCCGGTACAGCTTGACGTCGATAAGTCCCAAGTTCTTGGTAGCCTTCATGTCTTTCTCGACGCGTTCCTTCTTTGCATCATCAACTGTCTATGGTTTAGCGACACTGACCAAGGAGTGAGTCCATCGCAATTTTGACTGACTTGTCTGGATAGAGGCGAATTGAAGTTTACTGAGCTCTCCCTCACCGGCATTGTTGATAGATTGGTGTCCTCGAATCAAGATGTCTCTAGCTTCTTTTACGACCCTGGCCCCGATCCAACATCCATCAACGTAGCACTCACAGCTAAGACAATGTTTAGCCTTGCCATGTCTCCAGTCATAGTGATTGTTGATGTTCAAGTTGACTGCAAAGAAGGCGTCATCGATGGATTCAATGTACTTGGTGATGGTGGGGTAGTCCTTGTCCTCGTCGCCTGCTTCGGGTGCATCGTACTCCTTCACATCCACGCCATTGATTTGTACGGTGACCTCCATGCCAGGGACGTCTTCGTGAATCATGGTGAGATCAGTGGTCCGGTAGTTCGTTACAGCGCCGCGCAACCTACTGCGCGGGTACTGATGACAGGTATGGAGTGGTGTTCAGCCTCACTTGTATGAAACCCGAGCGAGTGCGCGACGAATGTCGAGATCAGAGAACGGGTTCCAGAAAGGGTGTTTCAGAAGGAATTGGGGTAATCGGCAGAGAAATCCTCAGATGAAGGCCGACCGAAGTCTCTGCTCCCTGGGGGTTGCGGTGCACGAGTGTTGCCTTGCTTTTCAGAACAACTTCGAGGGAAGAAAAGCAAAGTGAAGGTCGAGGCAGAATCGGTGGGTACTCCCAAGACTTCTTGTGGAAAATCTGGTGGGGCGTGGGAAGGTTTGAGGCAGGCTCGACCTATTTTTAAGTTGGAATAATCGCTCCTGCCTTGCCCAAATTTGTATGGATTATTCCAGTTTGTTTGGCAAATGAAGACCAAACTCAATGATTTGGTACAGATGCACGGTAAATGGTGTAAGAATTGTAGTTTGAGATGGCCGTTATAAGTACAATGTGTAAGCCACCCGGCTTAGACTATAGAAATAGGTTGGGGACTCTGTGGTTTGGTTTGGGGGCAGACAGCACATAACTAACCTACATTACTTGGGCACAGTCCGGCCGTCGATTTGGGCTAAATTTAGAGACACAGTGCTGCACTCAATGCTACATTACCTTACTGACCACACAATCTTTGTTTCCGAGCAGCATCAAGTCAGGTAATATGGGCTTCAATCTGATCCGGCAAGAGCGAGGGTCAACGACATTTACATGGACATAGTCGCGAAGGGGGACGATCAGCAACAATGGTGATGATTCTGCCATGCAAGCACCGACCTGAAATAGACATACTGACACGATTCCTCAATGGTTCCCCTGTTCTCTCTCTTTTCTCTTTTCTCTTTTCTTCTTGCCCTTGTGATTTGGACGGCGCCACGCATCCAGAAAGAGCTCCTTGAAAGTCAATGAATTCATCGTTCACATGTGCACTTGAGTTCTCGTTGTTTCACTAGATCTTCCCTATGAATTACTATTCGGCGGTATAAATCGTTTTCGGCTACATATGCTTTATACTGGCGATAGCTACTCGTTGACGGCCGAGACCGATATACAATCATCCACATTCCCTACCGTCATGAGTCTGTATCGGCCCGTGTCGTCTTGTCCATAGTTATGAATCCAAAATGTCCCCATACTTGGTCATCATAGATCTCTTCTAGCTACCTTCATTTTCATCAGTTATTGGGCCAAGCTGTCCAAGCACTGAGCAATGAATGTGGAAGGGCTTAGTGAGGTCCGGCAGTCAGATTCCACGAGCCGGTGGTTTTCAAATGATGAAACTCTCCAAAGTGAGAGATATGCGACTTGACAACAATGATGACTTGCTTCTCCATCATAAAAAGGTAGGCTATATTCCGGTGGATAGGAGAATGAAAGCAAGGGCTGCTCGCTATCATGTGTGAAGAAAAGGTCATCGCCCGTGCATGGATCCTGTCGTTTAATGGAGACACTTGGCCTTGTTCTGAGCAGTATGACTTTTGAGAGCATGGTAACTGAGGGTGATGAATTTGCAGAGCACTGCATTCAGAAATATCATGGCAAACTCGTATGCACTAAACTCGAGTTGTTTCTGGGGGTATCTTGTCGTCTCTTCATGACGCAATGGGATTCGCATGGATAGTGACCTTCTCGATGAAGATCTTTTCTTTCGGCCTGCTCTTCTTGTCCACCTCAACGGCCTCAATCTTGGCCAGCGCTGCAATGCTGTCGTCACCCAGGAGCTTTCCAAAGACAGTGTTCAAGCCGTCCAGGTGCGGCGCCTTGTCAAAGGTGATGAAGAACTGCGAGCCATTGGTGCCAGGTCCCTTATTAGCCATGGAGACGGTGCCGCGTGCGTTGTGCTTCAAGGTCGGCCTAATCTCGTCCTCAAAGGTGCCGCCCCAGATGGACTGCCCGCCCTTGGGGTTCTCGGGCGTCGGGTTGGCAGGACCGCCCGTCTGCACCATGAAGTTGGGTATCAGCCGGTGGAAAGGTGAGTGGTCATAGTATCCAGAAGCACAAAGGGCCAGAAAGTTCTATTTCATGTCTTAGCTTTTATTCCTCTCTTGGGTGATGATGACACTTTTCGAGCACTGCCAAGCAAGCGCGTGTACTGTACCTCTGCTGTTTTGGGGACACTCTCGCAAAAGACCTCAATCTTCAAATCACCCAGATTGGTATGCAGCGTAACGGACATGGTGAATGCTAAGCCGCCAAACGGTGCTGATACAGTTTATGGACAAAGAGATGGTCCCGGTTCGGGCCTTGGATTGATGGTCTGGGCTGTGGAAGTGAAAGCCGAGTTCTGACTTTTTGGTGGCACCTGTGTCTGGTGGAGACCCACCAGGATTTGACATTGCGCTGCAACTCAACCATGTGGCCATAATGTACCGAGCAGAGCCTCAAATGGACGGCTTCAGTATCCAAATTTCTTTCAGCACATGTTCAAGTTCAGTACGACAAACTAATTTATAAAAAATGGAGATCCAGATGTGAGAAGCATTGTGGCTTGATGCAGATCGATACAAGTTGCAGGTCTTCTGCTGGTGGCTGGCTGGCTGGGTGCAGCAGTTGCTCGAACTTTGTGCAATCAGCCGTTGGTGTGCACTCCTTCAGCTTATTATGCCTGCTAGAGTAATAACGTAGCTAATCTGGATAACTAGTGTAAAGTCTAGACTATTTGCTATGAGATGTCTTGAAGGAATCATTTATGACAAGGATCCAAATGAATTGCATTGGTTTTTACCCTAGGCAGGAGTTGGAACGAATGAGCAACCACTTCCCAGCAATGGCCAGCACTGGCAATTCCATGAGCTCCAAGCTTGTCTAGCTGACGAAGCTCAAAGCAATGACGTTATAGCAGCGAGGAGGGAAAGTGGAGGGGTGGGCAATGAATGATTCCATCACCAGACTTTCTCTGCACTGTAGCAGCTCTCTTGAAGCAATAGACACTGCCGTGACATACGACTTCAAGACCATCAAAGCTTTACACTCATATCAACATTCCCTGTACTGCTTATAACCGTGGCAAGCGTGGGATAGACGAAAATGTGATGCGCATGGGGTTGTCATCAAAGACCCATTTTCTTCTCTTCAGCATGCAGTGGGCAAATGGCTAACAACCCTGGGCGATTTGCCCCACCTCTTAGAAATGTGGTTCCCGTCAGCATTTGTGGCCCCCAATCGATAATGGGGTACTACTACCAAGGTCATAGAGGTAACTCAAGGTACATCCATGCCCTCAAACCTACCAACATAGCGCAGCAAAGCAAAAGCGAGGGAAATTTTGTGGAAGGACGCAAATAATGGATGCATCGGCCGCACACGCACATATACACATGGTGCTGACATGCGAAGGATTTACCAACGTTGCGATGTACGTGGAATATTCGTTCGGAGCTTCCGACTGGACGCCCAACGAACTGGAATGTCCCTGATTCCCGAAAGTTTGGCACACACTGCAATCATCATCATACAAGACCACGCAGAAAGTACACTAATAATCGCATCCTACCCTACGACGATGCACTGTTCGACATAAAATCGATATACAGAGTTCATAGTACATATGTACGAATTGTAGCCCAGTGGGACAGATTTCTCAAGTCACTCGTTAATCGAATAGAGCAGTCCAGTCATTGTAATCCATGTTTCAGGAACTGCAAGCCTTTTCCCAATATTCCCGTCAATCTACGTCAAAGAACGGCCTTCCAGGAACAGGTGAATCAATGATTCAAATCTCTGGTCGCAATCAGCAGCAGCAGCAGCATCAAGGTTCAGCTTTGATCGGCGGTGATATTACCGCACACATAAGTACATACATGCAAGCAGTGGGATGAATGTATCCAAGGTATTCAATGCAAAGCCAATAATGCGTTCTTTGATCGGAATCTTTCAAAGGGACAAGTAAAAGTTTTTTTTTTTTTCTCTCCCACGATTAATCCTCGGTTCCCCTCAAGTTTCGACCGTTCTCGTACTTGACATTGAAACATGATCCGATGAGCAGCATCGGCGAGGAGGAAACAATCGTTGCGTTGTGCTAGGTACGGTACCTGTAGTGGCATCAGATCAGCATCAGCACCGACGCAACGCTGCCCAGTGCCCCTCCTCAACCGCCAGCCGCACGCACAATTGGGACCCCAGCCCAGTAAAATACCCATCCTACCTTGCCTATTGCTACTATCGAGGTCGCAAAGAGGCTCATCAGCCTACCTTGACCTTATTAGCACTCCTCTACAGAGTACCTTGTCTGCCATCACCTACGCTTGCAGCCGGAGGGTGACGATCCCAGCCGTCTTGCGTTAGTTGATCCCTGCAGTCAACTGCACTTCCCTTCCCAGCTGTGAGAATTACGCGGTTCCGGCCCTCCATCAGACACTCATCTTTAAGGTAGAGGGACAGGACAGAGAAGAGGAGGATTTTGGAGCAGCAACAGCAGCACAGAGCCAGAGCAAGAAAAAAAAAAAAACCTATGGACTGAATGTTTGTGTGTACGCGCTTGCAGATTGCGTTGCGTTGCCTTGCATTTACCTTGCTGGAAACAAACCGTCGAAATTTAGAGTAGCGGAGGGTACGCCGTTCTTAGCTGCATCGGTAGCCTGCGATCCGCTGCCGCTTCGTTGTTTGTCGGTATCTGCTTTGTTCGTTTTATTGTCATTGTAGTCGGTTATTACCTAGTCGTCCGTGTTGAGGTGGCTGCTGGCTTGGTTGGTGGGCTGGCCCTTTCTTTACCTGACTCCTTGCCTGCTACCTACCTGGAGGTGTGATTGCATACCTACTTTGTCTACACTCTGACCGACCTGCCTGTGGTTCTCACTCCGCTTTACCTACCCCATCGCTAAAAAGCACCACCTATCACATATCCTTACCTTGACCTTGCTTCTGGGGCTTTGCCTTACCTTGCCTGGGCCCCATCAAAAGAGTCCCCGAGCTCTTCCAAACAAAGCGAAACAGAGCCGCCAGCCCAACTGCCTGCGCGAGAGAAAATCATCCAAAAGCAGCAGCAGCAACATCGAGGTGCCGCCCAGTGTGGCAGCAAATAATACAGGCGAACAGCACAACCTGTGCGAAAAACGAACACTGGGTCTGCGACACTCGTTGCCCAAGTCAATCGATCACTGATACTCAGACATTTATTTGTCTGCGACAACTATTTATCGGCGGCGGCGACGACATTCGCATCCACGGACGACGACAGCCCAAAGCTTACTTTGGGAGCAGCGCAACCCCCATCTCCTAGCAGTGGCGGTTCTGACATGTAATGACCAACTTTCGACGTTGCGCACCTTTTGACGACGACGACGACGACGACTGCAACGACGACAATCTTGGCTATATCCTCTCCTCCGGCGCCGACGCCCTCCGGCTGCCTCAAAAACGGAATACATGCTACAGCATCGGGTTCAGAACAGGGCTCGTCCGTAACAGCCGCTCACCCCTCAGTAGTCCTAGACTCTCGGGTCTCCGCAGAGAAAACAAATCATGACAGATAGGATCCCTGCCTCAGTGCGGGTTTCCGGGCCGCCGAATAGCAGCTTTCTAGTCGGCTATCCAGGTATTTCGGCAACCTTGGTAAGTTTGAGTCGTCTTTCTATAGGCACGAGGCAGCAATTTGTCGTTGCTCATGCACCACCAAGCGCCTTCCCCTCCTCCCCAACTTTATGAGATGGGACTTTGCGGCGCATGTGGGGGTGCTCAAGGCCAAAGCCAACCAATCCCTTGACGAATTCTCAGGCCTTGCGTCGTTTCAATACAGAAAACTGACTTCATTTGTGCGAATGTAGCCGAGAATAGAAGGCAAAGTTGAGATTCGGCCGTCGCAGGGCTACTCGGCGCCAGTGGCCGTATCCCTTGTGCGAATATGTCTCCAGCGAAGAGAAACAATACATCCGGCCGCCAGAAACCTTGCCAAGAAGCATCTGGGCACACCGAGAAGAGACACGACAGACGTTGTGGGTAAAGAATTATTGCTATTCCGATGTGCATCGGGGAGGGAAGCCGAAAGCGTAATTGCCATGGACTTGCCGTTCGTGTTATTCATCCCATTCGGTCGAGGAGGCGAGGAAACCAACAGAAGAATACCGCCGGCATCGTTACAGCTTGCGAGCAGGACGGCTGAGACATACTACGAACTAGTGGTGACGGTTCAGCAGGGAGCGAGCCAGCAAAACAAGTATGCATTTCCTATACCTCTCCAGAGATATGATACGTTGTCCACCTTTGGAATGTACAACCGGCCCGAGACGAAGATTGCCACTGCCGACAATATAGTCACACTTGGCATATCATTACCAAGGTGGAGCTACGGGCCCATGGATCCCATTACCGTCTATATCAAGATTGCGCCAAACCTCGACTGGATGTCCAAGGCTAGGAAGGTCACGATACAAAAAATCACCTTGTCCATTGAGGAGGAGATTACGTACAACCCAGAGGGCGATGAGCCAACGAAAGAAATAAATAGGCTGCACAAGCATGTCCAACAGGTTGGGACAAAGCTCCCAGAGGCTGGTTATGTCACCAATATGGGCGTCATTTTTCCACACAGAGACTTGAGGGATTCGCAGGGTATCGTCAGAAGGGGTCAGCCCGCTTTTCCAAACTACGAAGTCTCATCTTTTACCACAACATCAACCCTCTATAAGATTGAGTTTTTCCTAAATATCAAGGTATATGCTTTGGCCCGAGATGTGTATCAGCAAGCTGCTAACTCTTGATAGGCCTCCATGACCTCAGCCAAGGATATTACCTTGCGCCAACCCATCGTGATATGTCCCATGGACCACCAGGCATGCAAAGAAGAAATGGACGCCATTGAGCAGGCCGCCAAGGATGCTTCTTCGGTAGACCCGCATAATCCCATGCTCCCCGCCAGAAACATTGTTCTAGCAACCGATTACAATGCGCTCAGAACTTTGGGACTATGCATGGTTGGTGGACAGAAGAAGCCTCTGATCGAGTGATAGCCCCCCAAGAGGTGGATATTTCGACTACATAACTCAAGCCAAGTACATCAGCAGCACAGCCTCGCCGAGTACACACAGTTGGCCTTGAGTGGAACATGTCAAGGAACACTCAAGGTTATCACACAACCTTTGAAGTTGCGCTCGTATGGTTTTATGAGCACAACGCGTCGAAGCAACTTAATCTCAAGGCACCATCGTTGCGCGTTGGGGCTCATGTGAAGCGGAAGACTGCTTTAATTATGGATATTGGTTTTGCCAACGTCATCGAGGCGCGAATTCGCCACTGTCTTGAAGTCGAACCGAGGATCCTGTCTTGCCCTAATGGCAATAATGATAATCCTATAGGAAAAGCTCCGCTAGCATGCCGATTTCTCACGTTGGATAATGACGGAACGATCTGAGATGCCTATAGATCAGGCGTTTTTCTTTTCACGGCATGCATTGGTCATTTATCACGACTATCGGCGTTGTAAACGAATGTTTGCGGTTCAGCAGCCACGCATTCGGGCGCGCATCTCCCACGCGCCATTATCTCTTGGGAGTTTGGGGCTACTTTATGAGCCTTTTGTGTTTGGGGGAGTTCATTGTGAACTTGATTACGTCTAGGGTTAAGGAACGCTCCTAGACGATTTTGAATCTTGTAGAGAATGGTTCGGCTGCCATCTGGGTCAGGTTTGGCCGTTGCCATGAGGATAAATTTGTGCATTACGCGCACGTGTACATATATCTCGCAAACCCACTTGCGGGTCCGCTCCGTGCAGCGGACACGAAGTCAATGAATAATCATGAGAAATACGAGCTCGTGCTGCGCGTAACATCTGCTGTGCTGCTTGGGTCAAGAGTTGTCTGGCAGTATGCCGGGCTTTTCAAAGGCGCAATAATTCAGTCCTGCAAACTAGAGCGGGCATACACCGGTATGGATTGCATTGAGAGGTGATCTCATGCGAACTCTTAACTACAGCGAAAGTTCTTGCAAAACAAGTGTTATCCATTGCTTCGACTAATCCATTCAGTATGGCTACAAATACAGGATACAAGTCTACCTTGACCTTGAGATCTCAATGCTTGTTTTTGACAAAGATGGATCTGAGAGGCCTCCTATGCATTTGAGTCGACATTCTGGTGCAACATGGTTAATTGAGTTCTCTGGGTGGGCGCCAAGTAATTGGAGCAAACCACTTGCTTGCCGCAACTGTCCGCCCATAACAATTCCATTGCTACTGCTTTATTTTGTTGAAACGGCTTATACAATATATTGAACTGCAGAGAAATTAGTCTTTTGCGAAGTTGCTCTCCCTGCGAAGTATACCATAATTGTACAAGTCAAGACACACGGCAGATATAGGCAATCTTGAGACAACGCAGCCCCACCTACTGGGCATTTCCTATTGCCACGAGTCAGTGCTTTATAGACAGTATACTCAAGACAATTCCTCCCGCTGTATTAGTATAACTCCGAATTCCAGCCCTGGTATTCCTCGACCAAGATGGATAAGTGGAATCCGCCGCGAACCATGCAATCATAGTTCTTGGTGCAGCAAACCTTGCCTTGGCCCCCTCCACAGGCTAGGTAAGCCCACCACATCAGCCACCGCCCCCTTGTCACCTTCTTAGTTTAAGATAACGCCCCCATCTTCAACAACAACCGGTGAGATGGCCGAGTGGTCTAAGGCGCTGTGTTTAGGTCTGGTTCGCTTGTTCGAGTCAACTGTTTACCGCAGTCAGTAATGGCGTGGGTTCGAATCCCACTCTCATCAGGAAACGACGATCTCCCGATCGAATTTGGTGTTTTCAATTTTTTTCAATTATTTTTGACCTCAACATGGACATATTGACCAGATGGGCATGTCACTGGCGACTATAGTGCACGGGCCATTCAGCACGACACCACGTTGATGCGCTCTTCGACTAGCTATGTGCCAGTCGTCTTCTTTTTGTGGTTACGGCACTGTTCCGTGTCTTGATATTGATTGAAGCCGACGAGGTTATACTCAGTGTTCTATGATCGCGCTTTCCTTCTTATCCCAGTGTTTCAGTCCCAAGTCCGTGGGACCCCGCTAAGCGCGTCCCCTTCGCTTGGGTCGCCCCACTACAGTTTAGCGGCCCTGGTCCCTGTCTCTGGGAACCGTACGTAGTACGTACTTTTTATAGCAACACCTAAAAGTGTTTGTCGGTTCCGTATTCATCTGTCTGCGCTCATGAATCCCACGGAGCTGCGAGTCTGGTACTCGTCACTGATGTGTGCTATGTGATTTGGGGGACCTAGGCGCTAGTCCGAGCAAGTTGCAAATCGATGCTCTTTCTGAGTTGTCTTGAGGGACCAACTATCTTATCACGTTTGATGCACCGCAAAATGCAGTTTTCATGAAATGCAGTTATTCCATCACTCAGGAAACTTATCAAAACTCGGTCGCAATTGTTGTTGGGCTTTATTGCATTACTCTTGATGCGACTCAGGATCTACCACTAGAGATGACAAGTGTTTTAGGGAGCTCTTGTGAATAATTGTATTCTCGAGTAGAATTCGAATCTATCATGCCTCAAGTGCTTGGACAAGGAAAAATGAGGGGAAAGGGAGAAAAAAAAGAGGGAGGGGGGGTGTAAGGGGGAGAAATAAAGAGAAAATTTAAAAAGAAAGAAGGAAAAAAAGGAGAAAGAGAGATAAGAGAGAGAGAGAGAGAGAGAGAAATAAAAAAAAAGAGAGAGAAATAGAAAAAGAAGAAATAGAAAAGAAGAAAGAGAAAGAAAAAGAGAGAGAAACGAAAAAGAAAAAAAAGGAAAAGAAAGAGAAAGGAAAAAGAGAAAAGAGAAAGGAAAGAAGAGAAAAGAGAGGAAAAGAGAGGAAAAGAGAGGAAAAGAGAGGAAAAGAGAGGAAAAGAGAGGAAAAGAGAGGAAAAGGAGAGATAACGAAATTATATAAATCTAAAACAAAACTAAAAAGACTTGCGTTGCATTCAATTTTATGATTGAAAATCCTTTGCAAAGTATAATCAAGCCTTGCTGTTAGCACCCACGGGAAAAAAGCAATAGCGCCGTGATATATTATAATTATATTCCAGTTCATGCACGGCATAATTGACAATCCATCTTCCGTACTACAAGAAAATTGATTCCCGGACAAGTGATGCTATGCATGGCAAACGTCTCGGCTCCAGATACGTTTATTTGAGATCATCTATTCCCGCCCACCTTGTGGCATTTTTGGAAATTCGTGTTTGTTGAATATGTGGTACTGACACCGCTCAGTCGCGGAGAGTTGACAGAGGCAAATTTCCCGGAATTGCCCGGAACTGCTGCATAGTACCGTGTGCGGACTACAGCAGCAAGAATGATGACGAGGTTGCATTGAGGATCTGATTGGATAGGCCGCGGTGTTCATGGATCTCGTCGGACGTCATAAAATGCTTATTGTGTTCGGTCCTGAGATAGTTGACAGGGATTGTCACGACAGTCCCCCAGAGATTGACGACATCTCTGACACCAAGTCATTAGACGACCGGGCTGACGGTTTGCCACACATATTGGATGAGCGTCAGTAAATATAACGAGAAGCAGAATTCGTCTTTCTCGTATTGCTGTTATAACAAAGTCTGGGCGTCTCCGTCGTGCCCACATAGAGGTTCGGCCACTGTGGTATGGGAACGGCCAAGACGTTCTCCTCCCCGGCCGATACGTGATGACAAAGTTGTACTGTGAGAGCGTTTCCGCCCACCCGGCTTATCGAAGATTCATCTTTCGTTTGGTGCTGAAGTAGATCAATGGTTCATGATCGGTAACGATAAGGAAGGGCTTCGCATCTCGCAGACCCATCAGCTCTGGGCGCCAGCATTGCAGGGCGTGTACCACTGCCAGTAGTTCCCGATCGTGGATTCCGTAATTCATCTCGGCGCCCTGGAGGGTCTCTGAGTAGAATGCTACAGGGTGCCAGTCTTCCTTATGAGGATTCTCCTCATCGAAAATCGAGCCTTGTTCTAGCAGGTGTTGCCATGCGAAAAGCGTATCGCGGTGTCAATTGTCTTAAACCCGACAAGTGCCCAGGCCATGATGGCTGTAATTATAGGCGGATAAAGTAGGTTAGTCTAGAAAGAGGGTCAAGGCGACAGCGCATACAAACGCACATAGCACATCTTCGGTGCTGTAGTAGAAGATGTGATCCGACGCATATCATGATCATATCCGATGTTTGGGGTTTTTCATCAGGATTTCAAGATCACATCGTTCAAACGGTGGTGTCTGTAACTAAGTAAAGCATTTTATCAGAATGGAGAGCAGAGGATAAAGGAAATGACAGACAGTACATACAAGATTCAAAATATCGAGAATTGTCATCTGTTATAGAGGGGAACAGTCGCCGACGTACTGTAGTCAATGCTTCTGGAGTCGGCCAAGGGATCTGGTTTTCAACTTCAGGTGCCAAGAAATCAGATCGCCAGTACTCCCCGTCCTCATCGGGTGAAGTTTTGATTCCGAAAGTGGGCGACGTGGAAGCAATGCTTCTCATGACAATAGGTAATTCGGTCATCGATACTGATTTTGTTTTACCATGTATCGAGAAGTAAATCCTTGCATGATATCAAATGGAGGCACAGAAAACACTATGTTAATAGAACGGTAGCAAAAGGTAGCAGCAGAAAAAAAAAGTTCAAGGATCAGGAAAGCGTTTTCTTTTAAATATCTAGATGATATCACGGTCAATGTTTGTCACGTAAAGATTGTTTGTGGACAGAGTCAGACCAAGTACAATGATATGGCAAATGAGTCCAAACCCAACACAGATTTCATTGTGTAGTAGATGACTCATAATCTTATATGCTTGCCTGGAAACAAAAGACTGGTTATTCGATTTGGTCATAATTGAACAAGTCATCAATTATGTATGTGACTGGTTTCCAAATGCCAAGACATATTCAACAATTACGGAGCGGAGGGCGGGATGCATTCGCCGCTAGAGACCGCGGAGCTGAACTGCAGCTCGAGCGAGAGGGTACCCACTTAAAAGTTTCGCTTTGTGATGGATAACGGATAGCACCTGTGACACCTAACAGGTAGGTACATAGAACCTACGCCGCGTTCAAATTCAACACGATACATACTCTTGAAGCGCGATTCGCATCAGTTGGCCTCAAGAGGCGAGAATATCTACGCCATTGGCCTGTTGCGCACGCCGCTGGCATAACGAGGAGCATGGCGTTTGACGACGAGGATCCCACGGCAGCGCCTCTGCCCGCAGCTGGCGCCCACGCTGTGGGCTCGACCATGGAAGGCGACGAAGCACCGCCGACGGCCGAAGACGATCTGCTGGACGAAGAAGTCCAAGACTTTCGCAAGTTCGCCTCGGCGCTACAGAAGACGCAGGTGTCGGGAAAGTCGATACGAAAGGGCGAGAAGGACTTTGAGTCGCACGGCACGAGACTACAGGAGGGCTACCTCGAGGCCAGTCGTAGAGCCATGCACGATACCCTCAGCTATACGCGAACACATCCGCCTCCGAGCTATATCAGGGGCTGGTACTTTCCGAACCACTTCAGCGAAGAGACGGAATTGGGATGGAGCGACAGGGTGGTCGTCGTCGAAGAGGCCAAGGGCGCCATGTTCAAGGCCATGGGAAGAGCCATGAAGGGCCGAGGTGCCAACTTTGCTCCAGCATGGGACCGGACGTGGTTGCTGCCCGAGGAAGCACTTTATCTGGTTGAACGCGGTGATTTGCACCTTTGGTGGCCGGAGCGCGAGATCAAGGACGTTTTCCCTCTGAAGACGGAAGGATCCGATGAAGATACCAAGATTTCGCGCGAAGAAATGGGCATCCCTTTGAGCTTCCAGGCAGCATACTCATTGTTCATTGGAAAGGATGGCGAAAGGGGAAAGATTTCACTCGAGAAGTACCAGGTCTATGCTAATTTGCGGCGATGCGGATATTTTGTATTGCGTGCGGCATTTGCAACGACAGAATCGGATGCTCTCACTCAAAACCCAAGGCCAGACTCGATATGGGGTTGGCTCTTGTCTTTACTTTCAAACGATCCAGCGAAACCACCAAAATCGTACCCAGCCGAGGGACCCTTACTTAAACCCGGTCTGTACCGTTCCTATAAGGCCGTCTTCCAACAGCTTCACCTCATCCAGCGACACAAGCCAACGCCACATGTCGACGCCTCAAATCCTGCCCAGCCACCTTTTGACATCTTCTTCCACGTCTTCAAATCGCGGCCGAGCTTCAGCAAGGCCAGTCCTCCACCGCCCGACTTCCGAATATCGGTTGTCAATGCACGGACGACATCAGTTCCAACCATAACAGAGCTCTCAGCTTTGCTAGAATCCACGCCCTGGGATCCGCCGGACGAGAGGATGGCCGCCGGATTAGGACCGGGCTTCATGCAGAAGAGGCTCAAGCACGGCTGGAGAAATGCAATCGTGGCAGTGGTAGACAGTGGCTTTACGAGCTATCTACGTTTCACAGAGATGGCTTTTGGAGAAGAGAGACTCTATGAGACATTTGACCGGCCCCAAGGCAAGGGTGGCAAGAAGGGTCGCGGTGGTCCTGGAGGCCGAGGCGGGCGAGGCGGAAGGGGTGGCGGGCGAGGCCGAGGCAGAGGCAGAGGACGTGGTGGATGATGTCGCGCAAAACTGGAAATATGGTTGTGCCACATCAATGGGAACCTTACACAAGGCAAGTCACTAGCGGTCCGCTCCATGAGTGCTTACGGGAGTCACTGCGTAGAGGTTCGATATGCCTACACTTGAGACCATCGTAATGGATTGCGGAAAGACATACCTTGCCAAGCGTATATCGCTCAAGTCGAGACAGCACGGGTCGATATCGGGCCAAGCCGCGGCTGAACGCGTCTTTCAACAATCCTCCGATCATGGGCAGAACCCATGCAGTTTCATTGTATTGTCAAGGGCCATTGAATACCATTGGATCTCAGGATTCTCTTGCCACACGTGCCAGACACGAGATGGCTCAGGATTCAAGACTAAGTATGCCAGAACTGCAGCTAATAATTCTTCTTGCAAAGACTAGCCATCTGCGTTACTTGTGAGATTAAGCTGAATCATATATACATGTATGTCTAGCAGGACGCACGAGAGCAGTCAAATCGCTTCCAGAGCAGGATGATATTCTCAGGTAGCATCGAGGACGCACGGGACAATAAGACTTGGCCTCAGATCTCAAATCTAGGTCAATCGCGGGAGGTGCATTGAATCTGATAAACAATACTCGATCCAGTTATGCCATCCTATCGTGTGGATCTTCACATGTCAAATATGCTATCCCTGGACTGGATAGCTTATATGCTTCAGTTAGAGACTCAATGAAAGCTGTCACAACACATTAGTTGATTACACCAATGGCAACGAAAGGGCCATGGCCGCAACCTTGTAAGTCTATACTTTCTGGAGTGTGTACTTCGTAGACCGGATTGTCCTAGCCGATCTGAAACGAAAACCACGCATATCTGAGCAATTAAGACCAACAGTGACCCTGACAATATAAATGAGACGGATCTGAGATTGTGTAACAGTGATTGCATAACAACCTGACAATCTCGCGGCGAGGTTGGGGTCTCGAATAGCACAATCAAATTCATGGTATTCCTACAGCTTCCGAGTAGACGTAGTACTGGCTTGGTTCATTCGTCAGACTCGTCTGATGCGGCATGGTTGGTAAGGATACTACGCAAGCCAGATTGGCGCAAAACATACCCTACTTTACGCCCTTGATGAATATAATCACGTATGCTCGTTCTTTATTGGCGATAGTTATTATTCACAGTCGCAATCTTTGAAGCAGGCTCTCTATCTACTAAGAGTACCCACAGTTGTGCCAAATATATACCATTTCCAGATACAAACCAACGGGAATATCTGAGCCACGGACGTGCATTTTTAATTTCATCGCCGCGTCCTGTGATGGAGAGTTTGCGCGCCTTATCTCCCCCCAAAACGACCAACGAAATTGTCAAAGAGAAAAAGGGTTACATCCAAAGGGTGACACGGGGCGCAGAAGATAAGATGCTCCAAGACAATGGATATCTTGTATCTTACTGTGACACGGCTCGCGGGACACTTGGAGGCACCCAATGACCAATGAAGTTCTGCCCGGGGCCTCCGTCTGAGGTCTCACAAGCGGGGCCTCTGTGTTACCCTTTTGGCCTCCTTCATGGCGTCAGCATTGCTCACTTTGTTCTTTCCTGCTTTCTTTCTTCCCACTCGAGCAATCTGCACAAGGTTTGTTTCCTTGAAGAACCAAAAAAAAAAAAGTGCATTCCTGATTCGGGGGTCGTTGCCTGCTTGACTGGAGTAGGCCCTTGACATGGACTACTTTGTTGGTTGCAATGTTTTGAACTCTTTTGTGCTAATGTCACATGATTGGTTATTTCTACAAGTCATGACAGCATAGGCTATTTTGTCTTATTCTCCATGTTGCATCGCTATTGATCTCGGTTCCCGATGCGGTCACAAGTTGCGGGCAGTGTGGTAGGTTAGGACCGCCAACTAGCCGGTCTTGGCAGTAATACAGATGTGAGTTTTGGTTGGCAATGGTAACACTATAGAACCCCACGGATGCGAGAGAGGGAGAGAAAAAAAAAAAAGTCTCAGATCATTAACGCCAGCAGGAATGGCCAGCCCTACCCCAAGATGCCTATCTCAAGGCATGTTTATCGAGTGGAGTATATTCATCGAATGGTAGAAGCAATGATATTGACTTTAGGGGAAAGAAAGAAAAAAGAAGGAAACTCCAGGCAATGTGAAAGCACAAAAAAGTGTGGCTCGCGTAGGTAATAAGATCCCTTCAGGCTTGGCGCCAATAATTGAAGTTGTACCCGACTTAAAAAGCACGGGTGCTTGGCTCATTCAATCTTTTGAGAACCAATCCATCCTGTCCTTTTCAATTAATTACGGCACAAAAAGTATAGATGATCCGGAGGTTGCAACGCTGATGAGGCAACAATAACAATGACAACAATAACAATCAAATCGCAATGCTGCGCTCCCGTCCAAATAAACGACAGACGCACTAAGGTTAGATGTATTTGAGCGTGTGTCCCGTAGGTAAGTATCGTATGCATTACAACACGGAAGTTACGAGAGATCCTGGATCCTTTAGTGGATTGGTACGACAGAGTGTCTGCTGCTACTACTACTACTACTACTGTTAGAGTGTTCGGGATTATGCAGAGTCCCAGATTTGAAGGAATCTTCCCACATGGCGTCAGACAGCCTAATATGATATCTATTTGTTTTTGCATTGCAAAAAAGGATACTGTGTCTAAGTGGATCAGTAATGTCTATTAAGAAAAGAGTCATGAGGGTCCATCCTAAGGTTCAAGTGATGATATTATCCATCTATCTAACTATTTTTCCTATTTTTCTTTTTTTACACGCTCATTGATTGTAAGTGGGCCTTCGGGGCGTCCACACCCCTGGTAAGTATCTCTCACTGCCACTGGCCTAGGCCCCGGGTGGAAATCCCTGGATCAGCAGCAAGATTGCATGGAATTTTTTTTTTATTCTTTGGCCTTGCCCTTTTTTGCCCACCCATCCATCATCAAGCCAGAGCCAGCATCAGACCGAAATCCCGCTCGTTCGCCCGCCCGCAAGCAAAAGACTGTACAAAGTACGTACATGGCACGGCATTTGGAATTTCGGGGGCGGGGGTTGGATGACAATTGTCAGATTACATATGTTGGGTACGTATACGGATAATGATACGATAGATAACCAGCAGGCAGCGAGAAAAGGAAACAAGAATGATTAGGGCAGTAGTGCCATAACTGATTACGATGCCGCCATATCCACCAACGATGACGACCCTGCTGCTTGGTCAGACATGCAGAACAACAATCCGGCCGTAAAGGGTAAGGGTCGCGACGAAACACAGAGACAACATGACTTTTGATTTGATGATAACGACAGCTCAGTAATTTTCTTTCTCTTGTGGTTGTGATTGAATACTCAATGTAAGCTGCGCCCATTCCAAAGGCTGAAACTACCCGACGGGGAACAAACTGGGGAAGACATACTACAAGGACGGCAGCAGTATAATAATACTCAGCTCGAGCTGAAAGCTGAACGAAACCTGCCATGATTGTCGGGAAGTGCTGACCAATGATCAGTCAACCCTATGCTGGAACCTCCCCCTGGACCCCCAAGCCGGGTTGATGACAAGGACAATGGAGTCTAGCGTCGTCCTTTTGGGGAGGTCAATCGCCTAGGTTAAGGTACTGTATTGGCCAAGTAGGCCAAGCCAGCCAAGTTATGTAGGCTCCGGAATACACTTGCAGGGGGGATTGCGGACCCGCGGTCAGCAGCAATCTCGAGATTGCCACATTGGCATCACCCATTCCAGATGTCGGCATACGAATCTCTCTCATCACTATCCCTCCCTCTCTCCAATGAGCGGGTGTGGTGAGTAATGCATCACTCATCCAAAATGCTGTCGGAGGGAGGCGAGGTTGGGAAGGTCAGGCCACCAGTTGTGTGTAATTGCTGCTCTTCAGCAATACCGAAAGAGGGTTCGTGTAATACATACTAATCAATTGACCTCTTGTCTTTGCAAAATGTGTTGGTCTCTCTCTCACTTTGTGTCTCTCGGATTCTTAAATGGGCTATGACGCGTTGACGCCCGCCATTGTGTGGAATGCGCACAAAAAAAAAAAGGAAATTAGCTCCAGGTCATTTTTGGAGCCAATAGTTTGGCAGGAGCCGCTCCTTGGTTCCAAGTATTAGCAAGTCAAAGTTAGAATTGGGAGATTGTGAAATCTTGAATGCCTCAATGTGGAGCGCATGGAATGCATTTGCATTCGCCCCCGTCGGTCAATTCTGCTGCTGCTGCTGCTGCTGCTAATGCTAGGCTGACAAGAAATTGGACTTGGCGGCAGTATGATACATGCAAATTATCTTACACGACAACTGATTTAACCTACATACAATCTTTCTCATACATTTCAAACCATGAACGCAAGCAGGTATCTTTACAGCGCCAGGCTGCAGCGTTCGGCTGCCCTTGATTGAAAGCAGGGTACCTACTTATTACTTTGTTGGTCAATGTAGGTCATCAACGTCAACCAACTGTCGCAAACACGAAAGCCACATTGAGTCAGATAACAGCCCACAGCTGAGCTCTCCCTTTTATGGGAAAAGAGTATCAAGAGAAAAAGACTAGCAGGCTCGTGACAGAGACGAATAAAATGAACCAGTGACAAAGAAGTCATTATGCGCAAATGAGCATAGATATTAGGTGCCTGCTAATTACTGTGTACGAGGTTAGGTAATTGTGTGTGACATGTGGTAGTAGAGTGTGTCAATGTCCCTTGTGTATGTATGGTGGTTTGCACTGGTACGAATGTAGGTACTTTGCCGTGGCCCGTTCGGATGGATGTGCCATGAGCGATGATCAGTGATCTAACCTGTTTCAACTCAACCCTATACGAAAATACGAAAGCAGCGATAACCAATGTACTCAATTCAATCATGAGATTCTCTTCATGTTTCCTTTTAGTGGCTAATGACTATAATTTCCAAATCAAGAAGGAACTTTTTTCCCTTGGATAGATGGGCCGCTCTTAGTACAAACCAACGAGTTATTGCGAATGCTTGGGAAAAAGTAGTGACCCGCTCAGAAAAAAAGGTCCAGCAAGTAGTTGCGGATAATAGAGTTGCAAAGTTTCTCGCTTAGAGTTCTGGATGATATGAGTTGCCGCAGAATTTAATAGCGCTCGGTACCCACTAGCGCCGAAGGCCCCAATCACAGCTTGGTTCTTTCTAGGGGTTCCCGCTTAGCAAGAAAAGTAAGTCGCGAGGCCCCCACACCCAAGTAATTCTATTTGTTTTTTTCCTCTTCTCTCCGCCGCTCCTCAACTCGAAACCTGACAACACGTTTCATTTCATCCAATCCACATTGATCTTTTTGTGCAGTTGCCTTGCCGTCGTCAAGAGAGGAGAGGAAATTTTTTGCGCGAGAAGAAGAAGAAGAAGGAGAATCATATCTCTGCGCAATACCCTTGACGCGTTTTGTCGTGTGATGCTTTTTCTTTCCTTCTCCAATTCTTTACTGTCTACATACTCTCCAGGTTTTTGCGTAGCAGCTTTGTAATATTTCACAACCTTTTTTTTCTCCCATCCACGCCGAGAGATCAAACCCGCGTGGCCCGCCGTTCTCCGTGGCCCCCCGCTACCTAAAGAGCGCGCTACAAGCTACATACGCCTTCCATTACCAAAGATTGTCTATCTACCTTATTACCGACCTTACATACCTTGCCGAGAAGGTCAACGCTCGATTTGCTCTCAACTTTGCTTCCGTGGCTGACTACTAAACGATAAACGCCGCATCTCCTCGGCTTGGTTTGCATATACCGGACACCCAGCCCAAGAAGGACGCCCAAGGACCTACCTGTCTCTCACTCTCTCCGCGCCCGCCCCCCCTAAACGCCGAGATCCAAGAGCCAATCGACGACTATGGACGACGCCGACGCTGCTGAGCGCAGACGACCAACTGGCAATGATAGTCCCAAGAGGGATACTGTCACCCCGGCTACTGAGAGGTATGAAGTTGCTGCTTTCTTCTATATTCTTTTTCATTATTGTCTTGTGCTTGTGTTTCTCCCCCCCAACGTCTGTTTCATGACGTCCCCCCATCTCCTTGCGCATCACATATCATTATCATAGGCGCCTGCCTGCCCTAAGAATCAGGCGCGGCACCCGTCGGACGGGGCTGCTTCTTGCCGTCGTTTACGCTCCAGCTCATTCTAATACTGCTTGCTTGCTCCCCATGGAGGACCGGCCTTCCCATCAGCTCCCCAAGGTAGGACTGGAGGTAGGCTGTGGAGGAACTCCGGATTAGACACAAATGGAAGGGACGGCAACTTCCTTTTACTTCAAGCCTGCGTTCGTTGTCAAGGACAACTTCCTATATTGTCGCATTTCTCCATCTGTTGACACTCGCGGCCACACACCAGTGGCAACTTGTGGATTCAGTGCCGCAACCACAACTCGCAACTGGTTTCATCATTCTTTTCTGGCTTGTGCCCAATTGTCAATTCATACACAGTCAGCGCAGCGCAAATAATCCGTCCATTCCCGACCGGCCAACCATCAAGTCCTTCTCCCCACCGTTGCACTAGCACTCTCAAGTGACTGAACTTGTGTGCTTGAATCGTGGTTATTTCGCGGCTCTCGCTGCCGGTTCCCCATTCTTCTCACCCACATACCTCTTTTCTTCTTCATCATCTCACCCTTGCCCCATCAAAACAGCCGCCGTGCGCTATACTCTCAATTCTATACCGCTCAAACCAGGTTCACCCCGGCGCTGCTACAATGGCCCAAACGCGCAGGAGATACCGTACGCGACGGTAAGCATACTGATTACTCCCCATACTTTCTTCAGCGCTGCCGCACCTGCTGTTGCTGCTGCTGCTGCTGCTGCTGTTGTTTGTTCTTGTGGCCTCTGTACGAGGTAGTGGCTAGTACCACGCCTGATGATGTCGTTGGCTACCTGGCTGTCCAGTTGTCCATGATGACGATCCTTTGTTCCAACACTTTTTTCTCATTTCACCCAACCGACCCTTGTTTGTCCCCCCAACATAACCTTATGTTCCCATGGCCGGAGCTCAATTTGGTTCTCGATCTAGTCCGAGACAGTATGATGCGTCCACACCTTGATGGTTTGTGGGACTTGGCATGCATACACTCTTCCTTTAATACTCCATTCTCCATCAATGAGGCTCATTGCTTTCATTTCCACATAGGAACCAGTCATCCTAGTTACAAAGTTGCAAAAAGACTGTCCTGTCCTTGGCGGCCCAAGAAAGTAAACCATTTACACAGCAGCCAAGGCATCGCCATTGCAGCGATAGTAGTAACTACAACTCATCACGAACCGACCTAAACCAATGCATTTCGCCCTGAAGTGAAGCTGCACCAATTGTCAGCCGTGCAACAAGTGTCACACAGCCTCATTGCTAGTAGTTGCAAAAAAGTCATGGCGCGAAGCGGCCATCCTCAAAGTGGCATCTGCTCGCGGTATCGGACAGGTCAAGTGGCCAGCTCCCCTAATTCAATGGCTTTGCAAGCTTATTCCTTGACCAAGGAGCCACAGAACCTGCTGGCCTATTCTCATAAGCACCCAATATTATTACAAAATGGACAGCCGCTCCGTTCCTGCGTGAAGAAAACTTCTCATCTTGTTATCATATCACTGACTTCGGAATATGTATAGTCGAGGCCAAACTGCTGACTCTGGACCTAGATTTAGTAAAACTGAGGAAGACGACGGTGACGATGGCGTGCTTAGCCCGCCGCCTTCCAGCTCAGTCTCTAGTGTTGACCCGGCCATGCTAGGCGATGAGATTGTGGTTGGCACCGGTAATGGGACTACAACCGCTAATGGCGACAAATCATCACCCTTGCAAGTCACTTCAGATAAGGAAGATGTCGAAATGGCTGAAGCAGGTAGCGAAGCAGCAGCCTCACATTATCCTAAGCGCAAACGCGCCTCGATGTACGACAATCTTGGTGAAGACAAGCTCGAGGTAGGCTTGGCTGCTGCTACAGATGATGCAAATTCCGCTGCCCGACAGGCGAAACAGCCCCGCGTTGGTGGTCATCCTGGACAAGTCATGAAGGGAATACTTCTGGGTTATTGGAGAGACTCGCCTGTACCCAACGAAGCTAAGAAGCACGCCGTGATTGGATTTCCGGATGTTCGTGATAGACTACGGACTCGCATTCAGCCCTTTACCCGTACTGGGGAGGCTATCAATGGACGACTGTTTCCGATACCCCCTGGCCCTGGCGGAAGCTGGACAACATTTGACCGTACAGTCTTTGAGGATCACCTTGTGGGACTGGATCACAACGAAATCAAGGAGTACATAAAGATCCGACTAAAGGCTGGGGATTCGGGTGTAGACGAGGTGGATAAGCACCAAGCCGAGCTCGATGCCATTAAGGAGGCGAAGCGGAATCTCAAGAACAACCCCTATGCTGAATCGCCCATACCACCTGCCATTGCGTATGGAAAAATAGTCCCCGAGAACCATCAACATGGTAGCCGGCCTGAATCTAAGCGTAGACGGACCGGTAGTGCTACAGTGCCTCCAGTTGTGCCGTCGCAAACAAGCTCACCGGCGCTACGGTCCGATGGGCAGTTACCGCCACCTTCTTCGGTCCTTGCCATCTCTAGCGCACAAGCTGATGCCGAGCGCAAGTCTCCAGTTCAGCCGGCACTCCGATCCCAGACTCCGTTACAGCCTCAGCCGCACCTCCAACCATCACAATCCCCAACACCAGCCCAACCTCCTGTTTCTGGCCCAACCCCACCGCAGCAGCAGTCGCATGGTTTGCCACACCAAATTTTACAACACCCGCAGCAGTCCTTCTCGGCCCAGCAGACCGCTGCGCCACCCCCAGCGGCGCCAGTACCAAGTCGTCTCGACGACACACAATACGTGGGAAACCTTCCTGGTCAACGTCCTACAAGGATCCTTGTGGGTTGTTGGTCTCGCAGTAGTGCCAAAAAGGACCAGGACAAGCACGCCGTGTACGGAATTCTCGGAGCAAATGACATGTTTCGTGTCAAGTTGGTCCGTGAAACCATGGACGGTCGGTTTGTAGATGGCAATTTTCCCACTGGTGCTGGCGCGCTATGGATTGGATACGAAGAGGTGAACTTTCTTCCCCACATTCGCGATCTGAACAGAAGTGAAATGAAGGAGTATGTGCGTGTCCGGCAATACCAGATTGATAGTGGTGAGTCTGAGGAGGAGCGTGTTGCGAATGAAACAAAAGCAGTCTACGAAGCTCAGCGACGGGCGGCTCTAAACCCTAAGGCTTCAGCAGGGCCTCCCGTCCATGCGGGTCGACACAGTCTGAACGCATTCTCTGAAGATTCTCATATCAAGCAAGACACGAACGCACAGGACCCAAGAGATCATCGTCGCGGCATATTACAAGACATCAGAGGTCGTCCAGTATCGGAGGCCGATTACCGTCAAACCGGCCGTGCAGCAAGCATTGATCCTCTTGAACGCACGAACAGTCTTGCCCGGCGGGAGGTTCATAAGCTGGAAGCTGCCCAGTTGCGGCAAGATCGTGTTCTCAGTCAACGCGGTTTGTCGAGTGCCCCGATCCACACACCTCCGCCTGCCATAGTGCCGTCCGACAATCGTGCCATGTTGCAGGAAAATATGGTTCGTCTGAACGGGGTATGGAAAAACCAAGAAACCGCTAGGCATCATGGTCAACAGCAACAGGCCCAGCAGCAGGCCCAGCAGCAACAGGCACAGCAGCAACAGCAGGCCCAGGCTCAGGCCCAGGCCCAAGCACAGGCACAGGCTCATGCACAGGCTCAAGCACAGGCTCAAGCACAAATGATGCAAATGACACCCCAACAACCACCACAGCTGCCATCACAGCCAATGGCGCCCACCCCGAATATGGAAGAGGTCAGGGTTCTTGGAAATGTGACTTACAGTCGGAAACAGACTGGACCGTTTGCAGGCAAGCTTGTCAGCCGCGGAGAAATCATCACCATCGATGGCGAAGACTACGTGGAATACCGAGTTCTTACGAAGCCTACATTCTTCTAGTCTATCATGGTTTTTCTTCACGCCCTGCTCCCTGGCCTGAGAATGGTACTTTTCTCCGGCGCAGCCAATCTAGTGGCAACGCCAGGATGACGACATCTATACTGAAGTCGTCGGTTTACTGCTAGTACGAGACGACCATATCCACTGTTATACTTTCGATCCTTCGGTACGATATTGGCAACAGCAAAGCATACATCGACCACTGGGACCTTAAGGACATGGATTGTCACTAGAATTCGTCCATCAAGCACGCCATTCTTCCAATTTGGTAATATCTGTATCTCCTATATAACGCCCCTTTGGGTATCATGTCATGGCCTTGACTGGACGCCCCTCACAACACAATAATCATTGGGTATGCGCTTTTAACTTGGCGCATTCACATCAAATCACTACCAAGGTCCAACGACATACACGAATTTCGCGTTGGAATAATAGACGGCTAGAGGAGCCATTGAACGGGAGATACTGTTGAAGACAGCCCTGTTAGTATATATCTAGGTTCATGGTGGCTCGCTTGTCTAGCCATGTCGTGGCATGACCATGACCTTTTGGGAGAGAGGATTGGGCGACTGAAGAGACAGTCCACTTGAGAAGGTCCGGACCTACTGTGTCCCATCCTATGATAAAGCACATATTAGCCATCATTTGGCAATTATAACAAACCATGCATACCAATCTCGTCTCGTGCTCGTGAAATGGCAAAACTGCACCAAGTAATGTCACGTTATATTCATTCATGGTTGTCGATAGCTTGGTTGCGGCAACATTGCCATACCCACTTGTAACCATGGTACGAGATGGCAAAAGACCTCTGGCATTTCATGCTCGTGATAACCCATAGCTTCAGTGATACACCCTTGGAAGTTGTGGTGACTTTCTTTGTTTAATTACCTATATATAGAGGCTATCCTCATTCAAAATTATAGCCAACTACTCTTTACCTATTGACTATATGCTGGATATTTCACTGCATCGAGCCAGGAGAAGGAATAAATATCCAAGTCTGTAGACTATTCTTGCTGGCTACCACTTATCCAAGTTGACATTTCGCGCTCAGTGCAAAAGAAAAGCCATGATGGTCGCGGCGGTCATCCAGAAAAAGCTCAATGGGCCAACCACACTGGCGCCGCTAACTGGCACGCTCGAGGCAGTAGGCCCTGCCGTGCTACTACTACTGCTTGGCAGAGCAGTTGATGCCTCTGTGGTTGTGAGGCCGGTGCTGATGATGGCAGTGATGGTTGCGCTTGTTGGAAATGTGCTGCTGGTGCTGTTTGCATGTGCTGAAGTGATGCTTGTAATCGTGGATAGGGTTGCCGTCTTTATGCCCGAGCTGCTGGCCGTGACGGTGCTGCTGCTGCTGCTGTTGCCGAGAGTAGAAGATGGCTCGCTGCAGCCATCTCCGTCATCTCCGTCCTTGGCATCGGGTCTTGCGCGCGGCGTTTCTTGTCAGTCTTGGTGTGCTTTCTCATAGGCCCAGTAAACCATTGTCTTTCAAGGTTACTTACAGCGAATATTTCTTGAAAAACTCCATAATCATGGTGCTCGCATTAAACGTGGCGGGACCACTGCCGTGATCTTCATTATCGGTATTGGCAAAAGTGGCCGGCCAGTCGTGATTCACATGGTCGCCATCATAGACAAAGGTGACGAGCCCCGAGTCGGCGCCGGACCCGTACCGGTACAGCTCGGCGGAGCCGTTGATGGCCACGGTGGCCGAGGGCGACGCCGAGAGACCGTCGCGCCGCGCCCAGTTCGCGACCCAGGTCCGGACGTCGGGGAGGCACCCGCCCTTGCGCAAGCCGCCCAGGATGGAAATGGTCGTGTCGTTGCCGCCGTGGAAGTCGAGCAGGGGGATATTGTCCCGACCCGGATTGCACGTCATGGCGAGCGTCTTGGGGTCGCCGCACGACGTCAAGGACGAGGCCGCGCCCGTCGTGTAAAAGGCGCCCGACACGGGCGAAAAGGCGGCAAAGCGCTGCGAGGCTGCCGTGTCGCACGCCAGGACCCCGACCATGCCGCCGCCCTGCGATTTGCCCGTGGCGTAGACCCGGGACGTGTCGATGCACAGCTCCGACTCGACCTCGTCTAGCACCTTGCCCACGTAGGCGACGTCATTGGCCGTTGCATTGGGCGAGCCCTGCCAGTAAATGTAGCTACTGGTTGAGCCATACTGTAGAGCCTGGGGATAGACGACGACATGGTCCTTGTTAAAGTACGGGTCCGTGAGCCGGTCCAGGTCGGCTTGCCAATCTGCAGTCCGGCTCGCGCCGTGAAAGGAGAGGATCAATGGGTTTGGTTTCGAGTGGTCATACTTCTCCGGCATAAAGTACATATAGGTCCGACCTCCCGACAAGGTAACATTGTGTCGCGTGCCCTTGGATGCGGGCGGCGATCCGGAACTGCAGGCGGACTTCGCCAGAGCCGGCAGGAGGGCCGCGAGGAGCAGACCGAAGAGCATATTGGCCGTCAACTAAGGACAAGGTCTCGTATTTGACAGAGTAGTATGGTAAAGGTCCCTGCAGTCAAAAAGGAGTATACTGTCGCCAGCTACTTGGGTCACGGTAGAATCTCTTTCCTCCTTCTGTATAGAGATATAATCCGAGATAGTATGCTTTTGGGGCTGACTAGGTCTTCATCCTGGGCTCCCTCGTGGCAGCGATGAGACATGCGCGTCATCTTATACTCAGATTTTGATTCAACCTGCTACACCAAAAGGATTGAACCACGAAAACTCCATTCCCGCCATTGTCGACGACTTTTCCGCTTGACAAGAGGGGAGTAACAGCATTGTCCCTCACTTGTTCCCTTACTCTGCTCGCCAGTAATGACTGGGACACACAATACTCTTTGTGCAGTGTAGCATGCAAAGAGTGCATAAGAGGCTGCATCCCACCCTGCTGACCGGGCAAACAGCCAGTATTGAGCGTCATGAGAGGTTATCGCGACCAGGATATGCGGCTCACGCGGATGGTATTGCAGTCCTTCGCCGGGTATCCCATTGGCTTGACGCCACTTTGCGGCATATCTTGTTCTGCACGTGTTACGTCCGGGGGACGATGAAGTTTTTCAATCAGAGAGCGCGGGGATTCCCCCATTCCCGGCATTGTGGCTGCATGTATTGTATGCAGGCTTGGCCCCCTTGGCTCTTTGGGGCACTCTGGGGCACTTTGGGGATGCCCGAGTATACAGGGGTAGTTTATAGGCTGATCCAATCCCAGTTGGGGGAATGCAAAAAAGGCTTGCTTTGTTTTAGGCAGATCTCGAACTTCTTGGAATTTGGAGAATGAGACCTGCTGGCGCCAATGATGCAGCCCCCAGACACGTCAAACCGACTGGCTGGTATCCGCACAGGTGCCGAATGGTATCCTGCTGTGTCAGCATCACCACACCTCTACATCTTTGATCTCGTTGTATCGGGGGCGCCAAACCTACAGCCACCCGCTGTCACGGCACACGACTTTGGGGGATTCTGCTGACATTGGCAGAGGGTATATAACAATGGAACTATACCAGCTCATTTTTGAGAGTAAAGTAAAAGTGCGCAATACCATATGACCCAGAGTATACGAACTCCTGTCGGTTTCCGGTAATATGCTCGTCGAAAAGTTTCTCGTTATAGCGGTGCCCGTGGCCAATCACGATTGGTTCAAATGGGTTTTCTCAATAAGCCCTTGCAAGCCGAGGTTGGCGCGAATAAACATCCCGGGACCGATAAGTCCCTTTGGGTGAGATGAGAGCCTTGCACTTATCTTTGATCAAGGCAACGTCGCGAATGCATCATCATCAGGCTGGCGGTGAAATACGGCCGAACAAGTCAGAGTGCATCCCAGTCATGACGATTGTTTCGACTCTTGCCCGCTGGGTCCGCCGGACCACATGCACAATGAAAAAAATATTTGTGCAATTCCAATATATTGCTGTCGCAGCCTACCATCTTGCTTGCCGCATCCCGGGTGCAACCCTATGCATGATAGATTAAAACAATCAATTCTGTGCGTCGTCGCTACCAGGAATAGACGAACCAGCTGCTAAGGCCGGAAATGGTATAATAAAAGGCTCTCCTTACTGTTGCCGGTCGATGAAGTGCAAGGATTTTGGGAACCTCATCGTCGACAAACCCTGATAGATTCTAAGCTGGAACGCCGAGGTCTGTCGATTGAGCCGGCAATCACCCGTAAACCTGTGATAGCAACATAGGTTCCATTGATGGAACCCTGACCGGTCACAGCTACTACAGCCTATATCACCTGCAGGTGGAATGCGGATATAAGTCGGACGTCCAGATACCTTTGCCCGGTGGGTTGCAAGGTATAAGCGAAGTTGCATTTTCCGCCCTCTCTTGTAAGCACTTTGGAGGTTCTGATCGTTGCACGGCTTCGTTGAAGAAGTTTGAGTCTGTGGACATGGGGCTACCCTTGAACATGCGCGCTGAGGGGAAGATATGAAACTCGGATCATGAGTCGTATACGTCAAGTGAGCGAATGCATTTTTTTCTTCTTCTGGTTGAAACAGCAACACACTGCTCGTGGTAAGCTGACCAAAACTACCGACTCCCAAACGCCCGTGCCAAAGAGTGAAAACCAAAGAGCCGTGACGCAAAGTTACACGAAAGCTGACCAGGGCGTGCCGAGGACGCGCCCGCTGGGATCAATCTTGACACCCTCCATCCTCAAGAGCTTCTTCTTCTCGTCAATGGTGATGCCCTCGCCATTCCGGGACCAATGCCCCTTGAACCCGCCGAGCTGGCCGCCGGTCGCCACGACTCGGTGGCAGGGGACCTGCGGAGCAAAGGGATTGCGGCGCAGGGCGTTGCCGACGGCGCGCGGACTCGACCCCAGGGCCGCCGACATGAGCCCGTACGTCGACACGTGGCCCGGCGGGATCTGGCAGAGCAGCGACCACACCTTTTTCTCAAAGGGTGTGCGGTCCGACGAGGCTATGCGCTCCAGCTGCGCCGCGGCGTTGGCGGGAGTGGTGATGGGGCCCGACGACGTGATGTCGCGACTTGCTGCGAGTGAGCTACGGGCTATTTTGGTTGGTTTGATGCTCGACGCGGGTGACGGCTCTGCGGCCGTGCGCTTGCGCTTGAGATGAGATGCCATGATCATGATGATGATGTTGATGTTGATGTTGATGCAGACAGTGGGGGAGGATTGCTTGTTGTTCAGGTAGCTTATTGCTGTGTAGGTACTAGGTAATTGAACTGGTTCACGAAATGGGTGGAATTTGCGGGTTTCCAAATATTGATGGAGAGACAGAGTAGCTCAATCCCCAAAAATACAAGTTTGCCGCGTCCTCATATAATCACGAGTGAATTCAATAGCAACAGTAACTTGGTGTTGAGTCATCATCATTGGCCAGGGTGACGGATCAATGGTCCATTGTCATGCGAAAGGCGCGTCGCCCCCTCGCGTAAATTAGTTTCAATTAGGTTAAACCATCGTAGAACACCTACGCGTTCCGACGCCGATCCACGTGATTGCCATGGTGTATGTTAGGGACGGCATTTCTTTTTTCCCTTTGCCCCTTTGTTTTTCTACAACATTGTGTCGACTTGGGATACATCACCCATAAAACGTGGTTGATTTGAGACATTTGAATGTGATATTACTCTCATTAACTATAAAGGACAAAAGAAAAGGTGCAGCTCATACCCCCCTGTTAGTAGAGATGGCAGAGTGGTACTCGATTTTATCGTCCGATTCATTATCCCCCTTCTTGCGATCAATCTCCTCGTGTATAATGGTCACTTCTTGGTCGATGGTGATGTCTATCCGAGGATTCGACGGCCGCGATGTGACCCCGACTCTGCTTTGGCTCTTGCTCCTGCTCGCCGTGGCCATGGACGATGCATCGCCCGTTCGCAGTGCCGTATGCTTGGTCAGCGCGTAGGTATCGCCATTGCCATCTTGGCTGCCGAGCGGATGGCTGCGTCCCATCTTGGTCGACTTGCTAAACATGCCGCTCAGGCCAAGTTTGCTGGCTCCCCGGCGGATGAGAGGCTGAATGATGGGCAAGTTTGCGACCACGATGGCGACAAACGTTTCGCGACAGGCCCATTCACTGCCAGACACCGCACCCTCGGGTCCGGACTGGAAAGAGCATCTCGAGTTAGCATTGTCAAATCCATAAGCTATTAGATGGTTGAGTGGGATGCAAAATACCGTAATGATGACGACGGCACGAATTGTGCCTGCCATAATGACAAATACTGCACCACTGAACAGCAACATTAATGAAGCTTTGCGACGCCAGCCAATGTTGACCGTCCACAGCAGCTGTGTGTCTTGCCATCAGTAATCCAGCTTCTTGTGATGATTCCTAGGGGCCAAAAAGGAGACTTACTGGTAGAGGAATCGACAACAAGTATGTGTCGGTAATGATGTTGGGAATCAGCACCACTAATACGTATAGCTTCGAGTTTGTCGGCTGACACAGATCTGTTCACATGATTGTAAGATATGGGCCGTGATGGCGCGGGATTGATGTTATCGGAGAACATACTGCCAGGGTCTGGGTTTATTTGCCAGTACTTATGCATTGGCTGACACCCGAGCAGGATGCAAAGCGCCACCACGAGATATGTTGTGCCAAGCAGTACATAGGCGATACGGACGCGCAGTCTCAGGTGGACCAAGCCAGATCTGTATGATTGATTCAGTTGGCAAAACGACCTTGTGTGTGTGTCTGACCAAGATATCAACTCACGTTAGACGCGAATAGAATACGGCAATGCAGATCTTGAGCATCCAGAGAATGGCCGCATAAAAGGACCAGCCAATGACTTGAATCTTGGAGCCCCATTGGCGATTGTAATACTCTTCAGAGTTGGGATCGAGAGCAGCACGCTCCTCATCCGTCATATAACTATTCGTCAGCCCTTGAAATAATGCCCCTACTAAATAGGCGGCCACAGTTTCGGCTGTGAAGACGAGCTATCACAGATAACATCTAGGTCAGCCATTACATTCATATATTTGTTCTTCCTGTTTTCACATTTGCAATCGAATGGATGTGAGTAAATGCTTACCCCAGTGAGAGGCATCAGATAGTCGTCCAACTGAAATTTGGCTGGGCCGACCGCAGTCCATCGCACATAGACACGGACGCCTATGACGGCAAGCCCTAAGGAGAGCAGCGTCCACGCTTCAGCCACACCCATTGTAGTGGATCGATGAATCCAGACGTCCTAGAAAATGAGTGGAACGAACCCTAAAAGATTCTGCTGAGGAATGGGAATTAAGAACCAAATGCAAATCCAAGGAATCAAAGATTCAAGGAGAGCAGAAGAGCCAGGATCATATACTCATATGCAACCGAGGCAACAAGGACTGTCGATTATTGTCCCTGTTGACGCCTGATTTCAAAATAAAAATCCATACTATCCGCAAGCTACATACCCTTGGAAGCCCCCTATCATATCCCAACTATCCTTCCAGACATGGTTCGTAGAGGACCTCTGTCATGGTAGTAGTACCATGACTCGGCGGGTCAGGAACGCCATTATCTAGTGGCAATGCATTATTAGGGTCCCCCCCGTCCCGTAAAGCCGGCATTATCCTACTAGGCCCTACCTACGGATACCAAGCCCTGTTCTGATCCGGGACTTGGTCATGATAGTCTTGGGCGACACGTGGAAGAGACGCGAAGTGTTTTGAAATCGAGATGCTAGAAACGCCTCCATCAAGATTGCCGTGGGTAATTTCTCACAATGTGCCGAATTAGTCATAGCAGATGTATCGACGACGCCAATCATTGCAACGAAACCTCAAATTACAGCACCTTCTAAACTGGAGTTCTACCGTTAATACAAGCAGTCTGGCGTGGAGTCGAGTCAGAGCAGAGCTCAGCCATGGAGTTGATCCTACATGACTGTACACTGATTCGCCTGTGATGCAGATCACAGCTCTAACAAGTAGTACTTGTCGAAAAAATTTCCATCCCTCTTGCTACTTATCTCTCTTCCCAAGCTCTCTTGTAAGAAAGAAGCGCGGAAGAAAGTCTGCTGAGTGGAGTGGCAACGGCTGTCCTGTGCTCTCGCCTGGCCTTTTGGGGCGGGTAGTATTACACTCTAGGCCAACCTCTGTGCGCAAAAGGACCCCCACTGCAAAGCTTCAGACGCTGGAGCTTGGCAACGGACGGATTCAAACCAGATGAACCCGTGCGGGGATTGGGTGCTTATTCCCAAGAGGGGCCCAAGTCGCAAAGCAATGGAAGGCCAAGTCGTTATGCTCCTCTGGCTCCCCTATACTGACTGGGGTAGGGGCGCAACACAAGAGTGAAATCTAGTATAGCGCAGAGCCGGAAGCGTCTTCCCAGACTTCCACACTGTTTTAGCTTTCAAGCTAACATCCTAAAATTTCGCTAAACCATGGCAATCCTAATCCGGACCCACGGAATTACGGGGGATTGGCAATTAGGTGGTAATCCTAAACGGAGAGCAGCTTAGTTTAAGGCTGTGGCACTGACTTGGCCAGAGACGGGGAGAGGAGGAAGAGCTGCTCGGTGGTCTTGGTAAAGTCAGCAGGTAAGATTCAAGATAACGAGAAAGATAGAAGGGGCTACCACTGCCTCGGCGTCTGATAGTTGTGCTGTGGTTTGCGGCGCCGTTCCGTCCGCTGATGATAAGTGTGAATAGTCACACAATAAACAAGTTTCTTCTAATAACCAGTTGGCGAAGAGGCCGACCGTATTGTTTTTTGGCTGGCAGAACCATGATTGCACACCAGCAGAAGAAGGGATTGGTTGGGGCTGTCTGCAAGGACGAGTCGTTCTACTACTACTATGTACAGGCATTCAACATACCCTGGTCATACTATCGCTGTTGTGCTATGTACGCAAAGTAGGGGATTCCACCCACCCCATCCAATCGCAACTGTGATCACGGTACTATTCTAGTAAGACCGCGAATCTCTAACCCACTTGTACTGCAACAACTGCCGCGGCACTCCGGCTTGTGGCTACGGGGGGCATGTCACAGCTTATAGCCCTGTACCCATAACAAGACACCGCTGACATGATTGCGGATCTATTGGCACTCCAAAAAAGACAAGAGGAGGAGGGGGGAGGAAGTGCATTGCATTGCATTGTGATCAACACTGAACCAACCAGCCAACGTCCACCCAGATGCATGGCATTGGAGTTTTGGTAAGATTAACCCACTATACAAGACTTTGCAAACGTCAGCTTAATGGAAGCAAAGATTGGTGCCTGCACAAGTCGAAAGAGTGCAACACTTGACATAAGACTTTAGCTAGAAACACTATCGAAAGATCAACGGGATGTACGGCGACACAATACGCAATATCATCAGCCCTTTTTGTATTGTATTGAAAGAATGGGTTGAAAGCTGGATATCAGGATCCACCTCGTCAGTCTCCTCTAAAGACCCAGTATAGCCGTGGCTCCAGGCGGGTAAGAGTGGGTGTAAGACTGGAGATCATAGCCGTGCCTCATTCAAAATGCAACGACCAGACAGCCAGGTGACTTGGAGGCACCGACCATGGCTTCCCGCTATTCTTCAGCCTTTCACGAAGATGTCTCGAAACAAATGGAATCTCCCATCTTCATGCGCAGAGCATAAACTCCGTTGCTCCGATGAAATACCCTTCTGGCAATAACTGTTGCTACGAGTTTTCCCGGCACGAATTCTAGAACTGTATCAGGTACTAATGTAGTGCTGGCTCGCAACCTACTGCACGCCAGTACACCAACTATATCGTAGCCCGGGCGCCGTCGACTCGGTAGTCAGCACGGTCTCGCCACGTAAGTCGAGCATCTAATCAGTATGGAGTATAGCCCGAGTATAGACCGAATGCGACTGGTTCATCTTCATGCCTTAGTCTGGGTGAAATTTGGAGAGTCCTGCCCAAAAACGACGATTAGCCTGTCTTGGCCAGCGTTTTAGGGGTCCTGGGAAATGTTTCGCACACCTAATCCAATGAGCCCAGGAAATTGGGACCGCATTATAGTCGTACTCAACTGGGTCGCTCTGCACCTGCATTACGACTCGCCCACCAGCCAAGTCTCTGACCCGCAAATTACAATGCCTATCTTTGTTCCAACCTTGCACCCTTGTTGCAGGTTCGGTCACCGGGGTACGTACTAACTCGGCCAACCCCCAAAAGACGATTTGCGGGGAGAGAGGGATAATCGTGGTTGAGAAGCAGCAGCTGGGAAATAGTCAGGTCCCATTTCTTGGTCACGAGCCTTGTGAACAGGAAGCTGGGGTAAATATATCTGGCATTATCGTTTCTTTTTTTTATTTTCATTCGTTCTGCTTTAGAGGAAAGGAACACTTCGTCTTACTCAAAAGCCACTCAGATTTGACCGGGAGTTTCACCTCAGATTGTCCTAAGAAACATGGCCAACACTTATGATTTCGTTATAGTAGGAAGTAAGCCACCCCCCATCCAAACCTACCTCCTGATGATCCTACCTCGATCAAGTGGACAGACACTGACAGGGGAAAACCCAATTGCACAGGCGGGCCAGCTGGGAGCGCTCTGGCGGCCGGTCTAGCAAACTCAAAAGCGAAACCATCCGTACTGCTGCTCGAGGCAGGCGGAGATGATAACGACCGCAACCTACGCGTCGATGGCCAGCGATGGCAGACCTTTATGCGGGAGAATATGAACTGGGGGTTCAAGACGGTACCGCAAAAGGAGTGCGCTGACCGAGAGATCGACTACTCCCGCGGCAGGGTGCTCGGCGGCTCGAGCGCCATCAACTTTGGCGTCTACACCGTGGGCGCCCGCGACGACTATGAAGAGTGGGCGCGCCTCACGGGCGACGACGCCTTTGGATGGGACCGGATACAGGGCCGTTACAAGGCCCTCGAGACCTTTAACGGCAAGCTGCCGCCCGGAGTCGATGCCAAGTACGCGGCCCCAAAGGACTCGAACCACGGCTTCTCGGGTCCCTTGAAGACGGGATACGCGGCCGAGTGGGAGGATGACCTCCCACCCATGCTCGACATCTTTCAACAAAATGGCTTCCAGCTGAACCCCGATCACAACTCGGGAGATCCGCTTGGAATGTCGGTGCTCATCAACACGGCTGCAGGCGGTCTCCGGTCAACATCAAGAGACCTCTTCACGCCGCAGCCAGAGAACCTGACCATTCTCAGCAACTCGCCGGTCCAGCGCATTGTTCTCAACGGGAAGAAGGCAGTTGGCGCCGAGAGCAATGGAACCAAATGTAAGTCCTACGGACGGAACCGTAAAACTCCAGTCGCCTTAGGAAAGTAGCTGATCATGTTTCTCACCAATAGATTATGCAAACAAAGAGGTTGTACTATCTGCAGGTGCCCTAAACAGCCCCAGGATACTCATGCACTCGGGAGTTGGACCTGCAGACCAGCTGAAAAAGTTCAACATCCCAGTAGTACAGGGTATTCCCAAAGTGGGACAGGGGCTCCGCGACCACGAATTCTCCCCCGTCGTCTTCAAACGCAAGGAGGGCAGCACGGGGCGCTCAGCCTTTTACGGCGACGACAAGGTGATGCAAGAGGCCCTGAAGCAATGGGAGGCGGACGGCACCGGTCCCTGGGCCAAGTTTGCGTGCGAGACGGGCATTGGCTTCTTCAAGCTCGACGCCCTGACGTCGTCGGACGAGTTCCGGGCCCTGCCGCCGCAGGAGCAGGCCTACCTCCAGTCGCCGACGGTGCCGCACATGGAGGTGATTACGCACTTCCCCATGCACTGGTTCCTGCCCAACTTCCCGGCCGAGAACCTCGACTACAGCTGCCTGCTGGCCTTTCTGCTCAACTCGCAGGCCCGCGGCGAGGTCAGGCTGCAGTCGGCCGACCCGGACGCGCCCTTGCTCTTTGACCCAAAGTTCCTCGAGCACCCCTTTGACCAGCGCGCCGCCATCGAGTCGCTGCGCGCCGTACTGCGCGTCGCAAAGTCCGAGGCCTTTAGCCAGGACACGGTGGCGCAGCTCGTCGGCCCCGTCTCGGACTCGGACGAGGACCTGCTAGCCTACTGGCGGCAGACGCTGTCGTCGTCGTGGCACATGACGGGCACGCTCAAGATGGGCCGGATCGGCGATGCCGACGCCGTCGTGGACCCCGAGTTTCGCCTGATCGGCTTTGAGAAGCTCCGCGTCGCTGATATGAGTGCCGTGCCCATCCTGGCCAGCGGCCACACTCAGGCGATTGCCTACGTGACGGGCTTGACGGCTGCTGAGAAGCTGAGGGCCGAGTATAATCTAGACTAAAGCTGATTTGCGTTTCAGGAGGAAGAAAAAAGCGAGCCTTCATTTCTCGAATAACGATGTATGCGCTTTCCATACTAGATTTCTTCAAGCGTTGCTTGGTAATAGATAGCCGTCGACCGCTCTTCCCAATATAGAATACAATCGTCAATCCGACATTCCACTGTTTGGAGAGAGCTGTGCTTGACATGCTTGGCGATAAGTTCCAAATGATCAGCAACTGAACTTGAGTGGTCCATGTGTGACCGATTCATTCGGCAAAGATAGGCCATGTACTAAACATACAAGCAGAATGTTTCGATAGTCGGTTGCGAATCAAGCAAGCAATTTTCCAAGCATTTTAGGGCTGACGGTTTAAATCCAATCAATTGAATATACATAGGCACAAACAGCTAGTCACAAAGACGATGATGCATAGCCGTCGATCCTACTTTTGACTCTTCGTCCCTTGTACCTGGTTGGTGATCAGCAGATCCCTCCTCTCTATCCAGGCTGCCGTTCGTCCGTGAACACCCGAGGACATAGATCAAATCTCTTGCCGGTTTCAACCGCGATAGACAACGGTTGTTGCCGCCACCAGCCCACCAACCAGGGCCAACGTGCTGCGGAAGAGGTTCAGCCTCCTCCAGCGCCTCAGCTGTCGAGACACAGCCTCTTTGTCGGCGTCATCAAGCGACGACTCGCCAACATGCAAGGCCGTACTCTCCTCGGCATCCTTCACGTCGTCGTCGGTCCACCGTGATACCATGACGGGCTTGGTCTCCCTCATGACGATCCTGGAAAAGGGCAGACTGGCCAGGGTGGCACCGGCCGCGATAATCCACCTTGTCCTGTCGCGGCCCGAGGACTGGGCGGCGGTCAGGGCCGCTGCCGTCGTGGAGAGAATGGCGAGCGGTATGACGAGGCGGGCGCCGCGGTGGTAGAGCGCGGCAAGGGCGGCGGGCGCGACAGTCTGGGCATCGAGATGGTGCAGTACAGGCACAAACAAGTGCGAGGCTCCAAAGTTGATGCCCGAGAGGAATATGGACGTCGTAAGGGAGATGAGCTGCGTCGTGTGCAGAAGGGCGGAGGATGAAGTCAACATTGCGGATACTGACTATCGGAGGCTTTTTACAATTTGATTTATAAATAAGTCAATCCTTCTCGTCTATGAATTCTTGTCGACGAAATAGAATGGTGCGTTTGGTTGATTTCTGTTTGTGTGTTTATGGTATTCCTATCAGTCGTTGCATTGAGCGGACCCCACGTATATATAGTTATTAAAATGCTCTCTTTTTTTCTTCTTTACTATATCCGGCTGCCTAGTGTTCGACATGATTATAAAATTTGCACTGCCTAAGGGTGACTCGTTCTTGTGATGCCGATATGGCACGGAGAATAGCTAAAGGCTTCGTCAGATGACTTCATGCCGCCGAACTGCTTCGGAGTTTGGCCACCAATACTAAAGAGTATTCATCAGCGCCAAGACCGGCCCCCACATTGACCACCAATTTTGGAAAAAGCCTGTACTGTACTGTGATTTTCCCGACCGAAAGACTGGGATTTTATTCATCGGGAATGAATCACTCTTCGTCATGTTGTCAAGGTATAGTCATCCATAGAAACATCATACGTCTCGACTTGCGCATCCCAGGGAGATTGAACATCCTAAACACTGCTTGTAATAAGCTAGACCTCGTTACTGAAAGGATCCCTGCCCGTAAAGATCTTGAATAGGCGTCTGCTGACGGATTGGCCGATCCTCTGGTCCGTTATATGACCATTGCTGTTTGTGCTCTTTCTGATATTCTCGAGCGCCCGGGCTCCATCCCGTTCCAAGCCTCTCACCAAGTCCGTGACTGTTGGAAACGCCTCTGCAATGCAAATGGCCATGGATGTAGTAACACGAGCAATCTCCTGTAGCATGAGAATATATGTTTCCCGAGCATTCTCGCCGGTCTTGACTTGGCCAGACTCGACACTGAAGCCGGCATCTCTAGAGATCTCATCGCGTCGCTTCCGGTAAGGTATCGTAGAGATGTGCTGGGTAAATACCGTGATCCACTGTGCCGTTTCGACTGGCGCGCCCGTCTTGTGGATCATGACTCCGTGATCGACCTGGAGTGACAAGAGAGCATCTTCAATGACTTCCTCATCAACAATTTCATGCGTGGCCTTTTTAGAGCGGCCTTGAGCTGCTGCTGTATTGGCGTCGTTGCGAGCGGCATTCTGAAATTGCCGATTGCGAGCTGTCTTGTTCTTCCTGAACCACTGATCAATCCCCTCGAGCAGATAAATGATATCACTGTCGGGGAACGCGACTCTCATCTTCAGTACATGCTCTCCAAGACCGCCTCCATCCTTGTTGGTCGCGAGCTGGACAAACTCTTTGGCCTGGACAACAACGAGAGCATGTTTCTCTTGCACAATTCGCAGGGGAATCGGCTCAAAGTACTCCTTCTCTTCGTTGAACTTTCTGTCCACCTTCCGTCGCCATCGAACAGCCTTGTCTACAGGGCTGTCCCAAGTCGAATGGGCAATACTGTGCTCGTTGAGTAGCTCGACGACTTGCGCATTCAATCCTACATCAAAGGACTGGGGTATATCGACAATCATCTCGACCTGAGCATCCGCCTTATTAACGCGAATCTTGTTGACCTCTGCCAGTGCCTTGTCCCTTTCCTTCTGCACAGCTTTCTCTCTCTTGGCGCGCTCTTTCTCGAGGCGTTTACGCTCATTCTCGACTTCCCTAGCCTGCGTCTTGCGTCTCTTTTCGAGATCCTTTTCTTCTTGTGTCTTCGGGGCAGGTCTTTTCGTGCTTGAGCCGGTCGATGTTGTCTTTGATCGCTTCAGATTTCGGGGTGATTCGCTAAGTGAGCGTGAGAGTCTCGGGCCGTCGGTGCGTATCTTGCTCAACTCCGGTAAATCATCCGAATCCGAATCCTCCAGCTCTATGACGCCCATCTTTCTTTTGGCTGCTTTGGCAGGTGAACTTGAGAATGCCCTCCTATCATTAGCAGCTGTGTTCGTTTCTGGCATCGAGCTAGAGATCGGATCCCAATTGGCTTTCTGCTTGCCCTTGTTCTTTCGTGTTGGGGCCGGCGAGTAGTCTGAAAAATCACTCGTGAGATCGAAGACGTTGGTGGTCGCCGTGTTGGTTCGCTTGTTCGCAGTCATATCTTCCGACAAGCCGCTCCTCTGAGGCTCTTTTCCTTTGTTGGATTTTGCTGGTGGCGGGCTGGAATCAAATGGGTCATCATCGCCGAGATCGACTGGAGAGCTGGTATGCTGGATAGGATCTGCAATTGAATGCCATCGCTTCAACCCGGAACCGGAGGGCTTTGCTGGGAGCACCGCGGACGATGTGCGCGCCATGGAGCGGTTCGTGGAAGTTCTTGCAGTTGTTCTGGGCGAGGCTTTGCTGTTTCTAGGAAGATCAAAGTCGAGGTCGCCTGTTGTGTCAAAGTCATCTGCGAGAAACAGATAATCATTTCCGTCCTTGTGCCGTTGCGGCTTGTCATTTTTAATGACGTCGTTGCTTTTCTTCGGGCTCTTTTTGGAAATGGCAGCTCGAGTCGTTGGCTTATTGTTTACGCCACCGAGAACATCATCAATGTCCTGGAACTCATCCCCGTCGAGACCTATCGCTCTTGGTTGTGCCGTGGGTCCTGTATGTCTCTGGGCAGGTCTTGGTAGCCTTTGAGGCTGCACCTCTGGGCTTGAAAGCAGGTCGATAACCTCAGGCGCCATCCTGTCGCAGCATACGGGGCCGGCCCAATGGACGTCTACGCGCCTTTCCCGCCGTGGACTTCAATAATGGCAGATCGATGAAGCGAGTCAACAAATGCAACATTCCCTTGCCATGGCAGCAAAGTGGTGACGCGTTGAGAAAACACGTCCTAGGCACGCGATTGCCCCACGACACGAACGCGCATCACGTGATTTTAATGAGTACAGGCAGCTCCTCCTCTGTATCAATATCCACCTGTTTATGCCCAGCTCTATCCATGACTAGGTCCTGGTAGACATGATTTAAGTAGACACACGGGTGATTTTCCATGACGAAAGCTCACACCATCTTGAAGTGCTTTATCGAAGACATACAGCTGATTCGTGCCAGATTGGTTGGTGTGGCTGCGACCGTTGCTGCGCTTGGTGCATTATGTGGAGGCTGAGAGATCCTCAAGACCAGGACACAGACCTGTGTTGCGGGGTACTTTGCCTGGTTTCCTACCGATTGCGTCCCACGTGAGAGCTGTATCTGCGCTTCGAACCAGAGTGATTTACAACAGGCAGCAAAGTCTCCCTCGACTCAACCCCTAGTCCGTCTGCCCACTTTTCTCTCGCGTGCTGCAAAGTCAGGACGCACCTGTCAGTCATAATCATGCATATGCTTCGGAGCTTTGTATCGGATGCAGTACACTTCATATTTGGTAGGCATTCAAGCCGAGCCAAGATATCATCCGCTTTGGACGTCCCGAAATTGCAAGAATGCAGAGCGCTTATAGTAAATGAGGTTGACGAACAACTTCTAATTGGCGGCATCGATGCGACAAGCCCGACAAATCATGATGTTTTGCCTGTACGCATGATAAAACTGCCTGTCGAAGATATCTCAACAGTAGCCGTGCTCTCATGGAGATGGGATGGAGAAATGGGATGTTTGGGTTCAAGAAACGTTGCAAGTGCGGTCCGTCAAAGCAAAAGAATGGGGATTCAGTACCTCTTCATCGATGCAATCTCGATTGACCAAAGTCTTCAAGGGGATGAACTTGTCAAACAAGTCATCGCATTTTCAACACTCTATGGAACCATACCAGTTATCGCTGCCTATGACAAGGCCGATGAACTGTTTAGAAACACCATGCACCGTCCCTGGATATCCAAAGAAGCGCGGCTGTACCGCAATAATCCAACAAAAATCGTATATGTCGGTCATACTAGCCAAGGTGGAGCATCGCTGGGGAAGTATTTTCCCAAAAATGAGCTCCAGGATTACCGATTCGGAATGGAGCTCGACTCTATATGGACTGGGAGCTTTATCGAGACCATCAATGGCGTGCTATGCGGAGATATTGGGATGTCGTACATCTCTGATCTCAAGTTCATCATCGCACCTTGCGCACAGGCGTTGGTCGTTGCCTATGAGAAGATGAGCCGGAACGACTATCTTCTAACTGCCTTGATTCTCTGCGCAAATTACACAGATACACGGGAGATCAGGCTACGGTCGAACACGCGAGAAAACTCCTTTGATCGATATAGTATCCGCAAGGTTGACGGGCCGGGCTCTGGTATATTCTGGGCTGTTTACGGCATCTTTCTCGATGGTGTGCGCGTCGGACACTTGGAGGCTGCAGGCAAGACCAAGTCCCGCGTCGGTTCTTATGTTGCAGTAACACCGAATTCAGAGGATATTATTTTATCCAGTCTTGGTTTCAAGAGTTCTGAGCGCAAGGAATATACTGCAAACGTGCAAGCACGACATGCTTATTTCAGTATCAGCAACAAGTCTGTCCCGTTACCTGAAATAGAAGTCGTGTCAATTGAGCTATAGTGGCTGGAATTGTAGTGACAATATCTAGTATTTGAAAATGTAAGCTGCTATTCACGCCCATATATAGGTTGAAGTTGTGGACAGTTAACTGTGATCAACGTGAACAATAAAAAACCAGATCTCGGCTGTATAGTTGAGATTCTATCGTATAAATATTCAAACCCCTTGATTTCTTTCACTAAAGCCATGAATTATCATAGGAGTATTCATGGAAATAATACTTGTCATCATAACCAAATTGCTTTGGGGGTCAAAAATGTACCTACCTAGTAGCTAATAATATATCTAATTAGTAGCCATATACTCGATGATTCGCCATAGTTTACTACAAAATGCTTTGACTAGTAGATACTTCTTCATCGCAAGGTGTCCATTATTCAATAGGTAAGCCTCATGTCACATGATCATTCAATTCCATCAAAGTGACTCGACCCAAAGGATGAAGGAGTTTCACTTTTCAGGTGTAAACTTACGAAAGCTTTTGGAACAGACAGGCTGGCTGTTTTCCAGACCAAACTCAATTCAATATTTGACACGAATTGACTGTTGCACTTTAATGCCAATAAAATGAGGTTTCCAGAAAATTTGGCCAATATTCAAACCTGTCTCGGCTGAAGAACTTACCGTTGGCACGGAACGCCTCCATCAAGCGTGGCTATAATAAACTTTGGCCAGCTCATACTGGCATATGCAAACGATGGGGTTCTGCGAGCTTTATTATTCCAACAATTACCCCTAATGGCGGTTTCACCCATAATCTCGGAGCGTACGTGTCAAGACGTTGTGCTACCTGATTACCAGAGACTCAATGATGTCACCGCGGCCATTTTATGATATTGAGTGACAGGCGCTAGCTTAGAAGATACCCAATCCTAGGAAGCCCATTCAGCTTGAGCCACAAGACACAAGAAGGAAACCCTCCGATATCTTGCAACGTTGGACGTCTGATGGTGATGACTGCTCAGTTACTCAAAGGCGTGACACGACGTTGGCGATGTAGTATAAGTTGGGTCCGATGACTTGATTAGGCATTCGAGGCTCAAAACTCCGGATAAGACCCCATATTGATCAGCCACTTGCTTATTGCCATTTGTAGCACAATGGGTCAATCTAGTCTGCACGGAGCATTGTGTCACACTCAAGCGGTCATATTGCCAAGGCCGTCAGGTATACCAGGATATCGAGTTGTAAGACAGTAGCGGTGCCACGTGAAGTCAGTCAAAGGCAAAAGCATGCAATGGACTTTTCTCTCGGAGATCCGGAAAAGATGCTATACATATCGCACAGACAATGTGCATGAAGTGTGCATAAGAGATTTTCCATGCCGTGTCCGTTATGGCACAAGAACGAATGTACTTGATGGCAATGGGCCGACTCTTTGAAACGGTGCTGTCCGTCAATCCATCTTCGAATCCTGCCGTTCCTACGGGATGTGTCGCTTGGCTTCCTTCTTGCATTGATGCCTTTGATAAAAGTGCAGGAAAGAAAAAAAAAGGATACTCATGATGCAAAGAAGGATTGGTTTGGAGGGTAGCATTGATTGTGCCGAGAATTCTTGATATAGCAATCCGGCTTCCCGTAAGAAAACCCCTCCTCGCTGCCGCTGTCGATATGCCGTGCGGTATAGTCAGCGGGCCATCCACCCCAAGCCGCAACAAGCCGCCGAGTAAGGCTAAAGCGGTCAGTCTACTGCGTTGTCAGACCAATTATGCCACGTCGACCATTCACACGGTTTCCATATTGATGGGCTCCCATTGTTCAACCATGGAAACTCAGTAGAACACAGGCTGAGGATAGTCGCACATGTATGTTTCAAGAGCTAATTGTCACACGGTCTCCCCAAAATCTTATCATTACATGCCACTTACAAGCTCCCTGCTCGAAACGATTTTGAGGATGCACCTTGAGAAGGGGTCTTCCATGTAATCAGCCATTATAATCACCGTTTTATACATACGTATATTAAAATACCCGCTGCAACAGCCCCGCATTTTGAAATAGCACCGCACGTGCTTACAAGGCGGCCGGCAATGTAAATTCATGTATGGAGTACGCACGCAGATAGGTATTACAAAGGACCCAACTGTTTGGCTAACAGGGTGAACAATGTTGCACGGTGATCTGTGTGTCTCTTCCAAGGCTCCCACATTGAAAAGTCATGGCAGTTGGTGGGCATGTGTGTGGCGGAAAACGTGGGCAGCGTGCATAATGCAGACAGAGGGGCAATTCGTACCTGGTTTTACCGAGCCAGTGTTTGCAATTATGGCGAGATGGAAAGTGGCGATACAGACACACGGCAGCAGGACTGATTGATGTGTTCCAAACAGTTATCAGTGCAGTGTACGTATTATTGCTGCTGCATCGCGATCATTGAGTTTCGGCCAAACCCTTGCTTGGCCCTGGCTTTGTCTAAAGTGCAATGCAGCGCAGTGGGCAATCCAATATCGGCGAACTTACCGAGCTTGCAACTGGGCATAGGCCAACGCGTTCGAGATGAGGATCATCCCTGGCCTCATGATATCCTCTTGCAAACACGAAATCGCAGCGCCTTAGGTTGCAGGGGTTTGGAGACACTGTATTCTCGAGTCTGAAAAGACAGAGACATATTTCAAGTCCGGGTGACTTGGGGTAACATGTTCTTCAGCTGTCCCGCACGCCCATTGACAGAGAAATGCCACCTATTCAGCAGGTTGAGACATGGTGCCTGCCAATTGGTTGTTTGGTAGCCAATCATTGAAGCTGCTGATGGCGTATATTGTTTGCGCCACGGGTTTGGTGGTTTGCCATTCAGAAAAGAAACAAAAGCAGGTATTCTAGGGGTCAGGGCGAGGACAAAAAAGAAACCAAAACTCGTGGTCGATGAAAAGCCACTTGACACTTTTTTTCGTCAATCGAAAGCTTGAATTTGGGGTTCCAAGTCATCTCATGAGCCCCTGATGTTTCCCGGTATCATAAAAGTTTGTTTGCGCAGTGTCTGGAATCTTTTCCTTTTCAGTCCACAGCCCTACTGCTTGTTTCAACTCTGGTAGCGTAGAAATTGTTCTGCTGAACTCAATTCAGAGCGAAAGGTGTGTTCTTTGATCTGCCGTGAAATCATATTTTCCTTACGGCCACAAGTGATGAGTTTCTGTCTTTGTATGACATGCAACGGTCACAACGGTGACCTGTTTCCTTTTCTCTCAATTGTGACAGAAATCAATTGCCGTCGCCAAGACTCGTTTACACTTTTTGATTGTATTGGAACTGGAGGCATGGTGGATTTGCTTGGACTCTGGAGCCCAAAGCATGGACCAAAAAGAAAGGCGATGGAACCTGCGCAACACCTCAAACACGGCCAAACGGCGCTGGCCTTATGTTTCGACTAACCGCATATAGCCCAAGTGGCGCAATCAGGTCTGAGGGAGGGCGGCGGCGCAAGCTGCAAGGTAGCCCAGGAGCATCCATCCGAAGCCATCTCTGCTTGATTTGGCAGAGGATTTTCTGTACAGTGCCCCAGTGTCTGATGTACCGTGAAATTGGCTTCTGCAGGTGTGGCATCATGTCTGGGGGCTGGCGCAGGCAGGATTGGCTACTTTCGAGCTGTGCCCTGAGCATGGAGAATGTCCCCAGCAGCAGCACAGACCCAGGAAGCTTGATGAGGCAGTCAACGTTGAAAAGTTGAGCGTAATAATTCCACTGCTTGTTTCTACACCGTCAAGCTCGCTCCGGCTGGCCTGGACACAATGGGCTAGGTCAACGCTCTGAACCTTGAACTCGTGGTATCTCCCAAAGGGTCCACAGCTTTGTGTGGATATTGGAGCGACTTCCAGCACAGCAGTCGCATCCAGCGACGAGTGATGACGGCGGCCTACTATCGCGGGTGTCGTTGGGGTCTGAATGTATTGTTGTCTCTCATCAATTGCGACAGACCGAGGTTCTGCAGGATATTTCAAGGATGCTGGCACAAACGAAGGGATCGCCCCCTTCCCCCTCACTGCTCAATCCATCCCCTAGAAACCTTCCAAGGCGACAGACATAACGAAGAGAAAGATTCTCGACCTCTTCTTGGGGGTGGTCTGCTCCCTCCAAGGGTGTCTTGCCTTATTGGTACTGGTGTTCCTCCAATAGGACCCTGGTCTTGCAACTAGTCTCTCTTAGCGCCACTGCTGGACCTCAAGCTCCAGTCTTGCCATTGCACACATCTCACTCAAGATTGATATGTGCCTGGTCGCGGCAGGTAGGTACCTTTGGGCTACTGCAGGGCCCAGTCGGACCAGTGCAGAAACCCGCTGTCACTTTCTCTCCTCCTGCTTTCGCGCGAATGGGATCGCCCCCTCCATCAACGTCCCCCCCTATCCTACGCCTCCCGCCTCGCATAAGTGTATATGTGAATGGCTGTATAGGAGGAGTCTAGGTACAAAACGTGCAACCAGTTACATTTTCAGTAAAGTTGGTCAAGCACCAAGATGCTACCAGAAATCATTGATGGCTCGGATGGTTTCTATGAGTATATTCTTGATCATACACGTATGTACGGACGGACTACTTGTAGTCCACGAGCCTTGCTCGTGATCCATTATCCCATCGATCCTCCACATTTTCCGTGTTCTGGACTCGATCATTCAATGTTCCCGTTCCACTTGCCTACCAACCTGGCCAGGTGATGGGACGAATGGCGACGGTCAAGAACACAGCCGGGGTTTCAGATCAGTACGTACTTAACAGCATTGCGCTCAATCATGGGTTGCAGTTTGCGTAAAGTTGCTTAGGCGTAATCATACCGTGTATATCGGTTTGATATTTTCTCTTCATCTGGTGTAAACATGATCTATAGGAGGCCAAGCTCGACCTTCCGTCTACGTATCATCCCCTATATTAACTTAGCTTCTACATTAGCCAGAATGCTTGGTAATGCTAAGAAGTGTGAACTACATACTGCTTACCTAGGTGTCTAGTAGTAGTAGCTAAGTTACACAGTAGTATACCGGGATCCGACGCTATCGGAGTCGAAAACAAAGGCAGACCACTTGGTCGGTGCCTTGGTGCCTATCTATGCGTAGGTACCTGTTCACATCACACATCCCATCCCCTATAGACTACATGTAAAGAGTAGCCTCTTTGGGGGAGGTGATGCCGGATCCCCCAATTCGTCCGTCACAGCCACTAAGTATCCAGGTTAAGAACTGCACTTGAGGGCGTCCGTCTCCGTTTAGCTGATGATCACTCTCCGGCCCTTCTTCCAATCAGTCTATCTAGATAACTAGTGTAGACAAACCAAACGGTGGAAAAGAAAAAAAAATTCTAGAGAAACAGACTGGGACGCTTGGGTCCTCCCATCCCATCCGCACTAATCGACGCGTGTTTAATTTGCCCTTGCAGCCCCCCTGTGCGCTAAAGCCTAGAGGCACCCAGGGATCTCTTTTTTTTCCCTTCTGGGGGGGGGCCATCTGTTCCTCAGTCGGCACTATCACAATCGAGCAACTGACCCGAAGCTGCTCATATCAGTTCATTCCACGTTTTCTCCAGTCGCGTAGCAGGTCCCCCAATTTTCTGCTGCTCTCTTCTCATCTACGTATCTGGATTTGGGGGGGATCCTTTTTTTTTATTTTCTCGCCTACCACTGATTGACTGCTTTTTCGCATCGTGACACTACCTCGCCTTTTATGGTTGTCCGACGTGTTACTGCACCAGTCCAGGCTTCATCCCCATACCCGTGCCACAGGAGCATATTCCCGGGTCACTGGTAGCTGCTTTGGTCGCACGGGCAATTCTGACAGGAGTCTCACTTACAGAGGCTCGTCATAGTGCCCAGTCACTCATTTTCTGCGATCTTGCTTTTTGTCTTCTCTCGCCCGAAAAAAACCGACTACCCTCTTTTTTTTTCGTCTTTGCGATAAAACAGCATTTTGCAACTTTCAATGAGCGCGGCCGGCAACTGCAAACACCACAGGAACGGCGGTCACGGGACGGAAGCGCTGTTGCGTTTGTCATCCTGACCTTTCTGTCCACTGAAGTGCAATCCGCATAAACCACCCTGCCAGGGTCGTGTTTTGCATTCCTCGCGGCTACTCTTCCCGCTGTCCAACCATCGCCGGTCCAACTGTCGCGCGTTCCAGCGAGTGGTCCAGATCAGCAATATCGCCCACCCGTTTGATCCGTCCAATCCCGCCTCTCCATTTCCATCGCGGTTCGCCTGTGGCTAACAGGCCTCCCGGAAAGGGGAAGCACGGTCGATCCGGCACTACCTTAATTTAATAACAACAACCGCAATCCGATTGCGAAAATGACGAGCTCACCACCAGCTTCGCCTGGCATGATGTCGCCGCGTCCTATGAGCGCCATGGTCAAACCCTCGTCCCGAAGCGCCAGTCGGCTGAGTATGAGCAGTAAGGCCGGCGGTGGAAGTAGAGCATCTGACGAAGAAGCGAGAACAGCAGTCAAAGTCGGTATGTTGCGCGCGGCCCCGGGAAAACATTCCTATAACGCCATGATTTTAGCTGGATTCTTGGTAGCTTCCCCCCCATTGAAAGTAACAGCAAAGCTAATGCACCGTCTTTTCTGCAGCTATACGCGTGCGCCCACCGTTGAAACCTACAGATCCGGGCTTCGAACTTATACCCCAACGATTTCAACGTTCCATGGTCCAAGCCACGTCCCAGACAAATCTAGCCATCGAATCGCCTCAGGGCAAGAAGCTCTTTGTCTTTGACCGCGTTTTCGGACCCGACATCAACCAGGAGGGTATATGGGACTACTTGAGCGAGAGTGTCTCTGCTTTCGTGCAAGGTTACAATGTATCAATTATGGCATACGGCCAGTCGGGTGCTGGAAAGTCCTTTACCATGGGCACGTCCGGCCCTGGTGACCAAGCGGATTTGGAAGTCATGGGTACGAACCACCCGATTCACCCGAGTCGCCATGAGATTGTCATCACAGGCATTCGAGTCGCGTACGTGAAAGATTGGATCAGTTTCGGCTAACAGACAATAGGTGTGATTCCTCGAGCTGCAACGTCGCTTTTCGAAAAGCTAGAAGGCGCCCCAGTCAAGAACTCCAACCGTCAATCCATGTCTCAACTCAGAACACCTCAGCGGTACTCCATGTCGCAAGCGCCAACCCCGAAAGCAGAAAAGAACTGGTCATTGAAAGCAACTTACGTCGAGATTTATAATGAGCAACTTCGAGACCTGCTGGTATCAGAGGACACGCCTGTCCACGAACGAGGCAATGTCACGATTCGCGAAGATACCAAAGGCAACATCCTCCTGACGGGCCTGCGACAGATGGAAATCAATTCCATTAGCGACTTGATGAATGCCTTGAGTTTCGGTTCGACTATCCGTCAGACTGATGCCACCGCGATCAATGCGAAGTCTTCACGTTCCCACGCTGTCTTTAGCTTGAACCTTGTCCAGCGCAAGCCCAAGACCAGCACAGCGGCGGAGAAGCGGATGTCAGTTCCCCTCGAGGCCATGTCTGGAGCAGAAACTCTCGTCACCACCGACAGCAAGCTTCACTTTGTCGATTTGGCTGGCAGCGAACGTCTCAAGAATACGGGCGCCCAAGGAGAGCGAGCAAGGGAGGGTATCTCTATCAATGCCGGTCTTGCCGCCTTGGGCAAGGTGATTTCGCAGCTGTCATCGCGTAACTCTGGCGCCCACGTGTCTTACCGAGACTCGAGGTTGACGCGACTCCTCCAGGATTCGTTGGGTGGTAATGCCATAACGTACATGATTGCTTGTGTCACCCCGGCTGAATTCCATTTGAGCGAAACCTTAAACACCGTGCAGTATGCACAGAGAGCACGTGCCATCCAAAGCAAGCCAAGAATCCAACAGACTGAAGAAGGCGACAAGCAGGCAATCATTGAACGTCTAAAGGCCGAAGTTGCATTCTTACGGGAGCAGATCCGCAGTGCCGAGCGTGGTGGGGGTGACCGACGCGGTCCCGTGGTAAGCGAGAGGTCCGAGCGACACAACGAGCGGGAACAAGAGCTGCAGAACCATCTCTTGGACGTTCAGGAGAATTACACAACTCTGAGTCAGCGCCATGCAAGACTCATTGCCGAGATGGCTAGAGCGCGAGACAACGAAGCTGCTTCCGAGAACCAGCCAGAGCACTCGGATGACTCGGCCACAGAACGGCTGAACCGCTCCAACTCTTTCGCTCAAGCAGTCGAGCAAGTTGTGCTAGAGTATGAGAAGACCATTCAGTCTTTGGAACAGTCTCTCTCCAGTACCCGCTCAACGCTTTCCACTACGGAAGGCAACCTGCTCGAGAAGGAGACAAAGTGTGCGTACGTTGAGACCATCAACACGCAGCTTCAGGCTCGCCTCCAGAAACTGATGGATCGGGAAGCCAACACCGAGAACTATCTGCATGATCTGGAGACGAAGCTCGATGGCCATACATCCGGAGAGGAGAAAAATGCAACCATAGTCTCGGAGCTACGGAAAGAGATTGTGCGCATCCGTGAAAATGAGGCTGCTTGCGAAGATTACATTTCGACACTTGAAGAGAGGTTAGCAGAGGCTGACCAGGACAGTGAGCTCATGCAGCGTGAGATTGATCGCTTGGAGCAAGTTATTGAGCGCCAGCGAAGTCTAGGCAAGCTGGACAACTTGCTTTACGAATTGGACAACATTCAGAAAGACGGCCCTGAGGCCGAGGCTAGCAACGGAGTAGGACACCGCCGCACATTCTCTGAGCGATCAACCAAGAGTCACGTCAGTCGGACTTCCGTCAGCCACGCGCGCCGCGAACTTCCCGATGTTGGCGAAGAGGAGGCAGAGGAAGACGAAGACGCTGCCAAGGTTGCTCAAGACAAGGAGCGTGACTCTGCTGAATCTGGAGAGCACTCTGGAGAAGAGTCCACGCTGGATGTCAATGAAAAGCCATCAGTCGCCGAATATGAGCCGACGAGTCCTGCACAAAGCAAATTTGTCGCCGATAAGCTTGAGAATGTGACGGAAGAGCTTATTCATCTTCGAGTGGAGCACGAGACAACCTTGAACGAATACGACACTTTGCAGACCAAGTATGAAGAGGCTCTGAAGACTTTGTCGGAGCTTCAGGATGCGATTGATGAGGCTAAGCACCCCAGTCGCAACCGAGACTCCCTTCTTTCTGCCACATCCCCAAACGAAACTCGCCCGCCGTCTTTTTTATCCGATGCCAAGACCAACGACACAAAGGATGGGACCCGCTTCTCATCGCGATCGCTCTCCTCGGAGTTATCCTCAGCTATGGAATCCCCAGCTACTATCGATTCTCCGAGTGATGTCGAGACACCGAAGCCCGCAGAGTCTGTTGACTCTCCTACGCAGGAGATTGTAGCTTCAGCGCCCGACACTCAAGACGAACTTTCTCTTGAGTTAGAGCAATTGAAGTCGTTGGCCGCCGAGAAGGAGGCAGCGGAGAAGGAGCTCGCTGAGAAGTATGCTCAGCTTGAGCAAAAGCACAGTGAGACTCTGGACATAGTTGAAGAGTTGAAGACAGAGGTCGCAAAGGCGAAATATGCTGAGCCTCCCTCACCAAGAAGCGCCACCCCAGTGATCCGTCGCAAATCTAGTCAAAATTTTATGATCATTGACAGAGCGCACAGGTCGTTCGCTCAGCTGAGGAACATTGCAGCAGAAAACTTTGAGGAACAGCCAGATAAGATGGAAAACTTTGAAGTGCATCTCAATGCCGCCATGCACGAACTGCACTCCCGATCGGAACGTATCCAGGAACTCGAGGCTGATGTTGCAAATGCCAAGAAGGAGATGGAGACTAAGATGACCATCATTTCCGGCCTCACACGAGAGCGCTCCAGCTTGAAGGCCAGTCCCATGGACATGTCTATGGTCTCTACAATGAGGAACCAGCTCGAGCAGAACGAGAAACAGTTCAAGAATCTTCAACAAGCACATGCTACTCGCGAGTCCGAACTTATGGCCGAGCTGGAAGCCCTTCGCAAGAACATCCAAGAGACGGCAGAGACAAAACCGGTGGCTTCAGACGATTCAGCCGCCAAAGAACTCTCTGCTGCCCATGATGAGATTGTCGCTGCGCAGGTGAAGAAGATCCAGGAGTTGGAGTCTGACCTGAGTGACTGGGAGAGCAAGCATCAAGCTGCACTGCAGACAATGCAGGCCACAGAAAGTCAGATGAAGCAGACCATTGACGAACTAGAGACTCAAGTTGCCGCAGTAAATGATAAGTTTACTCAATCGCAGGACGGCACTCAGAATCCTGAGGAGGCTAAGGACGCCGAGGACAAACACCAGGCTCTTATTACATCCCTCCAGAGTGAGATTAGCGAATACAAGTCCACGATTGATATCAATGCCAGCAAGGTGGCAGAGCTGGAGAAGGCACACTTGGCCACCAAGACTCAATTGGAAGAAGCCACTCAAGCGCACGATCTGGCCGCGAACAACCACAAGGACCTTGTCACCAAGCTCGAATCTCAGATCAGCGAACACGAGCAGACTCTCAAGACGCACCAGCAAAACCTTGAGCAGCTCCACGCCGACCATGCCAAGGGCATTGACGGCATCAAATCTAGTTCGCAACAAGAGTACGAATCGCAACTTTCTACTCTTGTTAATGAACACGCCGAGAATGTCAGACTCCTGGAGAGCGATCTTGCTGATGCGCGAGAGGAACTTTCTACAATTGCTAGTCAAGTTGCTAACACACTTGGTGTGGAGGCGAGCATTGACAAGATCAACGAGAAGATCGAGGAGCTTCTTGCTGACCAGAAAATGCTGCTGGGCGAGCAAGAAAAGAAGGCCGAGCTCGAGATCCATGTCAATGAGCTGTCTTCTATTAACAACACGATCATGCGCGACCTTGAAACCGTCAAATCTGCGCTGAACGATATGCTCAAAGCGGACGGCGAAAACATCAAGAGCCCATATCCCTCCGTAGCTGAACAGGTTGCAGCAGTCACGAAGAGGCTTGGCGACCTGGAGAACAAGAACAAGAAGCACTCACGCCTAGTAGAAGAGCTTGAGGATCAGCTTCAGACCAACTATGACCAAGCTCAAATCACCAGCAACCGTCTCTCAACATTGCAGTCTGAGCGTCAGGCACAGTTTGAGGAGATTGCAGCAGCACGTATCAAGGCGCAGGCCGATCTGGATCAGCTTCGCGAAGAACATGCGGCTCTGCAGACTCGTCTGGAGCAGACAGAAGGTGTCCAAAGATCCAACTCTTTGAACTCACAAGTCCGCAGGAGTGCATCGCACACATCGCTGCCATCTCCTCCTCCTGCCATTCCTCTGCCACCTTTGCCCGGCGGTGGTTCCACTTCTCCTCCGCCAGGTGCGTCGCCTGGTAGCGGGCGACCGCAGAGCAATGATTTGGCCATGGCCCAGATCAGAGAAGACCAGGATGCTCGCATTCGTACGATTGAGCGTCATCTGAACGCAGAGAAGCAGCTGACGTCGACTCTTGAGGAGGCTCTCACAGATCTTGAGAGACAATCGAACAAGGTCAAGGCAGACTGTGAGGCCTGGCGCAAGCGGGCCATGGAGCTCGAGGGCGAGGTCAAGGATCTCAAGGACAAGCCACAGAAGGACAGCCGCTGGCGCGACAGTCTCCAGCAGGTCGAAGAGGAGCGCAAGAAACGCCAAGACGCCGAGAGAGCTGCCGCTCATCTACAAGAGCGGATGGCAGCCATCAACCAGAAGAAAAAGAAGAAGGGCAGTCTCAATTGCTTCTAGGTCAAGTTTTGTCTGGTAGTGCTCGTTCTCTCATTGCTGTCGTTGGCTCTGTACGGATCCTACATCACTCACGCTTCTCTTTTGCCCACGCCTCTTGTTCCAACGTTCCAAAAAATGGCACGCCATGCGTGTCCTTGGCCGAACGAGGCTTGGTCGTCACCTCTTGTATGATGCGCATTTCGACTTCATCCGTTACATATTCTAGTCGTGCCCTTTCCGAATCTCGAGAAAATCGATTTCCGAATTTCACTTACGACACTTTTCGGTACTCTACTCTAATAACGCGTCTCTTTCGACACTTTCCCCGCAAATGGTACAATTGATACAACATCAGCATGTCACGCAATGTAGAATGACTTGGACGGGAAATGAAGCGATGGAAATAGGTCTTTGCGACGAATCACCAATACCCTCTTCTCACGAAGTTCCTGTTTTTTTATTTTTTTCCTTTTTCGATACACCTTAAGACTTTTTCTTTTCTTTTTCTTTCAAGCATGTTACATTCAGCGGTGTGCTGCAGCGGAAGGAGGCAGCTCAGGCTTGGGCAATAAAATATCTTTGATATACCACCTCGTCTTCTGTTTGTTGTCGCGCCCCCATCACCGGCGATTCTCGTGACTATATGTTTGTTTGGAGAATTCTCCAAGCGCATAATATCCGGGTTTCAATCAGGGGCTCGTATTATGACGACTGGTTGGCTCTTTTGGGACACCTAGTTCGAAGGGCCGTATTTTGTGTCTTGTTCTCGTATATATACCTGTCTGTGGGTCTGTTTATATAGCTTTATGAAATGTGTAAAGTGTATCTTGACCTTGAATGAGTCTTCTGCAAGTTGCCTATCCGAAGTCTCGGTACTCTCCCTCCTGACAATGCGCATGTGGGCATGATCACCATCATCATGGTGTCCATTTACTTGAATTCGAGTCACTACATGGCAATGGGTTCGGCGTGGGCTCAGTGGCCCATGAAACAATGTTATCCTACCACCTTGGCCAACATAATGTCTTATGAAATAATTACAACAATACTCTTACGGCCCGTAACTGATTCTCGTATCATGAGTGCATGTAATGCCGACCTCGCGATCCGGCGCGAAGACTTCCGTTTCGGCACAGATATGCGTATCGGCGCGCCCTTTGCCCAAAACATTGCGCTCGAGTGTATCAAAGCTCTCATTGGTGATGCTTCCAAAAGGATACCCGCGCTGATGATGTGTCTGTTGTTGTTGCTGCTGCTGCTGCTGCTGCTGCTGTCCACTCGCGGCCTCGAGGTCTGTCGACATTTGGCTCATCTCGTGCCCTAGCAGAATACCCTCACGCGAGCCAACGTCTCGCTCGGTTGCGCTCGTCGCAAACCCCGAGTCGCCGCCGAGGCGGTCGCGGAGCTGTTTCAGCTGTTCGCGTCGGCGGCGGTTCTTTTCAATCGTGGTCGAGTACGTCCCTCCCCCTCTTCCCCCGCCCGAAGACGGCGAGAGTGACGAGGACTTGTCGTGTTGCTTCTGGTTTCCTAGGCACCGGAAGAGGGGCCAAGTACCCAATTTGGTGGGTAGAAACTGGGTAAAGAAGCGCGTGACGACGGGTATGCAGCCACAGACTATGGCGCCGTTGGTCTCGGCAAAGCTGAGGGTCAGCTGGTTTGATATGGGGTTTGACGACGTTGGCCGTGACGAGATAAACGTCAGGATCGTGACGCGGTATGTGGAAATGGCGCAGACTCTAGGTATTTCGAGCATTAGAACCACACAATTATTTCCTGGGGGGTTCGAGAAAAGCCTACAAAGACCCAGCGCCAAAGAGACACAAAACAGCCATCTTCCTCCGCGGACTCATCTGAAGAGGCGCCACGACCCCGATTGGCAAGACCAAGATGGCGAAATCAACAAGGATATTAGAGACGCCATAGAACATGCCTAGGGCCTGGTCGGCAGCCTTCATGGTGTCCTTGCTGACGGGGTCAAATATCAAGAGAGACAGGACCACCGAAATCAGAGTCTCGAGACAGAGAAAAGCTATGATGCCGTGAACGGTCCAGCGGAATGAGCGAATGGGCGAGAGCCGCAGGTAAAAGACGAGGATGGACAGGCGGGCAAGGGTCAGGGCTAGGGCGAAGAAGATGCTGGTCACTGCATTAAACTGGTGTTGTTACATCCATCAGTCCCTGGATTGATTATCTTTTAATTTGAGGAAAATACTCACGAGATCGAACCCCTCTTCATAAACTCGCTGCACTTCTGGGTCATCAGGTCCCTTGGCCACAGCTTGTGCCGCCAAGAGCCTTTGTATCCATGGATTGACTGTTTGAGGAGTTATCAGAGCAAATCTCTGTACATGTTGTTGATGATATAGGCCTACATGGAAATATCATGATTGCAAAGACCCATGTTGAAACCAAAGCGGCAATGTTCAAGTCTAGGAGGCGTGGTAAGCTTTGGTATACTGGACCATCGGAGAACTCATGAACACAATCATTCCAACCTACAATCAGCAGGACCAAGTCTCTCGTTAGCTACTCGAAGCTTGGTAAATATGCGCAGAAGCACGAATAGTGTTGAAAACGCAGTCGTAGCGATGCCGGCAGCCTCGTGAGGCTCCATGGCGATAGTCAGTCGCCGCACTTGACGACAACTCAGAACCAACGCTGATTCAAGAATGGCGGAAGAAGGACCATGCGAATATCTGTGGGACAAGTACAAGCTTAAAGGCCGTGCTTGTTTCTAATTCTATCGGGTTGGAAGGAAAGGGAATGAATTCAACCTTTGTCGCCGATGGGGTGTTGTCTTGCATCTGTACAACGTATTTCTTCTTGTTGATTTATATATGTTCTCTTTGCTGACTAGCTCTGAGGTATTGACTCAGGCGTTTCAACGGAACCGAGCCATGGAGAACCAGGATCAAGTCTTCGGGTAAGGAAACGAGGGCATTGTTGTTGATGATAACCGGGAAGAACCACGTGGGTTTATCGCTGAGGGTCGTCCCGCGCTGGATTGGATCTTGCGCATATGCGGGTTTCCTGTCTTTGCCCCGATCTGCAGCCGCCTCCCTTCCTGTTCGTATTTCATGTTCATCGGCTGCGTCTCCTGTAGGAAAATGGGGGCCCGTCTTTTTTGCAGAGTGGTGGGTTGCCAATCGTTTTTCCCATCCTAGACGGCGCAGTGCAGCCAGACCAAACTCTTCGTGGCACCGCCCCTCCAATCTCTTGCAGGTGGGACACTCTCATACAAACCTTTGCCATTCTCGGCTGAGGGGTTGATAGCTGATTTCAAATCTCCAAACATCACGCTTGGGGTTTCTAGATAAAACAGATACGAATGTCTTACTTTGTATAAGATGTTTGGTCTGCACCAAGGCGTCAATGTCATTCTTTCAGCGATGCCAAGAATTACGAGCTGCTTAGGCATATCCTCCAAAGGTCTCACCAGAAGCTGCATGACACTCGCTACTACCACACTTTACTGCAGCCAGCATAACTAGAGAGGCGTTCTTGTGTAAGGTGGCACAATGATTGGTGGCCCGTTGCTGCTCGTCGGTTTTGCAAACACCCGAGATGTTTCTATCCAAGGAAGTCATCTGGCGACAGTGATTCAGTATGACCAACACGATAGTCCTGTCCAACCTCTTCGATTACGTGCCTGCATTTGTCCGTTCCACGTGCATAGGCGCTTGAATAAGAGGTCGAAGCTGGTGTCGTGCGACTCAGCTCCTTGGTGTGGTTCCTTAACACAACTTGTTGCTTGTGCTGGCACAAAACCAGGAGAGATGACTCTTTCCTTGAATTCTCCAAAAAAGTGTCAAGAAAATGACTTGGACTAAACTCCTGCTGGTATAAGTACCTTGGATCACAGTTTGTATGCGCACGCGACACATTCACCTCTTCTTGCAGCAGGATTGAGTAACAATGATGGCGCCCCTTTCTTAGGTTTCCAGTCAATCAATAAGGATTGCTATTGTTTGCTGCGGTCAGAAAGATTTGGGATAATACATTTCTTATGTCAAGCCACACTGAATAGACATGTCTGCTTTCATAGTACAACATGTTGGGGGTTAGCAAATGGTACTTTGACCGACTGACTGCATCATATTTGCCCTATTGACGCTGTGGGAAATATCGCTGGTTTCTATAGGGAGTCAGAAAAGCGAGTGACATTTTCTGTAGATTTCAATCAAATATGACATGTAAAATGACACATAAAAATGTGGCGCAGCCGTACTTGTGCCCGGCAACTTCTATATAAACAGTAGATCTACCTCGCTAAAGCTCCAGAGTTCTCAGACCATCATTGTCGGGTTGATACCAGAGTACTTTCACTTCTGATTCCTCACCTGCCTAATTTACGCATTCCACTATTTCTTCAAGATACAGTTAATCATACTGAGTGACTGTTATTATGAAGGACTGCACTCAGTGATAATGACAGAAGAGTATTATTAGGTGCTACTTCCAACCACCAAATATCGCCTTTTCTCTAATTAATACTTTTCAGATAATGCTGATTACAATATCACCATTACGACATCAATGGCCTTGATGAACAAGGCCACGACAATCGTCCGGATGACCTCAAAGCCTTGATAGATACGGCGGTGGAGGTATTGTCAAACATGATCAATACGAACCAGCAGTATCGAGAGGAGGTCGCTCGAACACATGGAGGCATTCTCAGGAATGCCTCCATCCAAGAAATTATCAATCACTTGTTATAATGATCGCCATGCCGAGGTGGAGCCCTCAACCAGCAAAGGTAGCGGTGTCCATTTGACTCCCACCATGTCATACTCTAGACGATGGAAAAGACCCGACCACCAAGAAGGTGGTCGACCTAAATAACCAGCAGCCGGTTATGAATGCCAAGAAGGCAGTTGCTTCATTGAAGGAGTATTGGCAGAGGGCAGAGCGTGACGGAAATGGGTCCGAGACCATTACTCAGGAACAAGTCCGCCAAGCCATTATCTTTGCCAGGGTTGATCTCCCTGGCGAAGAACGGACAACGCTTGACCGAATCAACAGTAGCTGGGGCCATATCACAAGCCGTACAAGACAGAAGTGTAAGAAAGACTTGATCGACGAGCATGGAGTCATCCAAGAAGCTAGCAGAAAATACGATGGAGAGGGCATCTTGACTTGGTCCAACTTGTCAACAGACGAACCTACATACTACCTACCTAGGTATCTTACACTACACAACTGACTGGCGTGCCTGATCACTGGCAACGGTATACCTTACTCCGGAACAAGTGCGCCAGGTATGGCAGTTGCAACCTTTCCCTTTCTTGAGCTCCCAAGAGAGCTTCTCGACACTACCTCCCGGATCTGGAGGATCAAGCGTTGGATACCGAAAAGAAGTGTCTTTCTCCTGCGTGCTGAATTAATCGAGAAAATCCTTCGACCATTATGGTTGACGGTCGGCTTGTCAAAGCACTATCACGGTCCGTTTGTTGGAAGAAGGCTCATAAAATTCAGAAATACTGCCGAGGATTTATTCGATTAATCGTTTCCATTCCTGTCACTTTGCCTCTTACCAAAAGAATATTGTTTATTACACAGCCAGAGAAATAGACCACGCCGACCCCTACTAGGTTGCGCATTGCAAGAGCATGACCATTGTCTGTCAAGCGTGACCTGGCCAACGACACTTCTATCCAGAAAGAGAATCACCACCCCTCGTGGTACTGTCATCCACGAGTTGCTCACTGAACACATCTCGTAGCGCATCAAACCTTCGAAGAGCTGAAATCTCTTCGTATCTGAGCACCCCGAGGCCCTAGTCTACGACGGCATTCAGCTTAGCACATACGAAACCATTGCTCGGTACGAGCGAGACGAGAGATGAACGATTCTGATACCGGATGATTTCATTGCTTCTCGGATCAGTTTCCCCGAATGGCCCCAAGTACCTCAAGGAACCGTTCGTAGTAACACGGGAAATCCCCGATTGTGCCGTCTTGACCTGTGGAGAACTTCCATTACAAACGCCTGGCCGTTTCGATGTGGGCTCCGGGGCTCAAGATCGAGAAGAAACGAGAAGTTTATTCTCGAAATTTTTTGAACAGTAGACCAGCCGAACACGCAGGAAGCAAGTCACGGGTGTGGAAAGCACAAAAGAAGCCCCCGACCCCAAGAAAAGAATATATTTGGTCCCTAAGTCATCCAACTATAGTCGGCCCCGGGAGTGAGTGCTGCTCTACTTGATACAACAGGCCAGAGTATCCAAATCACAATGGTTCTCTAGTATGTAAGCCATTGATATTTGCTAGAAAACTAGACTCTGGGTGAGACTCGCTCGGGTGTGCTCAGAGAACGAGACCTCAGACGATTCCGACGATGAGAGTACTTCGGAATCCGAACGGGGAAATCGAACAGCCGCGGACGACCCGACCAGATCGATAAAGTGCATCGGAGTGGATATAAAAACGAAACAGGAACCGAAAACCTACCAAAACTGATGCCCCTTTGCTTCAAGGAAGGGATGTATCATTCAAGTACTTCCAAAACCCTGGGTGGCGATATTCACCTAGATCGTACCTCCCTATGCCAAATTATCTCGCAACTCGCAAGTCTGTGCGAAACCACATCCAGACAGCAACCTTTAGACACTATAGTCCACCAACGAGTCTAAGGAGTCTTCAGAGCGGCAATCATCGCAGTATACAGCGCAGAGGGAGGGGGGGACGAGTCGAAAGAGACATGGAAACACGAACACACGAGGCGTCAACGATGTGATTTAGAATATAAGGCCGTGAAAGTTTGAATAACAAGCCTTCACTGAAGAATACTAGACACGCAACCCAACTAAGGAGTAGGAAATGATACCAGAAACACACAGGTGTGTTGATGATATTGCATGAAAGAGAAAAAAAAAAAGAAGAAGAAAAGAATTGAGCTGCAGCCACCAATAGATATATTTCAGCGCTAGATTCGTGTCTGCCAATACCAATGCCCACAATAGCGGTTGGTGCCATAACCATCAGACGACAGATCCGTGTGTTTAAGACTGATGATTTTCTTCCCTTGAATAAGTGTTGTAACCGCATGTACCACCATACGAGTGGCCATGTCTACACATCGTCTCTGCTGGTGGCCACGTTCGTGAGTGTCATGTTGAGACGTTTGCTTGGCTCTCCTCCGGCACTATCGTCTTCTATTCTGGTACGCTTCCTGATTAATTGCAACTCCATGGAATTGCCTTCTGGCTCGGTATCGACGAGGCTCTCCGAATTTTCCGAACGTGCCTGCTCTAGTAGGGGGACCGACTGTAGGGTGCGCTCAATGATACTTGGTAGATGGGGCGATGGAGTATCCAGAATGCTGTAGTCATCCTGTGATTCTTTGTCCCAAACGATCTTGACAGAGTCAGTAATGGGTAGAACGGTCAAGGAGCTTGGCTCCCAGCTTTGGAGAAATGGAAGGTGTCCGAACTGAGCCGTCTGCCCGTTGGCCGACGTTATCTTGACAACCTGGCCGGTCTGACCCTCTTGGGAAATCCAAAAAGGCTTCTCATGTTTCGTGACAGTCATATTTTCTCCCTGTCGGGTCGTGATCGAGGTGCTATTGCCGACATGCGAGTCGCAATCCCGGACATTCCCCGTGGATACAGGAGCTGCCGGCAGTCTGATCCTCTCGGTGTGCCTCCCCGGCGCCATGTGTTCTCTATTTGAGGCTGATTCGGGCATTTCCATTCCAGGTACGGATTCACCAAATGAGCTACCCCAGCACGTGTAAATGATGAACACGTCATCCTCAAATGATAGTAGTTCTATCGTCTTTCGTATGAATTGATAACATCGTCGAGGTCCTGTCCATACTTAGCGATGATCTTTACGAGATACCTCCGATTGTGGCGTTTGGTGGTCGTGGGGACTACTTCACTCACCATCAGTCTCATTGAAACACCATATCGAAGCTTTACCCCACTCCGTAAAAGCTAGACATGGCCGACTTGGATGAAACAGGAAGGACTTCCCTTTGGGACTTTGAGTCTTCACACCTCCGAATAATTGTCGACCTCGAAAGACGTATGTGTTTGCTGACGCTTGGGGTGGAGAAGCCGCCCTTGACCATACTTCCAACACCTGGGTGCTCGAAGTCTTTTTCTCGAAGAATGCCACAGCGTCGCCCATGGGTGAAAACGTGCTTCCATAGAGGTACCTGAAATCGAAATCTCTCACCGTTGTATGGCTTTTAAGTCGCTGAGAGTACATTGCGAACTCGCCAAATTGCTTCTCATCTCCCGTGGCTGTACCCGATCGCAGACTCACCAGTACACGTAGAATCAAGACTCGGTGCAAATCGGCTGAAATTGTCACAGGAAAAATGAATCTCCACGGACAAGACTGCTCCCGATTGATGGGGTCATTCGAAATCTTGAGTACTTCTAAAACTTCGGCTGTAGAGAGATTCAGCATGACCGAAAACAGAACTTGTTGTGAGCTGATATCCCGAATTCGGTACTGGGCTTTCCAACCCGAGCACAAATCCTGAAGATTATCCTTCTCCATGCCGCAATCTGCAAGGCCCGAGGCAGTCATCCGAATAGTCATATTTATGTACTGCCTATACGATATAATATTAGCAGGTGTGGCTTGATTCAGTATCGTCAAAGGAGAAAAACCTTGAGGGAAGGACGTATATTGTCGCGTGTGTCATCTTGTCGCTTGCGGTCTGTAACTTGACGAGAATCATGGATGGAGGATAGTTATCCATGGAGGGACTCAGGGGGCGTTCCCCGAGATGAGTTACGACGGTATCATTCTGGGTAAACCAGAATGAGGACTTGGCGAAGGCTGTAATGGTGGACGTCCAAATTGCACATGGCTCCTTGAGCAGAACCTCAGCCCAGTCTTTTCGAAGCTCAACAAGATCTTTTTCCAACCGAAGGTAGAGAGTAGTGATTACATCAACTCGTGCACGATGCGCTACATACTTGAGCGAGCAGAGTTGCATCATGGATATCAATGGTTCCAAAGTGGGAAGTTTCTGGAAGGAAAAATTTGCCTCAACCCATGCAGTTACACATAGTCTTTGATTGATCCACTCTTCCAATACTTGGAGCGCAACGCTTACTTCTTCGAAATCGTTGTGTGAAGCGGCGAAAGAACTATCAAAGATTTCAGGGTCATGTTGTTGGACTCTGGTAAGTCCATATCGAAGTAGAGGGAAGCTTTCTGCAGTTAGAGTGCGTTGTTCATTCGAAAATCCGGTTGTTGTGATTGCTCCTCTTGGAATATCATAAGTCAGATATGAAAAACAAATCGCTGTGAGAATCAGCCATGCCATTTGCTTTGTGACTGAGAACGGTGAAGCATGGCAATAATCGTCCCCTAAAATGTACTCTCGGAACGAAGAATGAAAAAAGCAAACGTTTCCACTGGAGTCGCACTCAACGAGTGCCCCACACATAATTGGCAAGCAATTCTGGAAGTCCACGATCAAGTCTTCCTCACGAGTGACTCGTCCGAGCTGCACAGCGACAATGTAGCGCAACTCGGGGAGTGTGATGGGCGTCCTACTGATTGCTATGACCTGGAATATCCGCTGCACTTTTTTCTTTTGAGCAGGGTAGCCTTTTTCGAGTATCGCGAGAATCTTCCCGTACAGATTTTCCAATCCATCTAACATGGTATCATCAAAAATTGCATCGCCACGCTCTGTGGGTGAAAGCCAGTCACAAGAAAGATATCTCACGACGAGCCTGGCCCATAGAAACATGCCCTGAGCACGGCATGACAGTAATGCGACGATCTCTTCAATATTTGAGGACTTTGGTAGTAGTCCGTCATTGTTGAGACATTCGATCCTAGGTTGCAAGTATGCTCGAATATCGTGCGCGTTCTGCCAAGGTTCCAAGCTGATGGTTGTGTAGGGATTGCTACCACGAGGTGGTTTACAGCTTGGCCGCCCCATGAGGATGGCCTTGGCGCCGGTAGAGCAACACAGCTCATACACGGTCTTAAACAGGTCAGGAGGATTGGTACATTCATCGAAGCCGTCTAAAATCAAAGTTACCGGTGGCAGCTGCTTGAGAAGTAGCAGAAGGCATTGGCGAATTTCCTCATCCGTGGCGCGCATCTGTCCTGTACCATCGGATTCTATGACAATCGAGACTGCATCGAGTACATTGGCAGATCTTATGTTGCAATGAATAATCTGGTGTAGACATGCCCTCAGACCATGTGTCGGACTACATTCTTCGACTCTTTCGGAAGCGAAGTGGTAGTAAAGCACTGGTAACGTTGTTGGTGCCTGTTGAGCCTCTGAGCTGTTCGTTTCCGGGGGGTTGGCAAGATCCTCAATGAGAAGCGAAGACAGTATAGTCTTTCCATATCCAGGTTTAGCTTAGAGAACAGTCAGTCAATGCACCTAAGCAGATATTCACTTGGACTCGCCTTGGATGAACATGATCTGCAGTTCCGGAGGCTCGGATTCGCTTTCTATTGGCTTCGTTTCTAGTGATCTGAACGCTCTGTAGCATGAAGATGCCAAGAACCATTTGCCCGTCTCGTTCTGCCTAAGCGCCTGTGCCTTGTGTAGCTCACGCGAAAAATCTGAGGCGTTGATCCATTTCGCAATTTGACGAAATGTTATATCTGTGACTGTGTGAGTGGTGCACGTCTCTAGACTGCGTTATTCGATTGAAGGAGGCTCACCGAAAATGGGGGAGACCTGAAGAATTGAATCGCCCCGATGTCCGCTTGTCTCGCGGTCGCTTGTCATGGATGCGATATGCTCTAAAATCCGCTCGAAACGGACTGTGAGAGTCTCTTCTCGTTCCAATATGGACTGCTTTAGCTCCGACACCTGCAATTTGAATTGAGAGATGGCATCGTTCGTATTGGCCGAGTCGCGTTCTCTCTTGCGAAGTTGATATTCAGTAAACTTGGACTCTTCGAGCTGCATTTCGCTCAGAAACAGGGCTTGATGGGTCTCGATTCGCTCGAGAAGGCTTTTGAATCTGACATCAAAGGGCTTCCAAAAGATGTCGGCAATAGCGACTGCTTTATACCGAATGCCTCGTTTCTTGGTGCCGAATACCTGACAGGCCTCTTGACAAAACTGCACTAGGTCTGTGTAGATATACGACAAGACCTTGACAACCCGCGTGCTTTCGAATTTCGGGATGTCTAATTCGGTGTTTCCAAGGACTTGGCGTGTCAACAACCTCCTGTAGTACTCGGCGTAGCCCGGGAGGCGGTCGCCGATCTTCTCGAACATGGCCAGCAGCTTATCGAGAAAGCTTGAAAAGTTGGAGGCGAGCTCCAGGAAAAAGGTCAGAGTTAGTATGACAAACAGCCATCTGGCAATCCGGAAGGAGAAGAACCTACCAGGAATACCATCCGCATTGCGCCCCAAACCAAGGCAGGCACTTCTGGGTTGGACTGTATGAAGATTCCGATGATGTCGAAAAAGGGCAAGAGCGATTCGGAGACTCTCTCCAAGCGTTGACAATACTTGGACAGCTTCGAATTCCTCTGGTAGGTCGACACCCGCTTGTTGAGCTCCTCGATCATCTCTTTCGCTGATGGGAATTCCATAAACTCTTTAGAGTCAGCAGGCGAAAGAGAATCCCGAAACTGCCGAGCCGCCGCCTGGAAGAGGCCATCGAGACTGTCAATTGTGCTCATGGTGTATTACCTGCGTACAACATGCGACGCATAATCTCGGCAGAGTTCCAACGGAGAAGCGTCTCATGATACTTGCTCTAGTATAGCCAGTCTTCATTCATGATTGTCGAAATATTCATCTTGAGAAGAATAGAAATCTCGCGATATTCGCCGAAAGTGCCAGGTGCATGTCGCCAAACCTCGGCCAGGACAAGCTGGGCGAGCACTGCCTCCTCTTTGCCGCCATCTGTACAGATGTGCTATCGTGGCCCAATCGCAGCCGAGACCACAACTGTGCACTGCTTTCACCGACAAGGATACTTGCATCATGTATACGCCCCGCCGGGCAGTGAACTCTGGAGGACAGCTGCAGCTTGTTAGGCTGTCTTGGACTATTATATAGAATTGTTATATTGGAAAGAAGAAGAAAAAGAGAAAAGACAAAAAGGAAATGTTTACTGTAGTAACCAGCATTATCGCTCAACAGTCCCTGAATAAAGATGTCTTCAAATATTCAAGTTATTCATACTATTTCACCATTTTATATGTAGCCAATCGGTTTCAAAAGTACCCAGTCCGTTATCATCAAGAGCCTAAAAGTCAGTCGTCATTGCAAGATCATCGATGAAAAGCTAGAAATAGGCAGTTTGACGTTGTGTACATTGCTATGAGTGAGTGACTAATATCCAAATACCTCCGCTGAACTAGTGATAAGCCCAATAGTAGGGACCGTCCCAACTCAACAATACTCAATGATTGAATCGCTCTCCCTGTAAACTTCACTACCAGCAGCCTCTCAAATAGAGTTCTGCTTTTGGCGCAGGTCAAAGACAGCAAGCGCCTCCTCAGCCGCCTTGACACCAGACAGAGCCATGGCACCAAAGGTCGGGCCCATGCGGTTGGCGCCGTCGACCTCGCTCAGCTCCATACCACCGACAATGAGGCCAGGGACGATCTCTCGGGTGCCCTTGACAATGGCGTCCTCGGCCGTCTGCATGTCAAGGCCGCGCATGCCGCCCAACTTCTCGAGCGCGCCCATGGACACGAGGCGCTTGGCCGAGAAGGCGCCAAAGGGACCGTCGTGGCCCGTGGTGCTGATGAGGATGGGGGCGTTGATGGTGGAGGGGTCCATGCAGGACTGGTCGTGGTGGTGCATGGAGACCAGAGTCCAGTTGGTCACGACGCCGGCGACGCGGATACCGCCGGGGGCCGAGTCGTCGCGGCGGGTAATGAGATCCTCGACGGCGGTGGCGTTGAAGAGCTTGACATTGGGGAAGGCTAGAACCTTGGACATGAGCGTCGAGGTGAACAGGGCTGCGTGCTTGACCACGACATAGTTCTCCTCCACGTCAAAGGGGACGCCAATCTCCTCGAGGAAGGCGTCGGCCGGCTTGCGCATGATCATTGCGCTGAAGAGTTGGCCTCCTAGCCAAGCACCTCCGCCTGCGATAGAAGATTAGAATTTGAATGTAGTGAGTGAAGTATTAGTGACATCTATCAACATACCAGGAGAAACACTGGCCTCGATAATGGCAATCTTGAGATCGGGGCGGGCTTTGGCGAGAGTGTAAGCGGTACTCAAGCCGCAAGAGCCCGCACCAATGATGACGATGTCGGACTCGGCATACTTGTCGAGGTCGGCAAAGTAGCGACGAGCCATCTCGCGAGCAATCTGAGACTCACGGATGGGCTGGAAGGTGAAGTCCTCCCACTTTGAACCGACCGCGGCACCAGTTGCAACCTCCATGTTGCTATGAACCTTGCTGTCGGCCATGGGCACACCGCCCTTGTGAGGCAAAGTAGCAGGCTTGACAATGTCGACGGTAGCAGCAGGAGCCATTGTATGCGTTATAGAGTCAAATAAGTTTTAGATCTATCGAGGTTAGTCACAGTCGCTCACATAAGAGGGGTAGGCTAATAGAGCATGATCCTTTCGCTGGTATTATCCAGATCAAGTTTTGGGCCGTATAATCTCAGAACGAGCTCCGGCATGGCCATTCCTCTCCTGGCAAATCTCCATCAATTCAACCTGGACGACCAGGAGGGATGATGGGTGGATTTGCAGGCGGGCAATGTAGACATGCAAGAGTACTCGAACACCGGCTCATGGCTCGCTTTGAGTCATTACCTGACAAACAGCATGATTGATTCTTATCATGTGTGGCAATCGCCACATCGATTGGATAACCCATTCCAGGTCATGGTTCCCCTAGCCTTGCCATTGACAAGGCATCTCGTACCAAGAGAGGATTCCTGGCTCGAGATGGTTAGTATACGTTGCTAGATTGGAGAGTCGGGTGGCTCATTGTTAGCACGACGCTTACGATTGATCGATTGATCGTATACGATGTAGGAATTTGATGGTTGGAAGTTTGAGAAATCACTTGTGATGAAGATGGAGAGAGGGAAAAAGTAAACTCTATTGAACCACAGTCCAGGCTTGTGACTGATATACTACTCTCCAGGAGCGGGGTATTGAGGGTTTGTCGTCATAGTGTAACAAGACGCATCTCTTGTCAGCGACTATCGGAGTATGCGCATGGTGTTTGATCTGCATACTACTTCGGTATTACTGCTGTGGAATGTGTGGAATCACTGCCCATTGAGACATAAATGTGGTGCCCTCCTTCAGACTAGTCGTCGGTTAAATGGGCCAGGTTCAAATCAACGAGATATTGTTCGCTGAATTGTCTTTCGCGAGTGCCGCCTCAAGCCGCGACTATTTCGCATCTATAACTGGCACTAAGGCAGGCTGGGTAGCCCCGGTTGTACTCCTCGCCGAAAGCGTCGATGGTGGGGTCTTCTGAGAAGGCTGCAACACTTTGTTGGTGGTTTTGTTACGTGATTATAGAAGGTATCAGCAACTGTCATGGAACCGTGCTAGGCATTTACTGAGCTTGCAGATCGTCACAGCCATGGCGAGATCGGATGAGGCTGCTGCGTTTTTCGCAACAGTGTATTCAGCAGTGCGCGAGATACCAGAAGGAAAAGTCACCAGTTACGGCCACATTGCCAAGCTCATCGGCACCCGTGAGTATATCCCAGCATGTAGGAAAGGAAGGAATTATCCGCTCTGAACACTTCTCAAGCCCAGCGTCCACGCCAAGTCGGTGTCTGCTTAAAGCACCTCTCACACGATGCGGGCGCCCGCTTCAACAATGTGAATGTCCCATGGCAGCGGGTCATCAACGCGAAGGGGGCAATTTCTCAACGGTGAGCGTTACAACTACAAAACCGCTATTCTAGTCCATCTAGAAGCAAACAGTCCAACCAGAACTGACTCCTGATAGATCACAGCCTTCTGGAGCCCGCAATCAAGCTGCAGCCCTTCAAGCCGAAGGAGTCACAGTAGCTACTGGGGCTCTGGGAGAATTGACAGTAGATTTTGCAGAATATGGTTGGTTTCCGCGTTCGTTGCCGTCTGAAGAGGAATCAGAGCTGGATGACGATGATTCGGAATAGGGTCGCTGGCCATGAGCAAGCATTGATGTGTTGAGCATCAACTTCTGAAAATGAATATTTTCCACCCGAGCTGTTGCCGTGTCTGTCTCGCAAGCAATCTTCACTTTTCACTGAGAAACGATCGCCGCGATGCAGGATGAAATGACGTATTCTGTACTGTCTTTTCAGAGACTTGTCCGCGATCCACTGTTCGAAGATCCTTTGATAATCATGTGCGCTATTTTGAGCGGTATTTTTCCGTCGTGACACGATCTGGGCTTCCCATACTTCAACATGATCCAAACCAATCGTATCTCGAAAATTAGCCAGCTCAAGGACCTTAAGCTGCAAACCAGACTAGAATGAGGATGGGGATATTCAGCGTGTACATTATGGGATCACAGAAAGCAAGAGACGGCCTTGGCATGTCTTTACAATATTTTATTTATTCTCTATTGACACTATAGCAAGGAGGGCCAGATATTCGTGGCTTAGTTCCTGCAACCTAGATTTCAAAACTGGCAAACCTGTATTTTGCAACATGTGCACTATGCCCCTTTTAGTGACATGCCGATTGACAACTGCCTATCCAATGTGTTAGCATGGATGTATTTTGATGACAAATTCAAATGAATTGTGAATTGGGATTGATGTCAGATAGCGGTTGGACATTATTATCCACATGAAATTCAGAACAGGTCTGTGAACATGTATTTTCTCATCATGTAAAGGGAAGAACTGGGCCACGTAGGGTTGTGTTTAACGTACCATTGGAGCTGATCAATAATGCTTGTTGTGTTGTAACATCACTGGGACAAGTCATCTTCGGCCTTGCGCTTCTTGGAGGTTGGAGTGAAGAAGGCAGTCAAGGTTTGTTGTCGAGAATCAAACTTCGCACTGCCAATGCCTCCACGGGTCTTCTTCAAGCCATTAAGATGATCCGTCAGATTAGTACCTTGGATCACTATTGTCAGACGGCTCTGGTCAGCGGTGCAGTCAACAGTCGTGCTTGCACTTGACATAGGGCCCGAGGCTCGTACTTGAGCAGAGATATTCTCAATCTTCGCTTGAAGAACGCCTGTGTTGCTCCAAGCAGCGCCATATCTGTCCCCATCCGCAGAGGCCGTACTGGCTGTTGGAACAGGAAAATGGCTAACGAGAGCTTGCAGCAATACGCCGAGGATGATCCCATGTGCAACGACCACAACAGCCACCTTTTCGGATGCGTGCCGTTTCAACATGGGAGTGAGCTCCTTGTCAATGAAGCGGTCCACTCGAACCATCATGGCTTCACGGGACTCCGAGTCTGACTGGATGGAACCGTCAGCCCGGCCGTTGGAGAGCACACCGTACTTCACACCTTCTGCGGAGCCAAAATCCTTTTCTCGAAGCTCTGGAAGTTGCGCGACCGTGAGTTCGACATCCGCCTTTTTCAAGGCTGCCTTGGATCCACGTTGGGCGTCGGCAACCGCCTCGGCCGTTCGATAGGCTCGCTGAAGGTTGGAGGTAAAGATGTGCACGACAGGGCCGATGACATCACGGCGCGACACCAGATGGGCACCTAGACGTCGCGCCTGGAGTACACCGTGATTGGTCAAGGCAGAATCACGAGAGCCTGCGCTGCAAAAGCTGTTAGACTTGCTCAAGTGTGGGAGCATAGCAGACAGAGCTGCGGCAACTTACTAAAGACCAGCTACATTGTCAACGGACTCGCCGTGACGAATGAGAAGCAGATGCATTTCTGCAGCTCATGGTGTCGACAGACGAGCGATCACCTTCATCGCCCAGTTGAGAGCAGAGCTGAGCAACTGAGTGAAAGTTTTCAATGACAATGAGAAGAGTGGTTGAAAGGAAAGAAATTGCAACGAGGCTTGGAGCTTTTGAAGCTGTTTGCAGTCTGCTAAGGAAAAAAAAAAAAAAAAAAAAAGTGTGTAGTGGAGCTGCTATTACAAAGACTAGTGCTAAACAGAAGAAGGTCCCCCACTTTGTGCTTGCGGCGAAACAAAACTCCGTGGAAGCGCTGGCTTGAACTCTAGGTCCATAGGATGGTAGGCCCCGAGGTCCCGACTCCCGAGATCTAGGGCTCAGAATAGCTTAGACCGCTATATCCAAGGTCCTTAACTGCTAATCGTTAGGCCTCTGTCACGATGAATGGAATTCTCGGTTGCTAGCGAAATGGTGCAAGGCGATATTTGCCACATCTCTGTCGATTATCAAGCTATCTTTCATGTTGACAATGTAAGATTATGAACAAAATAATATCTTGTTACACACCTTATATCCCGTAATTTACTATCTTTCGAAGCAGACTCTACACACAAGGTACTTGCTCTGGTCTCTCAGCACCACGCTGTGTTCCGGCTACCAGTTCAGAGCCTGTAGAAGCCCCTACCAGGAACTGAGAGAGGCCGCTGTGCCAACAGTGTCGGACAATTTACAGGCACGTTCCTGCAGCGGCTCTGCTGACCAGTGGGGACAGTGTCCACTCGTCCCGTCGACCCACTGAGTGCCGCGAAAATCTGGGGAAATCTGGGGACTAGCGTAAGACCCTGAGTCGTATGGCCAATTCCTTTCGCAACGACCATAGCACGTGAGGACGACAATCAGCGGCCTTTCTTGCCCGTTTTATAATTATTCACAAGTATAAACATCTGCATTTCTCTAGATACCAATTGCATGCTCTCAATGCAGAGCCTCATGTAGTGGCAGATGAGTGACGGGAGTGCCTTGCAGGTCACTGTGACCTTGCTGAACCGATTATGGTACGATTCGCAACTGGCCCCCCGGACACCCTCTTTTTGAGGGGCATTTGAGTTCGCAGGTCTACGTCAATATTGTCTATTTACGCCTACTTGAGGCCCTCGAGTCAGAGTTCGGCACCAAATATGCCAGTTTTGCCCAGGCTACAGCAAAGCTTCCCCCGGCGGTGCGAAACTTGAGAGCGACGGCGAAATTAACACTGCCCATGTGAACGCATGTTGGCCCGTAAATCCAGCTCGAGATGAATGGCCAGCACACTTAGGCGCAACCTTGTATGCATAGATCCCTGGCAAGCGAATCGTATGATTGGCTTATCACACCATCTGCAACAATAGTAGGCAGGGAGTCGCCCATTGGACTGCCACCCAGGTGCCCATACCCCGCTCGCTTCCCACCGTCTGCATTTCCCCAGACGGGAAGTGGTGATGGATGGTGAGCTGATGGATGAATGGTCGAGGACGTGTGTTTGGGTTTACGTGTACGGCTTGAGGAAGGCGAGAAGGTAGGTGCCCTTTAGCCAACCGCCCCCTTATTTAGAGACATGCTTCTCCCCAATCCTTTGCCGTCATTCCGTTACACCAGCCATCTCCTCTTTCCATTCATCTTCAACTCGGTTCTTCCACTGAGTTTGTCATCGTATTTCATCTAGGACTTGATAATCAAACCTTCAAGTCTGTGAAAACGAAACCAGCCATTAATTGACTACAACGAGAGACACCGCTTGGGTCATCCTCAACACTGCTATTCAACGCAGTTTCTCCTCACTTTATCTTCTTCAATCCACAAAACATCTGTCATCATGCCCGTCAGAATCCCCAAGGCTGGAGCTACCGAGGGCGTCGCCTTTGCGACAGCTGGAGTCGTCGGTTTTGCCCCCTTTTACTTCATGCTTCCTGGTGCCGAGAGTCGTCTCGCATCACAAACACAAAAGTGGGCTCCCCGATGGGAACGCAACATCTCCTACTTTGCCCCGCCCGCCCAGCGAGTCGCTCAGCGCGTCGAGCCTCGTGTCTCCAAGAACGTGAAGAAGCTCGACGACAAGCTGCCCCTCGAGAGGATGGCACAGGGTGTTGACCGCCGCCTTCAGAAGGGCTTCGACCGCCTCCACCTTCACGACATCCCTAAATAAGCGAGAGGCTTTTATTTTCCTTGTATCGAGATAGCATTACACACACACTGGGCATATGTTCGTTCACCTTTCAGGTCTCGATGAAGACTGATTAACTTCTTCGAATCATGTACTGTCGGCGTGATGGTATATCGAGCAAGAAAGCTCTGGCCTGATGGATTTGGGAGGATAGATGTATACACCTAGCATTCTACATATTACCAATAAGACAAGATCTCTTTGTTCCAAAGTAATTTTTCTCAATATGCTGCATTTCGCACTCGACTCTGGCCATGTTCATTGTTATCAGTCGGTTATTATCCCCATCTTGTGTGGGTATCCCGGCGTCCCAAACCCCTGACACTCTCCAACTCCAGGCATCCTGCGCAATGCTGCCTGTTGGTCCTTGGGGGTTCACTGTAGTACACGTAACCTTGAAGTCAGTAATGGCAGCTCATCCACTTCCCTGCCACACCGATCCCCGCATCTTGATCAATTTCCAACGTCATTGTGCCCAAAACACTGCCGATTCCCGCAGTTGGACCTTTGCTGAGGTGTCGGAATGATAGATCCCGGCACTGGAATACGTCTATTCAGTCCACCATTTCACGAAATAGATGTACGATACCTAAATTTAGAAAAACAGTCTCAAAAATGTATTACTGGTCAATACAAAATTGCCTTGATAGCGAGTGGATGTCTGCGAACTTTCATGAGCAAAATCGTAAACCTTCCCACCAAGTATAATTCCCTCTCTCTACGAGCATTAGTGTTACCCTTGAATAGGTAGAGTTTCGTCGATCTCACCTAATTCTTTTGCAGATTCCTGTTTCCTTCTTTTTATCATTTCATGAGCAGATGCTAGAAATGCAAATTGCACTTCTGGCACGGTGTTACAGGTGGGACGCCCTGGGCTTCTATGGCCTTGTGGACAAGCATGCACAAAAGGAATGAACCAGTAGATAGATACACACTAAGGCATATATCAGTCAATACTGATCAATGCTATGCTGGTGTAGTATCAGCTAGCTGACTATATCTTGACTGCAACGCCAGTCTCCCCCAAAGATATTTCAATCACAGCTTCTCTCTAAAAGCCTCATGTATGCGAGGAAAAACCAAAGATTTAACACAGGTTATTGAGGATTACCAGAATTGCATCTCTCAGAAGCATCTTTGCAAGTATCGATCAAAAGATCAGCGACTCGGATATAGCGGTCGATAACTTGAAAAGGGGTGCTCATCTTATGAATGGACACCAAAGTTTGCCGTGACTTTATCAAGGAAACCATGAGTACCAGCCTGGCATTTTCGAGACAAATCAAGTAGCGTTAGGTCGCTTCAAGAAACTTGAGATGGGTATGGATAATTCTTGCCTTTCTTCACGCTGTTCTTTTTCACCTTCCCTGCCTGAATGCCTAGACACTGATGTTGGAACACGCCAGGCTCTCATACCGAGCTATGAACTTTGCAAGGACTTCCTAACGTGTTGGACATGAGCTTGATATTGCTTTTACATGTCTCAGAGTACAGCTACCTGAATCGTGACGGCCAAAGAATGGCTCATACAAGTGCTGCAGGTGATTTTATTCAAATCAAATAATGGTGCTGAGGGTTTCCCTTATTACTGTAACCCTTGTAAACCACGTTGCGTATAGATGAAATCATTAAAAGCGCCAACCTGAAAGCTCTCACTTCTTTCAAGGGCCGCAATGAAAAAACGTACATATACTCTTGGCGGGTACATCTTTGTCCTTGTGTATTGCGGCACCTTGGAGGTTGTGTTCTTCCTGTTTGTTCTACTGTTTGACACGTTTCCACGACGAGAGAATAGACGTTGATTCTTAGATTTGAAGAAGAAGAAAAAAGGCGTCCGAAGTCTCTGTTCAGTACTTCTAACTCAGTAAGCATTCTTAAAAGTAGTAGGCTGATTACATTAGGTATAAATGCTCTACAATCCATTATCCAAGACCGCGAGTAAACCATGACGTCGAACGAGAAAGACCCAGCCTTTGGCTTTGGGATAATTCTTGGCTTTTCACCACATACTATGCTCGCCTTCTTGTTCCAAGCACTCTCCAGCGGATTGCTCTTCAATTATCGTCATTTAAATGCCGTCTATATCTATTTTAATACAGTCTTTAGTCAGCGTGCGAGAACAAACATTCCACCATGAATTCAGGCAGGGACAATCAGGTAGAGGAAGGCCAGGAGATGACCATCAATATATCTAATGCTTGACAAAGCGGACGTATCCCTTTCTCAAGAACCAAATGCTCAAGTTGGAAAGGTTGAAAGGAAAGCATAAGATGTCTACCACCAAACCTTTACTTGCAATCAACACCAATAAATTACATTGCTCGAGCCTTTGATAGCAATATGGAATCGACTTCTCATCAATGCCAGTGGTTCGTATCAAGAATGTCTCGAGAATACCACTGGCTGCGGCATCAAGTCCAAACTTGGTGTAATGTGCTTTCCACGAGACATCTTCTGATATATTAAATTCTTTTCCATCTACCGCTTGTCAAGGCACAAAAGTATGCCAAGCTCCAAACGTGGACAGTTGTCCAAATTGGAAGCCAACAATGTCCCGGTTTCCATCCAACTCACCTATCTTGGAGACAATTGGCAGAGCTTGGCGTTCGGAGAAGCCTCGTGTGGAATAGTGGTTTGCATCCATGGGATTCAACATGACCATGAACGTGATGGAAACAAACAACAGAGACTGGTGGACGCGGTGTTGCGTGATACCTGCATTCTTTTGCCAAGCGTGATGGAAACTCGTGCGCGAATCAGCTACTTCTTCAGCACTAATGGCGCAGCAGCCCCCAGCCACGATTGGTACGTTTTACACCACTTGGACCATGATTATGAGTGACGATAGTTGGAAATGGAAAATGAGATATCCGTGATGCCTGATGTGCTATTACTTGTCTTTTGCTGTCCATGGCTGGGTGCAGGCTCGTAGGTCTACGGCTTCCCTGGTATACTAGAAGACATGGACTGCTCCAGTGTGTGCGGAAGTGAACCCACGCAGCGGAAGCTCGGACTTGAAAATGCTCCATCCAGACACCGAGGGGGACCCATTCTGAGTGGTCTGCCCGGCGACAGCGTGGATATAAGCGTGTGTTTGTGACTCGTGTTATGCTGTGTTATTTGACGGTTGTGCGCCAGCTGCTCGTGTTCTCGGCAATTTTTTTCTTGTGACATTTTGCACGAGTACATACGCAACAGATGGAAGATGTCCAGGCAAAAAGGAAGAAAAGGCTTCGGAGATGATTGCCGAAGTCGGCGGAGTCGGTGGATACATTTGGCCAGACTTACTTGCATTATTCCGTATTTTGCTTTTAATCCAGAACAAGAGAGTCAATTGATAAGGTCGGCAGCATCTTCCCAACTGAGTTGAGTGGGCTGTTTTTAGCTGTGGATATATTGTGTTTTTTTTCGAAGGTTGGGCATCTCTTGGCATCGTTCATAATCACAGGACAAGTACCGAAACGAACACAAAATACCTAGATTAAAAAAAACCTTGAGAGGGGTCACGGTGTCAAGCGGGCTTTTTGTGCCGCCCACCTAGAGGTGGGATAGGCGGTATGTGGGCTTAATTTTTTTTTTTTAATCCCCTGTGAATGGGTAAATGCTCGGGACAAGTTTTGGGGGGGAGGATTTTGGAGGGGCTTTTTCTTGTTCAAAATGTACTACAAAACATGCACTAGATGCCTACACTACTGGATCGGCGACAAGGGTAACCAAGAATTAGGTACCTTGACTCACTAAATAGCCAGTAAGTAGGTCAGTGTACTGGCCTAGTAGTCGTTCTAGTGTAGGTGAACACCATGGCGGGCAATGGCGGGGTGTCCAAAGCGCCGCCATTGGATTTCTGCCATCACATTTTCTAGTTACTTACCTTGGGTAGTAACAAGTTGGAACTGCAGTACTGTACCTACCAACCAGCCAGACCACGGAGACCTACCACCTACTTCGATCCCTGGGCCCGGGCCTGCAGCAAATGGTGTCCCGCCGATCAGTCAAAATTGTCGTTCAGGTATCTGGTGCATCCCGAGTTGTCCCCTTCATTATTCCATACCGGGTCGTGACCGTAGAGTCGCACCAAAACAACTCAACAAAGAAGATCAGATCCGAGGTGCCCCAGATGGATCGCGTATAGACCAGCAATCAGCCTCTGCAGGCCAATTGCAATGTCGCAACAGCCACAGTCGGCCAAGCGCATGCGCAGCAACACGTCCAACAACGAATTCACCCCGCAGACTGCTCCCGCTCTCCGTGGACGCCCATCACAGCTCGACGCTGCCGCCGCTGCCAGTGTGGCTCTTTACTCGAACTCGGTCAACGTCTACGACAGCAGTGCCTTTACCACGATCCCTTCTACCCGCCAGGACGTTGCCTACGGTTCCTACGTCGCCGCTGCCCCTCAGCATAGCGACTACCCCGCCGCCGCGGCCGCCTACGCTGCTGCTGCTGAACCGTACGACCCGCACCCGCACGCGAATAGTTACATCATAGCACACGGTCTGCCACCACCCGCCGACTACAATCCCCCGTACGGCGGCTACTACAGTCCAGATCTCGGCCTTGCCAGTATACAAAATGGTTCCTATTCCCCCGTGACCGCCCGCCATTCCACCTCGGTCGGCCCAGACTCTTACTCCCCGTCACCTATACCGACCAGCAGCACCGCCACCTCACTCTCTGACATTCAAGCTCATTCCGCCGCCGCCGCCTCTGCTGCCGTACAACATAGTTTGTCACAACAATTTGAAGATGTCTATGGCACGCAGCCCGTCTCGCATTCATCTGCACATCATCATCACCATGCCCAGACACTGTCCTATCCAGATGCCGCAGTAGTCAATTCCCAGTACACCCCGCCGACCGACTCGGTGATCAACTCGCAGTACAACGCACCAACTCCAGGCCAATTAACCCTCGATGGCCATCATCACAGTCCAATGCCCTCTAGAGTAGATGAGCAAGAGGACAGTGATGAAGATGCCCAAGGAGAGACGGCCGACGAAGCTGATTTGAGCGAAGTATGCAGGGCTTTTTGTTCACACCGCATAATCCAGACTAACCGTGTTCACCCAGATACACCCCAGTCCTGTCTCTACGACGAAACCTGTACCCAGCCTTAAGAGGTACACCAGCGACGAGACCTCGACCTCGAAATCCTCGGAGACAAAGTGTGCCTGTAAAAAGGGCCGAGGCAAGAAAAAGGCCTGTACATCTTGCGCTTGTAGCAGGTATGGACGAAAATGTGGTAAACACTGCTCTTGTGGCACAGCCTGTGGAAATCCGTTTCAGGACCTGAGCACCTTTTTTGGCCCACCAACCAAGTTTCCAAAGCCCTGCGATGCAAATCCTTGCTTTGCCACTTGGCTCTCGAACCAGCCGAATATCGAAGAGCTGGATCTTGACCTGATGGTGGACATGCTATTGTACGACGATGCTTCATGGGCATCACTCAAGAAGCAGACCAAGGCTTTCAAGGACTGGGAGGACAAATGGCTCAAGGCCAAGAATGCCAAGTCCAAAAAGCTCAAAGAAGACCGTGAGCGCCTGGAATTCGAGCTGCTGCGTGGTGCCCTGGGAAACTGCAATTCGGATGATTTCCATGGCTTCTGGTACAGTTTCTGCCGGGGCCAATGGGTGCCCATGGACGACTGGGAGCATTGCCGAGAGTGTAAGAATTGTGCCCCGAGCAGTGACTGGCACTGTGAGCAGCATAATCGGTGCACGTCAAATGGCACCTGCGCGGAATGCGCAGCAGCCAGCACGCCGTACTCCGAGCTGTCTCCCTACCCGGTTACTGCCTGAGGAAACAAACACTCGCCAAGATACTTGAGCCATACTCCCACCTCGCCATGGGAATGACGATATAGAGGAATGAATGAGGAGTTTTACGGAGTTGATTGTGTTATTAGCATATTATATACCAAGCATTTGGTCGGAGTAAGGGAGGTAAACAAGTATGTTTAGACGATTCTGGGTAAAACTAAATCCATCACTGCTTTTGATAGGTACCCTTCCAAGGCCGAACCGGATACGGTTGATGGGAAGAGGTCATAGAAGGTACGCGACGATATGAGAATCCGATTCGATCTGATGCTTTCCGTGTTCAAAATCTTGAAGTGTATACAAGAGCACTGTATCTCACCATGTCAGACAAAGCATTCGGTTGTTTGAATCCATACAAGACCGGCATCCCGATAAGCAAAAACAACATGAGTCGGAACCAAGGGTATATTGAGGGACCTGCCGTATTGGTCTTGATGATCCGCCAAGGTCTAAACTAACAAAGCAAATACAAAGCCCAGGATGGTGATTGCCACGCCGCGAGGGCTCAATTTAATACCATTACTCGTGTTGGGCGTTTGGCTGCCCGGAGTGGTAACATTGGCTCGAACACAGGCCACTGTGATGTGGTCCTCCGCCACCATCTCATCACCGGCTCCGTCCGTGTGGCCCCAGGTAATGATGACGGGATACGTGGTCGAGGCAAACCTGTCGTAGCCCGACTGGTCGCTGGGGGAATCCATTGCATCCGAGATGTACGCAATCTCGTGTCCGACGAGCAGGTCGTCCCCAAAGCCAAAGCCCGACGTATACTCGTCGCTAGGGAACGGGCATCCGGAAGCCTCGGCGTCAGTCATATTCCAGAGCGAGACGCACTGCCCACCGGCAGCCAGCTGCGGTGCTTCCGCAAACAGCCTCTTAATATTGTCTATACACGTGTCGCTTAGTAGCCCCGAGCACATGCCATTGCCATTGTCACCCGAGATGCCGCCGGCGCCAAAGACGTTGACACATCCAAACCACGAGTCTGCGTCGGCGTTGAGATGCTGCACGCCATTACTGTCTTGCTGGACCAGCTCGGCTGGTGGGTGAAGTTTGATGCCAGCGGCTGCAATGAATTTGTCGCCTCCATGTGCGGTCGGCATGCTGGCTGACACGTCCATCTCGATCTCCCATCCGTCCATCATGCTGCCTGGGTAGGCCACTGTCGCATTGGGTCCGGCGATTGGGTATCGTCCCGTGGCGTTGGGACGGTCGAGGCTGTCGGCCAGGACGCCGAACTCTACGGCGTAGTCTGGATCCGCATCCGGGAAGATGATGTTACCGAACCGCGTGCCCGCTGCGGCCGCGGTGGAAAGGCAAGCGTAGGAAAGATATCTCCGTATCGACATGTTATGAGTTTTTGTTGAGGGTATGAATATTTTTGAAGGGATAACAAGATTGGCGTATACTACAGCCCTGAGGAATCTAGATCAGCAATAACTCGTGGTCGGTTCAAAATCACAAGACTCATCATCCTTATTTAATGCCTTCCTGAAAGCTATCCTCGTGCTCACAAAGCAGGCGAAAAAAAAAAAAAATCTCCTCGATCGTTGCAATGACGTCTTTGCGTGTCCCACAGCGCTGCTCTATTTCCATCTCTTACTTCTTGTAAAGATCGTCGTCAGCGAACAAACACATGTCTAAAACGAGAACCGCCTTATGGTGCCAAGACTGTTATGTGCCGCACAAAATCCCAGCATCAGCGTGCACAACATTAGAAGGAATATCACGGGGACTTTGCTGCGCCCTAACCGGGACAGCCACCTCAGCCCTGTTCCCAAAACCCATCTGACTTGGATGACAGTCATGATATTATTTTATTTTATTTTTCATCTTGGGGTCCGCCGAGCCTGAAGTGACGTCGAGTCTCTTTCCAACGTCAAGCAGAGGATTATGATACGGTAGCAAACGAGTCGACAGGACAACGTACACACGAGTCATGCGCCTGAATGATTGTCACACAGCATCTAGTCATACAATTTCAGTTTCGATCGTCATTGGGCCTGTAGGGGACAGATGCCGCGTCGATGACTTGTGTTTAGTTATTTCTTACCACATTCCAGGCAAAGATTATTGGAAAATTCGTCGTCTGCCGTGTCTCTGGCATGAGAAGTCACAAATGTAATACACTGCCTCTGTGAATGTCCGAGTTTCTCATGACAAATGCAAACCATAAGGCCGGATTGGGATTGGCTGAGAATGTTGTCGATGTATTCGTGTTTTGCAATCTTGCTCAATCATTTATAGTACTCCAAGGTGGTATAAACTTTGCATCCTGGGTCGTTCCAGATTGAAAGAGGTATATGGCACTTGTAAGAGAGCAAGATCAGCTGCCTCATTTCACCACAGACATTCTAGGACTCACGGGAGCTCAATTTTACTGTGCTTGGAAGAACATCGCGGCCATGGCCTCGTCTGTCTCTCCCGAATGTCATGGCACCTGCAATGCTAAATCTCCCAAGGCAAATTAGCACCATCAAGAAGGGCAGGGACATGTCACGACTAACGGTCTGACCGATGGGGTGGCACTCGACAAAGGCAGCACCACTCAGAGAGGTTGCTCCGTACGGACGAGGGTATACAGCCAATACACCGTGGGCGGTCGGTGGACATACGGCCTCGCAACGTCTCCCGACTCCTCCTCCTCTCCAACCACTATTTCCTGCTTCTTCTCGACCCTCCACAACACTCGCGGGTCAGGGAAGCCGTCTGGGACAAGGTTGTTGTTGTCGTCGTCGTCGTCGAAAGCTGGAGAGTCTTTCCTGCTGCTGCTGTTGTTGATATGGCTCGTCCCCAGAAAGTCGAACCGATCGTCCGAGTAGGAAAGACACAACCAGCGCGCGACCCTGGGCCTGGCCAAGGCCGCGAGGTGGACGGCAATGACGTGGAGAGGGTGCACATAACTTGAGCATGGCACCACTGTCGGCACCTCGAATTCTGGGTAATCTGCCAATGATACCGCAGTTCGGTGCAGAGGGAGACAGAGACGGTACGGCAGGTCGACTTTCACGTCATCGGCGCAGGCTATGCAGTCGCTCGTGCTTTTGTCTACAATAACATCAAAAAAGCCTGGTGCTGCTTCCTTGGCGGCATCATGGCCAAGACGGTCTGTTGCCGGCCTCAGCATGGCCACGGAAGCCGGGGCGAGCAAGTCTGCCGTCTTCCAAATCATACTTGCGTGATCACCACCGTTATTGTCGCGGCTTCTACGCAGGGCTTCCTGCTCGACGCATTTCCGGATGGCGACCTCGGAGTAATCCACATTGACGACTTGCTCGCCATGCGTCACCAGACTGCGTAGGTGAAACGACAAGTCTGACGAGCCGCAGCCAATGTGCAGAAGTCTCGGGTAATACGCAGTAGCAGCAGCAGCAGCAGTCTCGCCGCACGTCTCGAGGGCGTCACGGACCGGTCCCGTCAGCGCATCGGGAGGCAATAGCCACTCAAAGTGGTTCTCTTTTGTGAAACGTTCGTCCCAGTATGCTTGTGTTCCGTACGATGGTGGCATGGCTTTTTCGTTCCATGGAAGGAGGCCACGGCCGTATGGTGTGTTGATGGGCTGGCCAAACCAGGCCGGAGCAGAGCAAGGGAACGCCTCACATTTTGTATCAAAAGTCTCTGTTTTTCCCCGTATTATTAATGCATTGATCCTGAGCGGTTTTTGTCTATAAATCTTTTTGCAGGGCAGTGCCAACTAATGATCTGTTCATCGGTGGAGCTTTGGGATAGATCGTGTCTTTCATCGCGATCTTCAACGCGAGTCATTTAGTCTGTAGAAACTCAAAGAACCTGGATCCATGCGAGCCTTGGCTTGGGCCACATTGAGCCGTATGACGGGTAAGTTAATTAGCTACTAGGTGGGCATAGATAAGTATATGGTCACGGTTCAGAGTGTAATGCAATAGTCACAAGTGAAAAATTGACCTGTATTGATTAAAATTTGTTTCGTACTTATGATTATAAATGTGGATGTCCGCCATTTCAATAATAACACGAATATGAGGAACAAGGTACTTGGGATCCAGACAAGCAATTCAGATATCAACCCGATCTAAAAATGGATTGAGCATATCCAATATACTTCTCCATAGATGCACAAACCCAACTACGAGTAAAATGCCCATGATGGCCCTGGTCCGATTATCAAGTAACAAGAAATAATCGCCAGCGCAAAACCTCGCTTGGTCTCTTTACACCATAAAACGCCAGAGGAGCCTTCTGTTATGTAGGCTCCCATCTGTCTCCTTTCATTTTACGACACGAGTCCCCTTCTCAGCTCAAGAAGCCTCTCTGCGCGTTCCTGTCCTGCTCACTGCTGTATGCCTCGAGTCTCACGGCGACAAGCACACATTCGACTGCACTCTTGCCTCCTTGCGATGCTTGTATCTTGAGCCTCCACTGGCCCTTTTTAATCACCCACTCCCCTGAAGATGCGGTGGGGGCCGCCTGTCCCGCGGGAGTAATGTCGAGCCTCCTCCGCTTTCGCGGATTCCCAAACAGACCGCTCATGCTGGACGCGGGACTGTCGGACTCGCTCATACCACGACCCATGGACGAATGCGAGGAAAACGGCGCCGGGGGCATTTCGTCTGCGTCAGCGGTGTGGGTGGGGAAGACGCTGCCGTCGAGCTCAATGTACGCATCGGGCTCAATGGCGATGCGGACCAGGTCCTCGCTCAGAGCCGTGTGGCCCGGGGTCGGGGGCTGGCTGCCGGCGCCGCCCCGGGCCATGAGCAGGCCCAGCGGCTGCGTGGTGGGCGGCAGGTTCAGCTTGGCGGCAATGACCTCGAAGAGCTTGGCGATGCGGGCCTTGATCTGGCCAAAGAACTCGGCGCGCATAATGTGCGTGTGGATCTTGGTGTTCTCCACGCCGATTTCTAGAATCAGCTCGTGCGGCGCGTCATCCACAAACGGCCTCGCATAGTTGATCCAGCCCGAGACCGTGGCGGCGGCTGCTGCTGCATCGCCGCCATGGTGCATTGGCGTTGAGACCGGATCCGGCGCAAAGGAGATGCCGGACTTGAGAATATCCTGGATGCGCAGCACAATCTCGCTGCGGTGCCTCGCCTGGTTGAAGCTAATGTGGTGGGGTATGAGCCGCTGTTCTAGACCCTTGAAGTTGAAGTAACGACAGTCTCGGAGTAGGCTTGCGCGGTGCTCCTCGTTGCGTATGTGTACGGGATACCCCTTGAGCAGATTCACGAGATCTGCAAAGATGTCTGCTGAGCGGTTTCTAACGGCCGGCGGCTGGATGGATGGTGGCCGGATCAAACCCTCGCGGTTGAGACCGGGAAAGATCTCCTCGGGCGTCGAGAAGAAGATGGCATAGCCAAGCGAGAAAAAGTTTGGGCTATTACCGGGTCCTTGGAACAGATCACGCGGGATCTGGAATTCCCGATGACCAATGGACATGAATATACTCTCCTCGTAAAGTTGGGACATTAGCTTGGGCAGCGTGTAAAACTGCGCGTCTGCAAAGAGACGCACGAAATGGGTGCCACTGCGTGGTGCAACATGGTAGCCTTGGAGGTGCAAGGAGATGTCCTTGAATGTCTCTGGATCCCGATCAATGTAGAGTGTCCTGATGGCACTGCAGACTTCCTCGCCATTCTCCTCGGCAGTTTTGATCTGGCACAAGAAATATTGCGAGAAGTATGAGGGCGCTAGGTTGAGTCAGCATGGACTTGACGTCAAAAGAGTTGGGGCTGACAAATGCGTATGATAAGATCAAACATGCGACTAGGTGAGTGGGGATACTATACGACAGCGACAGCCTCCACGGCAGAATCACAGAGGGGAGACAAAAGGCACGGGGTTGGGTTGCGGAGTAGAAGGAGTGTTGTGAGTTTAAGGAAGTTTGATGTATACACACCGTCTGACGAGAGTGAAGCACCAGAGAGCTTAAAGAGCTCCGATCCTATCTGAATCGGAAAAACGCGCTCGTGTGGGAGAATCTTGGGAATCTTGGAGATGAGCTGCGGATGCGACGGGGGCAGATGGAATCTCGAAAAGGCCGAAGAGGCTTCAGATACGTTGGTTTCGCTCATTTCTCCTGCTGCCTCGCTATGTGCGACTGAGGCATGATCCCATGAGACCTCATGCAGGTGGATCTGATGCTCCAGTCAAGGAGTAGGCACAGTATTGTAGCCAGCAAAAGCGTCCTTCCTCCAAGTGCCGACCGGAGGGGAAGCTATGTGAGAGCGCACACACACAGAAACCCAAAAGATCCACCACCAGTAGTAGTGAGATGTATGATTGATCTTGGACTCGTTCTTTGTTGAATGACAATGGGTGGGTGTAGCTTAGGCTATGGGCCTTTGGGGGACTTCCGATTGAAATTGTGTCGTTGCTTACTCACTCCTTCACTGCTTTCCTTTTCCAGAGTGAGTGAGTGAGTGTGTAAACTGTGAGTGAGCGAATGAATGAATGAAATACCTCGAGCATCTCATTGGATCGCGGGCGCCTAGGAAGCGAAAAGCCGCTGCCAGGTACTGGACACTTTGGGCTTTTAAACGCAGACGCATTGACCAGCCAGCAGCCAGCCTCCAGCACCCAGTTGCCCAATTGCCAGGCTGCGGGTCCCCCTGACTCGGGGACAGCCGAATCTAGAGTATATTTATAATATGACAAAGTGTGGTACACTCAGCTTACTTGAGCACAGCCGAATTGCCACACCCCTGGATTTTCTACGTGGAAACACCAACACGGATTCCCAGCTTGGCCATGTCGGAGAATATTGCCGCGTATTATACATGATCATCAAGAAACGCCACGCAATGCGGCTCCTCGTTACTCTATAATCCTTGTCTGTATTGTCTGCACACACACACATGGTCATAGTGGCAGTTGTCGCCACGTTTACTTATTATAACACGACATCACATTCATCAGCTTGCATACTGTTGAGATACAAATCCAAGAAGGGCAATTCACGCGTAGGTATTTGGTAAGAGAATTACGGGCAGCGCTTGGCGCCCCTGGTTTCATTAAAATGACAATTGTAAACAAAACTTATTCCAACACCACCAACTCCCCAGTAAATATGTACAAAAATCGCAATTGGTATCACACGGGCAAGGAGTTGCCTTTCAAAAAACTCCCCCTCCAACGCCGATGTAAATGCCAATCTTTTTGGTCCCCGCTAAAACAAGCCATGATGAACAAGGAACTCCCAACGCGCAATGCAGAAATGAGTCTCAAACGCTTCCTTCCCACATCGTCTATAGGACGACAATCATTCATCATACACAACTCATACTGACCAGGTATTCTTCTGTGATTGTCAGCTCTTGCCCTGTGCCGCCCTGCCGGCTGGAGCGCTGACGTCCCTACGTTCACCGTTTCCAGTCACCATCTGCCTTCGTGGTGTTGCTGCCCCTTGAGCTGCGCTCCGGGCTCTTCCTCGACGTTCCCTTATTTGCGCCAATGCTTGCTCGCGTGTCATGGTGGGCGTCATTGCAGGATTGTTTTTATCGAACGACGGCTCTCTCGAAGGCTCTCTTGACGGAGCTCGTCTCCCGGTTATGGCGTAAGTTTTGGAATTTGTTTTCCTGTCCTCGCGAAGCGGGACTCGGGTTGTTGTCGTAGTGGTTGTGTAGTGACCGGCAGGTTCTTGCGCTTGGACGTCCTCCTGCGATTTCCTGAAGCTGGTGCGTTCAGGCTCGACCGACTCGGCACGATCGTTCTGGTCGAAATCTGCTTCCGAGGCAGGGTAGCTTCCTGGTGTCGTCGGAATGTTGAAGACCGGTGCGTTTCCTTCGTTCTCATCCTGGCGCGGCGCGTTGAGCAGCGAAAGGAGAGACGTCCGTTCCTGTCTAATCATGGCAAAAGTAGGCGGTTCCACTGATGGTGTGCGCGAATAATGCGCAGGCGGTGGTACTGCATCAACGGGTGTTGGAGGTTCAGCCGACGAGGGCTCCTCATCAATTTGCATGGCTTCCATCTCCGCCTGTGACATTGTGCGGAACGTGCCCTGTTCTGGGAGGAAAACCATGCTTCTTCGTGGCTGCTTTGCCCTCTTGGGCTGCTCCTCTAGTTGGAGCATGTCCTGCACCTCTGTAGCTGGCGAGGTAGAACCAGAGCGGTGAATGACAGTTTCTTCGGGCGGTACAGATGACCGGGATGATCGGAATGGGGTACTGTCGTGAGGCTTTCCAAGGATCGCAAGATCGGCTGGGTCCAGGATGGCTACAGGATCCGGCCGAGATCTGCGCGATGAGCCCAGGAGACTGCGCCTCATGGAGGATGAGGATGATGATGATTTGGCACAAGCGCACGTCTTGAGGTGGCACTCTGCCTCGAGGAATTCTAGATATTCTTGGGTACGGTTGGCTCTTTGCCTCTCCCATTGCCATAGTCGGGTCAGTTCTTCAATCTCAGCCTCACTAGCAGCAGATGAGACAACATCTACACTGGCCAGCGGCGCTGCCTCCTTCTTGGGCGATGAAAATTCATCGTCGCTGTCCTCGGGCTGCGGTAGGGGCAGGCGGCCTTCAGCAGCAATTCTGGCAACTTCTTCGTTGTGTGCGAGTGTCTTGAAAGCATCACGCTCCTGCTCAACGACATTGATGCGTTGCACTGCCTGTTGCAGCTGCTCTTGTAGTGTAGCCAGTTGATGCCTGGAAGCAAAAGCCTCTTGCTCTCTGGCTTGGGTCCTCTCCTTTTCGCGTTCGAGGATTTCTTCGGTGGATTGTGCCGAGGCACTCGTGATCTTTAGCTCTTCTCTCGCGGCTTTGAGCTCTTCTTGCAATTTGACAGTGGTGGATTGCGACTTGAACGTTTCCTTGCGAGCGCGTCGTATCTCCTTCTCCCATAGGGCTTGAGTATGCGAATATGTCTCTTTAGCGCGTCCATAGTTTTCCTGTTGAAAGGGGGGAAGAGATCAATGGTCAGCCAAGAAACGCGTAAAATAACGACGAAAGAGGAGCGGGAACACACCATGACAGTTTCCAATCTCTCGCCAACTCTTCTCTCCCTCTCCTTGCCCTCCTCGATCTGTTTGCGCAGCAGTCGCGCCTCCTCTCTGAAGCGGCGCATCTCACTCTCGGCCTCCTCGCGACCGAGCATGGCGCGCTTGAGTGCGGCGTCGGCCGTCTTGCGTTCGAGCTGCTTGGTCATGGCGGCGGCAGTTTGAGGTCCGAGGCGCGACGACATGTTATTGAATTGCTGAATCTTATCATGTATGCTACTATCGCGATGATGACCGGAACGGGTCGGAGAGACGTTTGGCTCTCGTTGTTGGTTTACGCGATCTGGTGTTGCTGGCAACAATGGTGTTGTTGGTGTGCCGGCGCAAGGCGAGCCCGGTAGGCTCTCAGCGTCCATGGTGAGTGATGGGTAGTGGAGACGTCTATTTTTCCTCTCTCAATCGGGGTGGAGGAATAATGGCCGACGGTCAGTCTAATCTGTTTCTTGGTGTTTCTTTCCAAAATCGACGTGTTAATAGACTTTCCAACATGTGCGTCGTTATTTTTTGGTTTTGATGTATTGAATATGTCTGTGTGTATGTATTGGTTTGCGACAAGGTGCAGATTGGGCAACTCTTCTCCGGTCTTGCTTAGGTAGTAAGTAGGTAGTGGATGGGGGGCGGCGGCGCACCGTCTCTTGAAATTTGGAGATCATGAATTGTGGATCTGCTCCGCTCCCTGTTTATCACCGTTTCCAGGTCAACGCAGTACTAGCCCAGCGTCCCACCCATGCCTTGGCCCAGGGCTGTATGTTTTGTGGGGCTCGCTAATACCCTGATGTACGGAACCCTCTTGTGGAATGAAATGCTGACAATCGCTTAAAATCTGTCTTCACGTCATTTTTAATATTGCCGTGGAGGTTTGACTAGACACCAGTCATTGAACATGGACACATGGCATAAGCATTCAGTTTCCTCTGTCTAATTTGTACAAGAAACTGCCAAAAGCGCGTGACACCGTGCCACGTACGTACAAGCAAACAATTGTCCGAGTAAAAACCTCCCGTCATGTTTCCCCGCGTGCACTTCGCGACTAGGCTAGGCGATACTTGATTCAAGCGTAAAACGGACGATTCCGCTCATGTGGTTTGACCAGAAGAGGATACCGGTACCCTGAACCCATGGACAGCATTTGATGCGATCATTGGTGCAGCATGTATATATCAAGGGTCGTGGGAGGCTAGCAAGTGGAACCATCAACAGACAATAGTCAACATGTTATCTACAACCAACAATATACAGACAGATCATGAGTGTTCATGCTGCATATACGTCACTAGCAAACAAGGTCTTTGGTGGAGTACATTTCATGTTGCATTGACCATGGTACACTTATTATGAAGAAGGCGCCATTTCTCAATGCTGGGAATACCATCGATGCATGGGCAAATAGCAGTACTCTTAATGGTGTTTGACTTGGTAGCCACAATGTTGTGTATAAGTCAAGGACAAGCTATAGTGATTAGAGTGTATAAGCTTGTAAGCTTGCTAATGTGATTTGAGATGTTAAAATGCCAAACGTGAATAGCACTCTTACCCGAGAAGACTCACAAATCGACCTGAAATCGCTCAAGTGCGGCACAATTTCAGGCCTAGACATGCTTCAAGCGACCCAATCCATCTATACAAAACTTCAACCCATTGAACAAATTTCATTAGTTGCACCATCTAACATTCTCTCGTGACCACTGAGATTGAGGCTTTCGACACCATTGTTTAGCTCAAGGCAGGCCTTACAATTATAGCAGTGGACAGGTCCTGTACAGCAGGATACTACTTCGTATTACCATTGCAGCTCATTGAGCGTCCATTGGTGCATTCGATGCATAAGTAAAGTAGAAATATCATTTATACTCTTCGATTAACGAGATTGCAAGAGTGGAAGGCTGCACTACACCTGTCTTTTCTCAACTTGAATCGAGAACAATCGCTCGGTGATAAGAAGTGAGTTTCCCGCTACATTATCATTCATGCCCCGAAGGACATGAAATTGTCGATATACCGACCATTATCACCTCCAGAAGTATTGCTATGTGGTGTCAATTACGGTGTTTCACCCATGAATGAATAAATATTGTATTGGCTAGTTTTCCTCAACACGCCAAAATACACCAACCGTACCACACCATCTCCTGTCTTCCATCTGCCGGGCATACTCTAAATTTGGAATAAGCAATATGCGTAACACGGCACGTGAACCATTTGAGTTACAGGACGCAAAGCTGCAGCCAATACATCGCTTGAAGTGAAAATGGACGACCAGCACCAGCATGCACAGCGCAGAGCCACAGACAAACAGGAGGAAGTAGTTCTGAGAAGGGATGGAAGAGGGGAAGGAAAGAATAATACTGACGAACGCAAGATATCTCGTAGATATTTACCATACAGTCCCTTTCAATTTCGTATAGTCCCCCCTAGAGATAACCGTTACTCAGGTTCCCATCAATGACCCCCAAGAACACCACTCCAGCCACCACGGTAAACCATAGCGCAGAAAAGCTTCCCAACGTTTTCTGGACTTCGTACAACACTTCAAAGCGTCTGTATATAGCCTACATCAAGTCCATGTGAAAATAAGCAAAGCCGGAGCTGCAGTACTCTGTACAATACAGTAGTCCAGACGGCCACGTGCTTAACGTTTACAAGGCGCAGGCGACAGAGGCGGCAGCAGATAACGATGATGGAAAAAAAGAAAAGAAAAAGAAAGCATCACCCCGCCACGCAGCCATGACACCTTAAAATTCAATAACAGGCGTGTCAAAAACGAGTTTCCAAAGTCTCCCGCCTCCGTCCATGCATGAATATATAAAAAGCAATTGCATGACGCGCGAGTGACCACCACCGAGACTTGCAGTTGGAGAGCCAAAGGAGCTGGGCCTCCTCCTTGGAAAATGGCGGGCACGCGCCTTAGAATCCCTTTTTGGCAGAGATTCGGTCGATGAGGGTCGTAAGTGTACCTCACGTCTGCATAATACATCACCATCAAGGAGCAAAATGTGTATTACTGGTATTGATTTTATTTGTCTTGAGTTGTCGACCATGGCCGAAGAGAGAAAGTACGGTAAGAATGAAAGTAGCTAGAGAAGACGCTACAGTTACAGTATTTTCTGTTGCGCACAAGATAGACATCGGCAAACTCTTTGGTTTCCGTTCATTCATGAAAAATAGGTAGTAGACACCTCAAGCCCAACTGAGAAGCAAAGAAACGTTGTTAGACTTTCATAAATGACCCACTCCTTTCATCTCTCTTCTTCTCCCATGACAGTAAATGGAATTATTTGTTGCCCATGCCGTGGGCCCGAATATGGCTCCGAACCGGAACGCCTTGTGCTGCGAAGTGTGTAAAGTGGCAAGAGGTATAATGGTAAATGACATATGCACAGGGGAAAAAAATATGAAGTAAAGAAAGAGCCTCCGTGAGAGTGGCGACCAAGTCCTATGGTGGATCATGATACGCCAATGATAGATACAGTCGTCGATTGGGACGATTTACCGCGTAGAGCCAATGGCACTGATACGGGCACCGGATGGTCGGTGGATCAAGTCATGCTTGCTCAGCAGACCGGGCTCGTGAGAGACAGTCTCATTGTCGCTGCGCTCAGCCAAGCTTTCCTCGTCATCCTCAACGATCTTGGTAGGAATATCGCTGTGGGTCATGTACTGCTGGCTGCTGCGCTCCGGCGTCGTCATGGTGGAAGCCATGGACAGAGCAGTGCTGCTTCTGTTGGGAATCAGATCCGGGGTGGGAGGAATGCTGGAAGTGCGTCCAGAGGGGTGCAGCAGCTGCTCGTCACCCATTTCTGAAGAGATGGTGGACTGGTCCTCGCTGTGGGCGATGGACATGTTGCTAGCCCGACGCGAGTTGGTGCGGGGCTCAATATCGGCATCGTGTGCCAATTGCAGGCTCTCCACGGCAGCCTGGCATTGCTCAGCAATGTTGCGGATGATGTGGGCAATAGCATCCGTCTTGTCCTTGAGGTGACGGTCGGACACATCAAGGAAGGACAGGCGCTTGTTGGCGTCAGAGGCGCGGGTCAGGGTCTGGCCAAGTCGCTCATCGGCAGCGGAAACGCCTATACTTGTCAGTTTCATGTCAATCAATTGTTTTGCAATCAACGTACTGTTGTTGTTCTCCTCGGCATTCTCCTCGTCAAATCCAGCCTCAATCTCCTCGCTCAAGTCTTCGGGCTTGGTCAAGGAGTGTACGAGGTGCTCCATGTGGTGGGATTGACCGCCAATCAAGCTGCGCAGGTGCAATACGACGCGTCTGGCCTCATCGCGCTGGCGCATGATGGTCGAGTTGGTAGCCTGGAGGGCGGCCAATTCCTTCTTGTTGCGCTTGCGCTCTCTCTCGAGCTCTTCAGCAATCTCTTGCTGGAGAACCAGGGCCTCAAGAGCATCGTCTCTCTGCTTCTCAGTACCAGAAAGACGGACAGAAAGTCTGGCATTGTCATCCTTCTGCTGGTCGATAAGGCCACCGAGACGGCGGTTCTCACGCTTGTGGTTCTCGATCTTGATCTTGAGATCTTGAGTTTCCTTGGTGAGCTGCTCAGCAAAGGCCTGGAACTTAAGGAACTGAGTCTTCCAGCTCTCGAGCTCTTCAACAAGGTAGTTGTTACGCTTGGTGACCTTGGCAAGCTCTGTCTCCATACGGCCCTTCAGGTTGATGAAATCCTGCCAAGCTTCCATGGCGTCACGAGAGTACTGGTTGCGCTCCCGAACGATTTCGTTCAAGTGTCTCATAGACACCTTGGTCATCAAGGGCTTCTTGACTGATCCACCGAAAACGGCCTTCAGGCCGGTGTTGCGGCCCAACTTCTCGCAAACGTGGTCCATTACAGACATGATGGCATCCTGGTTCCACCACTCGGGGTCCTGGACAGACTCGACTTCTCCGCGCATGACAATGATCTGGCCGGCCGGGACTAGCTTGCCACCACCATAGGCCGAGCGGAGATGTGTAGGAACACCGGACGGGGCAACATCGCCATTGAGGGCCTGAGTCAAGCGAGTCACAAACTTATTGCGCTGGCTGGGGCTCAGAGCAGTCGGCGGGCTGGAGGTCAGGACAAAGTTGCGGTCCAAGTCCACGACAAGAGCATCAGAAGGAGCTGTGAAAAGGGATCTACACTCTGCAGTAATACCCAGAATGTAAGGACCGGGCTCCTGGACGAGCTCAGTAGCGTGTCTGGCATGCACGACAGGAACATAGAGACCACTCCACTCGTACACTCTGACGCAGAAGCGAACAGTCTCGGCCGCCATCGTAAGCATGGCCGGGTAGTGACTGACAAAGATGATGCGTCGCGTAGGAGAGATGGCGGCTTCAATGACACCGACAATGTTAGGAATGGACAAGCAAGCCCAAAGCGGCCACATGGCAAAGTTTTGGAAGCCAGTTGGCGAGGAAGGGAATTGGTAGCAAAGGGCGTAGTCCTTCATGTCGATTCGGACCAGATCGTTCAGGCGAGGAGCGGGGAAACTGAGAATCCTCGAGACTTCCTCGGCGTGGAAGAGGTTCGTGGCTTTGTTCCAGTGAATCCACATGCCGCGCAGGTAATCTCCTAGAAGATTGTAAAGAGGATATCTCGAGAGAAATGAGAGACAGTAAGGAATCCAGTAGGTCTCGTCCGTGTTGTCGTAAAAATCGGGCTCGGTTCGCTTCCTCAGATCTCGGATCGTTTCGGCCCTCTTCTCGTCGGCTCGGGACCAAACACGCAGACAAATACCGTAGAGCGTGTGCGATGAGTCCTGCTGAAGAACAAATGCGTGGTGCACGCAGTGGGGTTGGCTGCGACCGGTGCAGATCTCGACATCGTGAGGGAAACAGGCGCGCATGGCAGCATGGAGGGAACGAGCGATCTCGTTATCCTGCTCCAGCCTTGGGCTGCTACCAAGAATCTCGGGAAGCCAAAATTGACCAACAGCGCCCTTCATGTGCCCAATCTTTCCCTGGGCGGGAGTAGGAGCCTTAACCCATTGTGACGGCTCACGTCCAACACCGCAGACCATGTACGCATGGGTCAAGGTCTTGGGCGTCCTTTGCTGAGGCTTGGATTGGAGCTGGGAGGGGATCGGCTGGGTGATACGGGAATGCAGAGAAGAGGTCCTGCTCGGGATGATCAAGCTGTTATCCTGATCACGAGTGCTCGGCCGGCCATCCCGATCGCTGGTGCGCGGCCGGGTGAAGGAGGAATGTGCGTGCAGAGAAGGCGCCATATTGCCAGAGTTGATCGATCTATACGCAGCTTTCCTATGAATAGTTTATGGTTATTGGTTCCCGGGGTTTGGGGTAGGTATGTTCGAGGGATTTCGAGTGGTAGGTACGGCAGGCTATAATGCCGCCAATACAATGGTATTTTAGTAGTAGTTAAAAGAAAAAGAAGGGAAAAGAATGTTAGTTGTGTAATGGTCTATGCCACTTTTTTCGATTGTCGTGGAAGCAACGAGTGCCCAGAGCTGCCTCGTTTTTCTTCTTCTTGTCCAGACCTGAGGTAGGCCGTGACAAGCAGCGCGTCCGAGCTGAATCGCTAGAGGTCGCGTCTTTTTGCGTCCAATCGATCTTGGGCAGAGGCAAGACCGAAGAGACAGCCGTCAACTGCTTCACACGAAGTAGAAGATGATACGGCCGTGGGAGTGTTGGGTGAACGCTCGAAGGAAAGGAAAAGGAAAAAAAGTGAAATTAGAAAATGGAGGACCCGGCGTAATAGAAAAGGAAGCGGCTCTCCGAGACCAGGTAGGGTATGAGAAGGGGGATAGTACTGGAGGGAGGCAGGCAAGCAGACAAGGTAGCAGAGACAGGAGAGAGAGATGTGCAGGTATGCAGATATGCAGGCAATGCTGGTGGGTGGTGGTTCCAACGCCGGCGGTAGCATCCACAGGCTACCTTTAGTTTAGGTAGAGTAATGTAGGTCGCAACGCTGGAGGGGTACTAGCTATGCGGTAGCTTCGCTCTTCATGCAAGTACTCTCGCTCAGTATGTCCTGTACTGTAGTGCTGGCTGCAGCACCAGAAGCACAGGCAGACAAGACGGTCGGAGGAACCTCTGGAATTCTCCTGCTACATGCACATGAGAGCCCCAAGACTTTTCACCCTTCTCTCTCCCTCTCTCTTTCTCTCTCTCACTCATCAACTCATCATTCTCTCTACTAATGCAGCTAGGCTTGGGGAAATAAGAACCTGGGTCGGTGGAGGTAGAGATCAAAAGACGAAAAAAGAGCGTGCGGACGCTGGTCGCTGCCAGGGGCGAGGTCTTGGTGTGCCTGCACTGTTGGAGGGGCATCAGGGACATGGGGTCGACGTAGGGGAACCAGTCGTGTCTTGGCGTGCGCAAGGTATCCAGTACGCTGTGCTGGCCGCTGGAACCGTCCCCGTGGCACCTTGTCTGCATGTCCACAATACCTCGACGTCGCTCAACTGTCGCACGCGCGCAATGCACCTTGGCTACACCCGAGCCGGGGGTTTTCATCTCGAGCACGGTAGCACTCTCAACCCTTGGTGCATATCGAGCTCTCCCTCTCCTCTTCCCCCTGCTCTCCTCAATCTTGGGCTTGCTCCACCATTCCAGGAACTGACAACCTTGGACGAATCACGCACCTCAGACACTGGCATGGGCTACGCCGAGTGTGGGGCAGCGAGGGCATGCTGGAGGGGAGGCAATTTGCGCTCCCGAGCGATGCCAGGAGGGATTATTATGATTATGATTATTATTTCGTTGATGCTCACATTTAATTAGTCTCTGTGATATTATGGGATAGATGAAGCATTTTGTTTGGGCTCTCAGTCATCATTGATGAAATCGATGAGGCAAAACATCGAACAAGAATCCGACTGCTGGTGGTAGTGTCACATACGGTATCGTACTAACTGTGTGACCATTTCAGCTCGAACCAAATGCTAACATGGCCCAGGCTGCCAGTCTAAACGTTGATGCGAGTTTCGGCTTGCTTTCCCGTCGGACAAGACCAGGCATATCCGCTGCATCCAAAATGTCAATGAACAAGAGAAGCTCACCAGAGAAAGCCTAACTTTGACTGGGCGTTTGACACTTGATCCCCCATACAGCGTAACAAGGTTTCTTCCATGCATTGCAACTGGGGACGGCAGACAGGCAGAGAAACAGACAGACCAGCTAGTTACAAACAGTCAAGAACTTGGACAGGAGTCAAACCCAATTCACAGGGTGTGGCTACCATGCGAAGAGTTGCTGATTCATGAATTACCATGGCTGGAAGTTAGCCACCGTATCGTCAACAGACTGCTGGAATTCCGTCTTCTCTTTGGTGTACATAGTGTTTTTGCAGAGTAGAAGGCAAGGCAGGCCACCTGCGTTGTCCAAAGCGCCCCTCTACATTCATTCGGCTGCAAGGGACGATGAAATACTACTCATCGCTTCCAGAAGCATGCTGTTGTGGACTGGATATTTTGCCACGAGGATCATATTTCTTTTTCTCCTCTTTCCTTTTTTTCCCTTCCCGAATCAAATGATATTCGCATTCAAAGTGGTTAGTGTCTCGGGCAAATCTATTCAGCTGGGTCCCTTCTTGTGCGACGAGGCATTCGCCGAGAACTGCATCTTAATCTATGCCCGTTTGTTTCGTGCTCAGGTGTAGAATTTCGTCGTTGATTAAACGCATTCCACACGTGGACTGCCAGCGACATTTCTTTTATCCATATTGCAGATCCACGGGGCCATGGGCACGTTCCATGCCAATACAAAAGGCATTCTCCGTAGGACTCCAGAATCAGAGAGACCATGCCACAGGCCCCAGTCAACACAAAGCAGATCGTTCCATGAAAGAAGTCATCTTGAATTTGTGAGGCCCTGGTGGGCATTTGGAGCATGGCACGGACGAGACTAGCTAACCGTGGATAGCAGAGTGGGTACATGGCTAGTCAGCTATATCCGAACGGGGGAGTATGCAATAAGAAAAGGGGCACGCCCAGTCAGCCAACGAACGGAGGTGCTGGGATCCGGGTTACGTGATTCGGCGATTGGCAAGCAAAGTGCTTCTTTGCTCATTCGTCGTCTGGAACATGCATTTAATTGATTGGAATGATGTCTAGATAGTAGAGAGCAAACGGGCCATGAGGTTGGGGGTCAATCAATCCATTGATCCTTTTATCGACTATATTGCTGGTGGTTAGCCGAGACAATTGCGAAGCCAACACGGGCGCCAGCCACAATCGGTGAACAGTGTCTGCGAATTTCTGCGAAGAAACATGACGGACGTGGCGAGAAGATATATGTGTGTCTTGACTGAGGTTCTATTTTCGAATTTTTTCCTTGTACACAGTAAAACAAACCTCTTGGATGTGTTGCAAATTGGGACGCGCAAGACGGACTGCCCTAGATATTGCCGAGCGGCTTTTAGTCTGTCTTGGACATTTGCTGGTCTGCCCCCGCGAGCACTGTACCTGGGGACTAGATCACAGAAAAAATTCGACACAAAGCTGCAATGTCCATCATCATCATCCGTGCTGAATTGCACTTGCTGGTCCCCCTCCGATCTCCCCCGTCTTTTTTCTTGCCTCGCAGCACGCAAGGCCGGGCATGCACGCTATGACCCATCCAGCAGAATGGTTCGTGTTGCCCGGGCCTTGCTTTAGCGGTAAATCATTCACTCTTCCCTCTGACTTGGCTTTGGTGGATTGACTGGCTTTACTGGACGCTTGCTGGTGGCGTTGAACTTGGGGGGCCACTCTTGTGTGATTCTCTTGCAAACTCGCAGCAAGCTGAAAAAAAGCCCCTCTCAACGCCAAAGCTGATGCAGCAAGACAATGCCTCTTTGGAAACGCTCATCGCTTTCTTCGCACCAGAGGACAGGCGGGTTTGCAGCCATTGTTCAGGTATCTCAGTATTGGTCTTTTAGGGGGTTCGGTTGTGGCATACATGAGCTATCAGATTTCGCAAAATATCCAATATGTCGTAGGACTGCGCAAGTAAATTTGACGCATGCACTATCTACTCTAGGTAGAACATATTTGTATCAGTGATACAGTGAGTGCAGTGCAGATCCCAAGCTGTTCGTACAAACCTTGTTCGGTTTCTTCTTCTTCCTGCTTCTCTGTAGCCCGCAGCACGTTTCTCTCCTTGTGCCGTTCGCGAATCCCCCCGAGCGAGCCCCCCAGCCCGTTTGCCATGCGCAATCCCTGACAACTCCCATGCTAGTAACCGTCAGGCGGCCGAGGGAGTACAGAGGATAATGTCACATTGCAGCTGGGACTCCTGTCACAGACAGATCCAGGCACTAAACACTCGGCAACATTTCTACGAACTCGTTCCCCGGGAGCTTTGATCAATTAGGAGAGGGGAATTCCATGCGATCCTCTTCTTGATTATGTGGCTGGTGGAAAAAAAAAAAAAAAAAACTGGCTGCCCGTCTCCTTGTGGTCAACGCTGGTCAACGCATGGAGCCATTGCTTAGGCCTCGAGGAACATAGTGGTTACTGGGTAATCACTGCGCGTACAACCTCACCCAACTCTCATAGCAAATAGTAGGCAACTTAGGTTGCGCGGGCGTCTATCAAGGTAGCATTTGCCAGACACACAGATGCGGGACAAGCAATATGTCACAATTGGTCACAACGGTCCAAACGGCAAATGGAGTGAGGGGTTTGCGATGCAATATACCGCATCAGTTATTATTATTGGCAAAGATTTGGGGGGAGAATGTATGTGTTCGTTGCTTCTGCCCTCATTCCCCGGTTCACACCTGAGGATCATTGGATTAACAACCAGCCACACCTCGAGAACCCTGCCCGGTTTGACTTGCTATGATCAGATCCTATTAGCGAATGATTCGAAACACTTTCCAGTCGCAACAGTGCGTAAACCCAGCCTATAATTGTTTCAATTGTCCTATTATTCTCGATATCGTAACTGCGGTACAGTCTGGACCAATTGCCATTTTACGATTGCAAGCCTTTAGGTTCTTTCGCTGCCAGTCGATATAGCAGATGATAGGATATGTCTTTCGGTCGGCATACAAACCCGCAGTTGCATCCACATACACAGAACACCTAGACGCCAATCTGACGTCCAGGCACTGTGTGCAAGTCGGTACCAACCTCGATGTTTTTGAAATGGCAGCAATTCAATTTACGAACTTCATTACAAGACAATATCAAGAGTCGTACCCCAAATTTGTGTCTCGTTACTAGCAATTAGGAAGATTCCATTCGGATATTGCTCACTGCACGTTCCAACTGTCTCTCAG